AAAGGAAGCTGTACACAGAGTCGAATGTAAAATTTGAAATGAGGATAGAAGGCAACCCCGTGGCATTTGCGGCAAGACTAGACAACTGATAAGCACAAGGATCTACCACGATGGATTCTGAACTCACCATCCAAGGAAGGCAGCATCGCTAAGAACACAGTCAGCCTGTACGTCGAAGAGCCACTGTCGCTCTTGCTCCAGAAGAGATTCTTTGCGTGCTAAAAAGGACCTGAGAGCTTCAACACTCTTGTGACGGTCGACCCGGTATCTAATGATCTAGCGGTTAATGAAATGAGTCAATTGTAGGTCGGTACACACTCACGCCACAGGCTGTACAACGACTGGGTCAATCTCGGCGAAGCGATATAGGACCCCGAGACTAATGCTGTCATTGAAAACATGTTTTGGAGCAGACGATATTATGTGTATTGTCGTCCGAGAATCCAGGTTAAGGAGGTGGCGAGCAAACGCGGATACGCGTGTCGCATGGCCATAGCCTATAGAAAGAAGAAGTGAGGGATCTTATGACACTACTAGACGACGTTGAATGCGTACCATGTCCAGAGCAATAGTACGCGAAAACGAGTGAATCCTTCATGGCGTGGAAAGGGGAGCAATGAGGGAAGACTCTGCTACGTCGGGTCTTTATAGACATCGTACTCGCTAGCCATCCTAATGGATAAATGCAAAGCGGCAGATTTGGTTGCGCTTAAGCCTTAGACTGCCAGTGAGGTCTTGGCATATTTTAGGTGTATACAATGCGTCACAATATGACGTTTAGAATCGCTTGGAAATCCCAAGTTGCATCGCTGCTAGGCGACGAAATCAAGCTAATACTTACAGGTTAGTAGCGCCCGGACCGGAATCATTTTTACGTTGACTGCTTTGATTGGTGGGAAGGACTCGGTTGCGACTGGAAACATTTTCTTGCACTGTTCGCGAGCGAGCCCATCCTCAGACGGCCGTATGTAGAGCGTATGTGAGCAGCCTGGAAATTGCGGAACATGTAATGTATGCCATTCTCGAGGCTTTGTCCAATTGTTGCCTCTAAGCCCTGGTTATCCTATTGACAATTTAGTAATGGACTATTGATGGATTACGAGAAAGACAAGCAAGCTTAAAGTTTCAATAGTACTTACCTCCCAAGGACAATAGAGGCAAATTTCGTGGATGAAAACCTGATAGATATATGGTGAAACGGGAATGTCATTTTCCAGGTTTTGGACTACATACGACACTCGTAGACGGTTTGCCGAGTAATTGGGGACATGGGAGGCTTGTGGCAATGACTCGGATATGACGAAGCCTATCATGATTATCCATCAACAGATCAGATAACGGCATCAAGCCATCGCTTAATTACCGTAGTACGTCAAAAAGATCCTCAAGTTCGCGCCGAATGGTTGGCAAGTCAGAACACGAACTTCATCTTGACCAGGGAACTTGATGAATTCGACTGGACACTCTGATCATCGTAAGATGTTAGCGAGTTCCACATCCAGCTGGAATATATGATATTCCGACTAGAGGTTGAAACTCGCAAACATCTTACTAAATGTATCCGCTCGAGGCCGCGAATTGACCTGATCATCATGTACATCGCTTGTGCAAGACGATCGAGGAAGGAACACTTGCACAAGTATGTAAAGCGACTCAGATCGTGGATCCGAATTAGCGAGAAAGATGGATCAACAACGATCAACAACAACACATTATAGCATTAGTAAGCTCTTCCATATGCGAGGGAACGTGCAATGTCGAAGTAGCCGACCTGCACAGAACAACGTGCCCGAAGCATGATAAGGACATTGACTCATACTCGCTTGTTTCTCCCACATCCCGATACCGCCCGCATACAATCCTTGTTCTAGTGTGCATAATCGGAATTAATTTCAAATTCAACTTGAACTTATCGCGCATAATCATGTACAAAAATTATGTTGCCCTCCCTTGAGATGTAATTGTACAACTGACCGAGCAACTCGCTTCATGCGCTGACGTCTATTACGTCTGCAAGCTTGCGTGCAGTCATGTCCGGGTATCGGGGAACGACACGGCAAGGAAGAGATTTGGGGTGTCTGGTTTATCTCAACGATTAGTTCACGGTACTCGCTTGGATGATAGCATGGAACAAGATACTTACGAAATGAGTCCGGTGGACCATTGGAAGACAGGGTCTACTTCTTTCCCTTCATTGTCCAATGGTCTCATGAAACGGAATGTTGCTAGCAGAGATACTATGGAAATCCACAAGGAAGCATCAGCGAAGTACTTTCCAACACATACTCGGCGCCCGAAGCCGAAAGGAAAATCGACAGTGTCGTCATTCAATTGTCCATCAGCCATGAAAAACCTCTCTGGTTTGAATTCATCAGGATTCGGGTATTTTATTTCGTCCTTTGACATGGCCCTGTAGCAGTTGCCTTAACGCAACTCAAGGCCAGCAAGTACTGTGACGCACCAGATATTTGCCATAACAATTGCACCTACGTGGTGGTTAGCAATGAAAGTGATGCTATATAGAAAAAACCAGACCTTTGGGGATGTAATAGTCATTGTGCACATCGCTGTCCGTCGTGTAATGCGGTAAACCTAATTTGTCACATGTAAATGTAAGGTCCTAACATACGATGCAGGAGATCGACCCACCAAGAGGGAACACTGGATGCCATCTAAGCGTCTCGCGCAAGACTGCTTCTACATACGGCAACGAAGGCCGGTCTTCAAATGTAGGGAGTTGGTCACCTACAACTGCCTCAATCTCCTCTTGTGCACGTTTCTGTGCATCTGGATAGAGCATCATTGCAAGAACAAAGATAGTGAGCGTTGACGCAGTCTGATTATCCGTCAGTTCGTGGGAAGCACGTTGATGTTGATAAGCAGCACCGACCGTTTCAACTCCAGCTATATACGACATGTATTAGTAGCGTCACTCAGGAGATAAACCGTGTCATACCAATGAATGCTGTAGCAGAAGACGACTTCAGCGCAAGCTCGAATTCGTCCGCATTACCATGCGTTTCTAACCGCTTCAAAGACTCCGAGATCATACACTGATTCGAAGTTGCAGTCATCTACGTCTTAAGTTGATATGATTAATTCTTGTTCAGGACATGAATGCTTACTGCACGTTCTCGTGCATAGTGAAACGGAATATTAATCATGGCGGTAGCATTCCTTTGTGATTGGATAGCGAGTCTTTTGAAACTCGCGCCGGGAAACCAAGAAGGCAGTCTCAGCACTACGTTAAGTCAGAGATAACTTTCTGGAGACGTAGACTGATAAAAACTTACGAAACGGAAATGACTCCAGGATGGCTGAAGTCTGGGGGCTTGCCAGCTCTACAAATACCTTGATCGCCTTTTCAGCGGCAAGTACAAGCGGGTCGTCATTCGGCTTCGCCTCGTAATCGTATACGGCAGACATGATCACGGAAGAGGCGAAACTGGGATCACCACGTTTTTATCATTAAGCTTGCCGAAGGACAAGATAAGATATCACTTACAGTTCAATTTGGCGCTGGTAGTGCTCGGGGGCTTCTATGATGCCCTGCAACAGCTGACGGGCTTTGCGAAGTTGAATAGGCAAGTAATCTTTTGCCGCCTCGGGTCGGAATGATTGATGGAAAATTCGTCGATGCAATCTCCATTCATCAGAATATCTTAACTGGGCACTGTTAAACTCAGAACCGGTTCTATGAAAAGTGTCAGATATGAATATATAGCATGTTGGATGTTGGTTTCCTTACGCCTTTGTGCTATGGACTGGTGGCCTATCGGAATAAATACTGGAGCGATTTTCCAACAGTGCTTTGGCAACTTCCTGCGATTGTAGAACAATAATTTGCCGTCCAAACAGCTTGCAGTAGATGACGTCCCCTTAAAAAAGTAAGGATATTTGTTTCTTGGAAAATTGATGGACTCTACCGCGTGTCGATGCCCACTGAGTGAAACTGATCCATGGCTGACTGCCGTTGAGGTCGAGCAGGTTACCTAGCACCGGCAAGCCCTTGGGGCCTGGGGGAAAGGAGAGTTTGGATGAACTCTTTCGTCGAACTCGGTGAACGGCTAGAAAAAGGCATATGATGGCAAAAAAAACCTGAAAGGTCATGAGAGAGGAAGACATCTCAAGCGATGGTAAAGATCCACGCCTCAAGAGTAGCTTTAATACCTTCGAAGCATCCTAATCGAGTCTAGAAAAAAATTGCCGCCAAAATCATATTAATAACATGCCTTTCTGAGACAGACAAGCCAAGTGCCCAAATCCTATCATGACGGCCTGCACTCGCAGCAACGGATGAAGGAAAGGTTAGGTCAGGTTTCACAAAGAATTTTCCCGATCTGTGTATTTCCTGTTGGCGCAGCATGCAATGTATACGATTATACATACTTGTATTAACGTCAGCGACAATAACGCCTGTCTCCCACGAGACATCCCTACGAGTCCCTGCAGTGATTCTGCTGTCAGCTGCCTGAGCCTTGGCTTGACACTTCATCAAAGGGACGAACTACTACTCACGATGACCAACTTAAACGCAAATAGCAGATGAAAACCGAAATTATGGCAAAGTAGATGTGTGTGGCGAAAGGGCGGTGCGGACTCGGAAACTTGACATTGAACAAGCCCCCGATGCTATCACTGGCTGAATGAGTGGCTGATATCACAGGGATACGACACATTCGGTCCACGCCGAGTAATAATACGAAACCGAGCTGTTACGAATTGAGTAATGAAACCTGCAAGATTCGTTTCCGATCTTAGTTGGCCCTCCAACTGAACTCTATCACTGAAGTACCCATTAGGTAGCACTGAAGTTTCGTGTTATCGCAAAGTCGTCGAAAGGTAGATAGAAAGAAAAGGGAAACTTGGAAAGCGTCGGCTGAGATTGCGCGGAAATGGCTCAACGAGCCGCCACTAGCTAGTCTGCCTCACGGTCGTTCATTTTAGCCACTGGCGTTGGGGTTCTCACGCTTCACGTGGACCGACATGACTGGTCCTCATGTGAGTCGTGTGATTGCTCTTGTGGCACCGTGGACCTTCGATTCGAGGCGTTTCAGCCAGCTACTAGTAGCTCTGGTTACATCGTATGATAGACAACCAAGCTCCCTGCTTTGTCCCATTCGAAGTAAGCACTATGCATATCAACCAGCTTCCGAAGATATCACTAGACGATGCGACCGAACGTCCAGCATCAGTACCTTTGGTGGATCGGTCGGCTCTCCAGTTAGCATCTAGAGATGTCAAAGCTCTCAGAACATCTCGCGTTGCTAGCGAATCGGCAATATCGATGACAGAAAAACAAGCCGTCGTACCTGTTGATCTCATGGCCAATCTGAAGCGAGCAGAACCATCCGTTGTCAAAACGAGAACAGGAAGCGTGTTGTCCAGAGGCTTCATCTTGAAAACCGATTATTACCCGTCTGGTTCGCTTGATTATCATTGGTTGCTGTGAAGTCAGTTCATAGCGAGTTTAATAGGCCGAGCTCTTGATCTCGATTTGAATGTCCATGGTGCTCCCAACTTCAGGGCATCACGCAACACAAACGTCTTCGGAGTTGCTCAGCCTCGCACACAGGGCCTACGAGCTATTCTTTCCATCTTGCGCTGTCGTCCTGGTACTGCCAGTCCGTCTCATGTCGTTTGGTTTTCTACGCGGGAGGAACCGATCGGTATGTTTTCCTCGCAATCTTCAGATCATTATCATGACGCAGCTTAATATATCACATCCCTTGCATCCTATTTATGATTCTCGGCGACGCATTTGTTTTTCTGCCTCTCCTGCCTTTCTTCTAGTGTATATATCAGGACGACCCTTCGTATTGCGCGATTCCGCTGAACCAAGAAGAACCTTATCATTATCCGATCGCGCTGAAAATCTGGAAGCCATAGAAGAACGTTTGAAAAATGACATCTTACAGGAATCAACAAAGTGATGCTCATCCGATATCGCTTGTTGGTGACGGCACTAATTCTGTTTGACCAGGTATGGAGGCCTGATATTGACCCACAATGAACTGCGTGAGTAATACAAGATTTTTCTTCCATCGGATGTTGAACGCCATCTGTTACAGCTGCCGAGAGCGGGGACGGCGCTGTTTTACCTACCTGGACTCATGTTGACAATGTCAACGTAAGAACATCACGAGAACTCTGGGACGAAATGCGTGCAGATGGATGGAATGTAGAGGTACGCTTTCGTCTGTATCTCGTCCATTCTCCTGATTCCAGGTTTCACACTATACTCTCTTCATCGTAGTATCATCGGTATGTTGTTTATCGTCTTGGCGCCCAGGTTACACCATTGATCTATTACTTAAGTATCCCCATATCCCCCGACCGTCCCATTGAAGTGAGCACGTCATATTTCTAAGTATGGTTTACCGCTTACATCACCCAGGACAACTACTTAGATGCGTACCTACGTGTTATCACAAACACAGATCCAGTACGAAGTGCCCTTGTATTTTCTTGCGGTATGGGTGCCGTCCGAACTACATTCGCCATGGTTGCCGCCGTGATTGTCAGGAGGAAAATGCTGCTCGCTAGGGGTTTAGAAGATCCATACCCGAGTAGGTCATCTTTCTTGAGCAATTTAGGTAGCGGGTCCTATAAGACGGGTAACGGCAGCCCGGGCATCAGTACGGTAAGTTCGCAAGCTTTTCTTAGTACAAATCCAAGGCTTGACACATTTCGATCAGCCTACAAATCAGGTATGGCACCCGTACGTTATTCGGTTACGTTCGAGATGAACTTGATATTTTCTCAGGCAGCCACTGATATCAAGCTAGCTCAAGCGCTGGAAAATGCCAGTGCACAACAGGACCAAAACAAGTCACTTCTAAGATTGACATATGTATTACAGCGACGTACGTATCGCCGCGGCCTTATCTCGAAATCAATTTATCTCTCGCAGATCTCCATTCTCAGTCTGTGATTGCCTTGCTGATGGCGCAACCCACACTCTTGGAGAATTTGCGCAAAGCACACCAAGGCAACTATGGAGTGATACTAAGTCTACTTGGGTGTTTAGATCACGGCTTACAGGCTAAAAGACTGGTCGACCGTGTAATAGATGCATGTAGGTGCACTGTCATGCTTCATTCTAGTGTCTTAGATCTCATGCTTTCAATTAACATTGTTATGTATCGGGAATTGGCTGCTAACCATGTCTCGATTCCTTAGGTGATCATGTAAATAATCTCCGAGAAGACATCCTCACATACAGGGTCAAGTATTCACTCACAACGGCCGATAGTGACGAAAGCAAACGAGAAGATCTCTTATCCAAGGCTCGGAGAGCGCTGGAGAAATAGTACGTGGTTTGTTGTGACTATATCATTTGATACCTGTTACCAAATTCCCAATAGTTTCTTCATGATCACCTTTGCGAGCTATGTTGATTCTGTCAAGGACTTTGAGATAACATTTTCGGATTGGCTGAAGGTACGTTATTCTCTATGATTGATGAAATATCCTCCAATCGCCGTGGTAACATCTCAATCGTTAGGCGAGAACAGAAATTTGGAAGTAAGTCGTCCCGAGCATATCAGTGACTAAACATTCAATGGCGACCTACATGTTTACAGTCAAGTCATGTTTCTCCGCAAGATTTACGGCTCGAGGCTCAATATTTTTGCGCCCGTCAACGACCTCTCTCTCTTGTCAAGATCAGGAACAGAAGATAAATCTCTAGTGGCTGGACAGAAGAATGATGTGGAGATCGCCGGAGGTCAGCTGCTCGGCGATGAGTATAGCGACCACGTTGTCAAGGTTCGCTCTTTGAATAACACGTACCACTTGGCCTTATTAATTGCTGCAGAATCGGAGTGGAATCATTTTGCGAGACAGGTACGTCAGCACCATGCGTTTGCAACGTGTTTGACTTCTTATGTCCGTCAAACAGCACGCTTCTCAAGTCAGACCAGTGGCTTTCAGAGTCTCATCGTGTTTCAGACTCAGTCCGCGGGGCTATCAACTTTCGTAACATACCCGGGACTAACATATATGCGAGCGGCCAACCAACTGAGTCCGCAGTCGATGAGGTGGTGCATCGTGTCAAAGTGGCACACCCTGACGCAAACAAAGTTGTGTGGGTGACATTGAGAGAAGAGCCCATTGTTTATGTCAACGGCGCGCCATACTGTTTAAGGCGCGAACGTTTCTCCCTCCGGAACATGAAAGGTTTGCGCGTTTAGGTTTAAACTTTGATACTGTTCCTGAAAGATTGAACTATTACAGATTATGGAGGGATTTCTGCATCGCGACTAGAAGTCTTAGAAGAGCGCCTGAAAGATGATGTCCTTGCAGAGCTTGAAGCATTTGAGGGAAGGTGCGTCTTTGTTTACCTGCAGTTCCAAATTATAATTCACATACCCGAAAATACAATGAAGATTGCTTCTTCACACAGAGACCTCAGATGGATCTGTGATTCCCATATGGGAAGAAGTACAATCCTCAAGCGTCGCAGTGCTCAAGGACATCATGGTATCCCGTAAATCTAGATATGGGTTGGATCTCCAATATGTTCGGATCCCAATCACATCCGAGCGTCCTCCCGATTTCGCAGACATAAGTGAGCTCATGGACCTTGTTCTTCGTACAGACTCTTCCAGTACGGTTATGGTCGTCAATTGCCAGCTTGGGCGAGGAAGGAGCACTTTAACTTCCGTGAGTACAGGTGGAAACGAAGGACTGTTATTATTGATGTTCTTGCCACACAGGTGTTGATTGTCCTCATTCAACAATGGTTGAATGACAGCCGGGCGCTCTCTCAGTGGTCATCTCGGACAGAGGCTCGTTCGATGTCGATGTCGATGACTTCTGATATGTTTCACGATGAGCCTGCAAATAAGCGCCATTCATATCAAGTCATCAATAGTACGTTAATATTAGTCTTTTCTGTTGAGGTATGCCACTGAGATTGTGATATAGATCTCCTTCGAATCGTCCGGAAAGGTCCTGCAGTTAAGAACACTGTTGACGAGGTCATTGATCGATGTGCGATCGTGATGAATCTCAGGGACTCCATCGAAGACGAACGTGATTTGGCTGAGAAAGCGACTGATGAGAAGCAAAAGCGCATCCATGCTTCAAAAGGTAAAGACAATGCTTTCCCTTTTTTTATCCTAGTGTTGAACAGACCAAGGGATGCACAATTTACAGCGCTACTTTGAACTCATTCTGTTTCAGGCGTATCTGCGATCTACTGAGCCAGATACGATGCAGTCATTTGAAACATTCAAAAGTTTCATTGAGAATCGCCCAGGTAAGGAGATCATTCTTGTACCTTACTAAAGCGTTTCACTTCTCATTATGGCATAGTCATCAAAACGTTCGAGAAGGAACTCATTGCGGAAGGTTTGCGCGCCCTCAAGCCACTCGAGCGTGCGGATGTCAATGAGAGTGTAGCTCGTCCAGACGAAGTCAAGCAAGTGGTAGTAAACCGATCTGGCAGCATTCTCTCTGCATCTACCATTCTCAAGAGCGATTTCTTCTCCAACTTGCAAAAGATGTCGCTCCCTGAGTGTGTTTTTCCACAATTTCAATGAAGCGTGAACTGAATCGGTCTTCTCGTATAGGAGGATCGAAGGCTCTCCTAATTTCCGTCGCGTGCCACTGACGTTGAAGCTTGGTTCTTCTCGGGCATCTTCTCCTGTAGATCCGGCTGATGAGAAGATGTTGTGCGGCAGGTGTGTTCTCCAAGGAATGATACTAGACGTTGTCTGACTGTTCTACAGCGGAATGCCTACAGTTCAAGGGTAGGTTTGTAGTGCGATGGTTAGCAACGAACTCTCATCGTGGCATGTCTTTAGTTTACGGCGAGCGCTAGCACGTGTTGATGCTGATCCACAAGGTCACAGTATGGTGTACTGGACATCCCTGCGAGAGGTGAGGCTAGAAATGCCGATATTCGCTTCATCATGGCTGAAACGACATAGGAACCGGTCATCTATATCGCGGGCCAGCCCCATGTTCTGCGGATCGTGGACAAACCGCTTGAAAACGTAGAGTGAGTGCTTATGAGCTACATGGGATAACAGGCTGATACCGCGCAGAGCAACTGGGGTCACAACAGCCATGGTGGAGGCTATGGAGGAACGTTTAAAGAAGGACGTTATACGTGAGGTCAGAATGGGTGATGGACGTATCCTTCTGCATGATGAACTTGAGGAGCGGCCTGGCGTGTTCTCTATCATACCCATATGGGAGACGGTGGAAGAGGCTGATATTATGACCCCAAGGGATGTTTTCAATCTTATGGCTAGGGAGGGATTCAAGGTCAGCGCGACATTCTTGAGTTTCTAGGTCTGCCGTTGCTGACTCTACCTGGCAGATCAATTATGGCCGTGTTGCTATCGTGAGGAACCAGGGTTTTGTATGAAACAAGCGCTCATGGAGATTTACAGACCGACGAACAAGCGCCGTTGCCTGATGCTCTGTCACAGTTACTGGAACGTGTCCGGTCTGGATACCCAGAGGCGGATGACTTCATATTCAATTGTCAGATGGGCCGTGGTCGTACAACCACGGGGATGGTCACAGCCTGCTTGATATCAACGACGATGAATTGGCAGGGCGAAGAAAACTACATTGACGGACAGGAAGACCCGGACAGTGTTGAATATGACTCCATTGATGGTCCCTCGGAGGAACAGGCTTACCGGCAAGGTCTGATTGGCAGTCGAGCCCGAGTATTGCATGTTTAACAATATGTTGTGACAGGGGAGTACAAGACTATATTGCAACTTGTCGGCGTCTTGTCTCACGGCAAAATCGCAAAGCGCCTGACGGACCGTGCCATTGATCTTATGCAAGATGTGCAAAATCTTCGCAAGTCGATATACGAGTAAGTGAAAGAGCTGTATCATGCTTTGTTCTGGCGCTGATGGGAAGCATAGCTACAAAGTCAAGGTAGAGGCCCTGGAAAAGGGAAGCGTGAAACAACGGAAGCTGATGGACGTTGCGGTGAATTACCTGTGAGTTGTTTCCATGTGTTGTCCACACAGCTACGTGATGCGCGCCCACTACACGTAGATATCGCTATGGAACACTGATCGTGTTTGCTAACTATCTCATTGAACTACGGGAGATGCAGGGAAGAGAGACAAGAGGGTTTTCGGATTGGCTTCGAGAACATAGAGAGATTGCGAAACTGCTGGGGAGGAGGTCATTGGACTAAGGATGGGTGCTTACTCCGTGATGACGATGACGATGACGATGACGATGGCGATGATGACGACAACGACGAGGGGTTACTTAGGGCATGTCGCATTGCGCACAGGCTTTGTTCCGTCTCTATGTATACCTTGCTGCGCAGCTATTGATGTGAGATGTTACACTGTTACGGTGATGTCACAACGAGAGTGACCACTGCCACCGGTCGTTCCATCAATTAGGTTGCCGCTCGCTTTTTACCAAAGGCTTTCCTTTCATTCACATTTACCTGTGTCGTCGTTAATTCCCTCTTCGTACGACACGGCCCCAAACAGCGGCGACGATACCTCCTACGACGTGCTAACCTTGAAAAATATCATAGAGACCGCTCATTAATTTTCGTATCACGCGATAGACAGTCCGCTTGAACCCGCATGATGAAGAGCGCAATGAAGAGCGCGACATCACGATATCTGCTGCTCCTTGTAGTGGCGTCTTGTTTTTTGCTTTCAGTTGCACATGCTCCACATCAGCTACTTGAAGAGCGAAAGCCTAATCTTCATGTACGCCAACAAAGTATATCTGTGCCTCTCGTGGGAGCCACAAGTACGACCCCCACAACTACGCCGCCCACCACAACTCCTACCACTACAGCTCCGCAAACGACGACAACGCCGTCGACTACATCGACACCTCCTACTACTACCCCGACCCAAACGACGACCACGCCATCGCCAACCTCCACTACCGCCCAGACCACCACCACACCACCTTCCCAGACCATTGCCACTACCCCGACCACAGCTCCCCCTCCGTTGACCACCTCGGTGCAAACTAGCACCAATTCTGCTGGCGAGGTAGTTTACAGCACTGTTGTCATTACACCCACGTCCGACCCGAGCTCGTCGAGCACACAATCTTCTCCTACTAGCAGTAGTAGCTCTGATAGCTCTAGTGGCCTTGGCACAGGCTCCATTGTTGGTCTTTCTGTAGCGGGTGGCGTTGCAGTTATTGGCATCATCTCATTCTTTATTTGGAAATTCACCAGAAAACGCTTCGCAGACTTTGATGACAGTGCGTTTTTTGATTTATGACTTGTAAATCTATCATGACCTCACGATTTCACAACCGCATTAGATGAAGCAATCAAGTGGCCAGAACTGAACACCCATGGCTCTGATGTCCATGCGTTGCCAACTAAATCTACGGGCCGGTCAGGTTTCGGCGCAGAAAATGAGTCCGAGGTGAACCTCGCACGCGCACCCAGTCCCGGTGGATACGCCCATTCCGTAGCCGCCAACTCGCTTCCTGAGACCTACGTAAATTCACCAGACCCATATGCCGTCCCTCCCCTCCCACACCTCAACCCCAACCAACCCTACCACGACGACCCCGGGACCTACGGCCAGCCAGACTACTATGATCCCTATCGTGGCCCCGTACCCAACACGTTTGGTGACGGCTTCTCAGATGGCCATACTACAGAGACCATTCAGATGACGCGGATGGCCCGGACCAGGAGTCCGGGTCCACAGATGGGATACGATGTGCAAGGTCGTGCGTCCCCAGGTCCGCAGGCGGCCATGGGGTATGCACTCGATGGGCGGTCGGCAAGTCCCGCAATCGGTGCTGGTAGAGCATCTCCAGGCCCGCAAACCGCATATGGATACGGGCCGCGATGAGCGCTTCTCAGGGACGAGGCAAACGAGGGGAGGCAAGGACGAATACGAAAATAGGACAGAGTTGCTGGATATTTGCTAGATGTCATCCGGAAATTTTGTGTGGGTGGAATGCTAGTACAAGGCTGCTGCCGGCTCGACATGGACCTGCTGCGACAACTTACGGACTGCAATGGACGGTCCTTGGTTCGCCATTATGTGGTTGGTCACGTTCTAACACTTGTCTACGATATCTGCATGACCCTGACTCTATTTTTGTTGTGAATTTCATCTTGCGTTTGGTTTTTATTTGCTGCGTTCCATATAATCATTTTGATTGTTTCATGCACAGACTACTAGCCCCTGGACTCGTCAGCGCCATCATCATCATTGTCAACTCTCTCGTGCTCTCGGTACATCTATTCCTCCATCAATTTTTACTAAGACGCTCGCTGCAGCATATACGAATTCCCTTTATTTTTCTTATCATGTGTTTATATCGTCCATCAAATCCGTAGTATCGAATAAATACCGATCAGTGATCCCAACAGCTTGCGGGAAAGTTTCTACCGTAATAGTTGAAGACAAAGACTTGAACAGGATGGCCCTTGAGCGTTTGAGCTTGGGCTTTGGAGGCATGATAATTGCCCACTTGCACTAGACTCGTAACCAGTCTGGACTACGTCTTTGATATTGTTAAGTGTCTGACGTAGTCTGGTCGATCTCGGAGAAATTTGGCAGGAGAAGCGAGGAGTTTGAAATTTCACACATGCCGGTGATGCCGGTATAGGTAATCGTTGTGTCTGTACAGCGTTGACCTTGTTCGCACCGCTTCAGCAAAGTATTGTATGCCTTTCAAACATTATAGTCCATCGAGCAACAGTACTTAACATCTAATAGAACGATAGAATGATACCTTTTCATGCCTTTCACCTGCCCATGCCACAATATCAGCCACCTGTTGAGCCTTTGATTTGGACTGTCAATCCTTCAAGCCTCGACATTGACGAAAAAATCCTTGGAGTCCTAAAAATCCTTCGTGGGCTTCGCATGACAGTTATGGACCTCATGTTGCACTCTATCTCGCACAAGGCCTCCATGCTACCTTGGAGAGAAGCTTTTTTTCGAAGCAGGGCCCTTATCCAGTTTCTCAATGTGTTGGATGCTGACGAGCAAGCGAGTGAGCAACTTCATGTCATCTTACGACCAATTGCTATCAAGATAGTCACCGACGAGGTTGATGCTGAGATGGAGGCTGCTAAGGACATTTTTGGCATGTCATCGAAAGATATCACCCCCGAACTACTCCTCTCGTTTGATCTTGATGCTTTGCTGACAGCGCGGTTACGAGAAACTACTCCGTGGCTACGACGTATCCTTTTCTCAGCTATGCAGACAGTATGAGCTGCAAAGGAGAACAAGAAGCAGAACATCGAGACGGTAAGTGTTGTGTGCATTCGGTTGATTGTATATGAATAATTTATGAACAGTACTGCACCGTAATTGAGTCGCAAATTGCGAATATTCGCTCCCAAAACAATCTCGCCTTCCAAATGATCCACGGATTATGTTTAGTGGTGGTTCATCACGTAAAACCATCGATCTACTTGCGTGTTGCAGTCTTTCTCCTGCCTACGACACATTACACAATGCTCATGTTGCGATGGCTGATGGCCAGATACAGCGGAAATAAGATCGAGTCGTGAGAAGGCCTCAAGAACTTGCTGGTGTTGTGTCGTTGAAAGGGCACTCGTAAAGTCCGTCGGGAGATCTTCAATCGCATCTCGAGCAGCGAGTGATAAAGGTCGTACGGAACTCATGGTTGAAACTTAACATAGCATATAGTCTGAACGACAGTAGACGCATAAGTTGTACTACGTACGATCGAGTATCGCCGGCACGACCGGCTTCTACTAAATTTCAAACTCCTCGCTCTGCCTGCCAAATTTCTACCAGCCTGGCTACACCGTCGCTTGCTGAAATCCTGTCCCACACATCCAAAAGTAGTAACGTGTGGTAAAGCTGTTCGAAATGTCGTTAAAATAATTTTCGCACCTTGTATTGTCGACCAATTTAATACTTGACTATTTGATCTATCACGCGAGGTGTGTGACACGCATGTATTAAAAAATTTCAGAGTATCATATAGATCCTGTAGGTACAGTAGAGACCGGAGCTATTATGAGTATCAAATTGATTTATCTTGAATATGTTGCAAGTCACACCTCGTAAAGACATATTGTCCTATCTTGTATAGACATTGAGCTTAATAGGTTGTATGTACCTCTGGTCGAGACCAGTCCGACATAGACTCATACTGTACTTGGGGTAGCTAATAGCAACCAGCTTGCCAGCGCCGTGCCAATATCATGATTCTCATATGCATTTTGCGAGGCAATGAATCCGTGAAAAGCAGTCCAAAAAACATTGCATTATTAACGAGCTAGTCACAATCCTGATTATGGTGTTGAAATGAATGGTATGTAGAGAGCGTGCAAATGATATCGAGCGGAAACGAGCAGCTGGCATATTCACTACCAAAGTAGATCAGTCTGAATCTTTGTCTGCCACTGAGGATTGGCAACGGAAAGAAGTTTTGGGACACTTCTCTTCCCTGGAAATTCGGCGAGGTCCTGCTGGAAATATTCAACCAGGATGCTTCATAATAGTGAGTAACCATGTGCAGAGCGAAGTAGCAAGGATCTTACTTCCTGACGATATTCTCAGCCGGTGTTCCATCACCAAGTTCCTCTGCCTCAGCCTTTCCCATTTTGCGAACACCCTCAAGTGAGGCATCCACGAACCTCCAAAACTTGCTTGATGTGAAAATGGTGCGCTTTCCGTTGCCCCTGAATCCCGAGTCATTGGGGTCAAGTTCGTACTTCTCCTTCTCTGCCACACCAGACAAATCTCTCTCAGGCTCATCCTCGTCACCATCTCCCGGGCCATCGTGGTTGATATTGAGATCAGTTCTGCCATCTTCAGCATTCGCACCATTCATGCTACCTTCAATGCCTCCCATGCCGTCTGCGCCATTCTCATCAACTTGGCCACCACCTTCAACTATGGGGTCGGAGTCGAAGTCATCCAATCCAACATTGATGCCAAGTGCATCACCGACTTTGACACGAAGGTCTCGGTGGAGGGACGGAAGGAGGGACGGAGAATAAATATCCTGTAGAGGAATGGTCTTGTAGTTACCAGTGCCGATAAGAAAAATGCGCAGGCAGCGCCGCTGCCAATAGAGTCTCATTGTTAAAACGGGCAGCCAGGAGTGAACAACACCGTACCAAAAACGCGTATCTATTCCAATGCAATGCATCAACCTCTAGGCAACCATGAGCCAGTGATCTTGCGGTATCTATGATACTCAAGCGTTTTATGATTGACGACATCAGCTGAATCAGTCTCAGCTTGGCGTTGTTCTGTAGAGTATTTTTTGCAACACTCACCTTAGCCTTTACATTGCCGCGAATGCACGAAAGCGCTTCACTGACAAGTGTCGATAATTGTGCGGTGAGCTCAATGTCTTCAAAGAGGAACGGCGGGACCTTGAATATCTCGCTGTTTTTCTTGATAAATTCCTGTCATTCTGATCAGTTGCTACTTTTGTACAGAAGGATATTGAAAGCACCATGACATGTTCCAGTGTGTCGTTGACATATGCAGTGAGATTAGGTGATAACACACAAGCTGTGAGGCGGTTCTGAAGACCCGACTGTGTTATGCTTGATTAGTTTGAGGTCGGCAATAGATTGATACGGTCAGACACAAGTACCTTGAAATCTTTGGATTCTATTAGTTCCTTGATTTCTGCAAGGAGAGACTTCCGGTTCGCCGCACTAAATAACATCATGGTGGCCTTAAGATCGATGAGCATATAGGCAATTCCTCCAGTCTAAAGACGCATCAAGGATGACTCATGATAGAATTGAGAGAAAACTTGCATCAACAAAGTCAACGAGATGATCCTTATCGACACCTCTCTCTTCAGCAACTTTCATTGTGTACAATTTGAGTCGCTTTGTGAGTCCAGGCGTAAACATTGATGGGTCGTTACAGTCAGTGCTAGAGGATCTCTGGCGACGCACGCCAGCACTAATAGGCTCGTCCAGTGAGTCATTTGGTGAAGCACACCGGCGAGAGGGAACGTCAGTTTGACCTGGAGAAGCATGATTGATAGTTATGGCATGGGAAAGCGGCGAGTGTGCACGACTGATGTGTCCTGCAGATCTGGACACTGAAGGAGGTTGAGAGTTATTCCGGGTACTAGAAATCGAACAGCTCCTGCCTCGAGGCACAGCAGTGGGTGGTGCTAACATGCCATTTGCTGAACGTGAGGCACATGTGCTTCTCGAATTTGAGTTGGACCGCACGGGATAGCGCTGGAGCAACATGATGTTGGGATGTGGACGCACTGCACAGGAGCAGTTCACTGTTATGCTCGAGGTTGACCGACAAAGAGGCAAAGAAGTTCGGTGGCTGAATGAATTGAAACCTCGCTTCCTCTTCGCTTGCGTCAATTTGGTCGTTACATCATATTTTCTTCACAAGACGTTCTCGAGCCCATAAAAGCAGCAGCAATAGAGTATCAAAAAGAATATATTGAAGTGTGGGTGGAGAAAGGTGCTGGGAGGGAGATGATGGGAAGGAAGAGATAATCACTAAATATATTATCTGAGCGCCAATCAATCACACACTTGAATACAAAAACCGTATTGGCAGGGTTACAATAGCCTCAGGTTTTGCAGCCACCAGACATCCAATCTAAAAAACCGCCAGACACCTAACTTAGACCGCCAGGCACCTAACCTGATGGAACGACGACCGCCAGACACCAAACTTAGACCGCCAGACACCAAACTTGATGGAATGACCGCCAGACATCTAACTTAGACCGCCAGGCACCTAACCTGAATGGTTTGAGGGTCTTTGTGTGCCTGTAAGTAGAAGTCGCGCACTGATGGATTAGTGACTCCCTGATCGGCAACGAATTCTGTGTGTACCTTCAGAGTTCCTTAGACCGCCAGGCACCTAACATGAATGGTTTGAGGGTTTTTGTATGCCTGTAAGTAGAAGTCGCGCACTGATGGATTAGCGACTCCCTGATCGGCAACAAATCCTGTGCTTACCTTCAGAGTTCCTTAGACCACCAGGCACCTAACCTGAATGGTTTGAGGGTCTTTGTATGCCTGTAAGTAGAAGTCGCGCACTGATGGATTAGCGACTCCCTGATCAGCAATGAATTCTGTGCGTACCTTCAGAGTTCACATTCCGCCAGGATATGGTGCACCAAACTGAGGGTAGCAGTGCTGACTCTGCAGATATCGAGCCTGAGATTCTTGGGGAGGATAGCCTGAGTGAGGCTGTGGGAAGCAGCCTTCAACATTATGTGGCGGGTGGTGTGCTGGAGACATGAAGGGTTGAAATTGGTGTAATGGTGGGGCACGAGAAGAGCTGGAGGGTCCAGAGATAGAGCCAGTATGCCGGGGCTGTGGATGGTCAGAAGGAAAGCGAGGCGTCAAGGTCATATAGCGATTAGAGGCCTGCACTGCAGAAAGTGGATCCACTGGGGTGCCCTGCACGTTTTGTGTTTGCCGATGAGTTGGGTGAATATGATGAGCAGGTAGAGATGGCGGAGCATGGAATTGAGAGGGAAAATATGACTGTGGGGGAGGGCAATACAACGGGGGTGGTGATTGGTGGAGTGGAGGTGACGAATGATGTGGAGGATGGGGTGGCTGGAGTGCCTGTGAGTAAACATGTTGCGGAGGTCCCATTGGTGGTGTAAAGACGATTTGATGTTGCATTGATGCTTCCGAATTTTGCTGAGTAGGTGCCGTCTTCCTTTTTCCCTGCACACTCGAGCCACTTGCGCTTGCTTTGGCCGGTTTTGCTTTGGCTTTAGGTGCAGACTTCCGTGGTTTAGCCGGAGCATGATCAAAGGCAGAAGGTGGCGCTAAAGATGGCTGAGCGTCCATACCCTCGCCACTACCTGCCAGTTGAGACATATCTCCACCTTTCTTCGCTGCTCTCTTGTCTCGTAGTTGGCGTATGGCCATAGCGCGGACTTCAGCTACATTGGTAACCTGAAGTGGTGTCTCTCGAAGCGTATCGGGAACAACACGTTGGATGTGAGCGTAGTTATGCACGGAATAGACATTGAGAAAAAAGTTTGGCGTGGACTTGTGTTTGACTGTGGCCTTCGTTCGAGAGGTCTCTATCCGTTCTTGATGTACAGGTTGTTGTTAGATGTCCGTGCACTGTGAATCAAGGCAATTATGTTGAATATTGACAGCACAAATGATGTCCTGTAAGGTGATCACAGTGAATGTTTGACTTGCATATAAAATACACAACGTACTATACCAGTTGAAACTGTCTCGTTGTTGGTAAGATCAATGCACGGCAGGTGGAGAGACGGGTGCAGAGCAGCTGCAAATGTGAAGAGCTGGAGCGCAACATGATCTGCAGTTTGACTGTCCTGGGATGACACGAGAATCTCACGAATACGTCCAATATACAACTGGAAGCAGCATCACAGCCGTGTCAATGAGCAGCCATCATGATGAAAAGAAAAGAAGACTGGCTCACCTTCCTGTCCGCCGGCTGTCAGAAAATAACATGACTATTCAAGCTCGCGTGTTCTCCCTCGCTTGTTACAACTGACTTGGCCTGATAAAGCTCGATTCCGGGCCGAGCAGTCCCAAGAATCTTCGCACAACGAGTAGTGCTCCACAGGACCACATCTTTTCGCACTGACTTCTGTGTCGCAGTGGGAGTAGTGGTTTCAATTCTTCCTGAACCTGTACATTATTAGTATAGTGATAGCGCATGTTATTAGACTGACCAGGTATTGGAGGATTATGACTCAAATTCGGTATGCCAAGAAGCTTTGCTTGTTCGGGATGTTCGTCAAGGTAACATAGAACCTGTACTCCCGCACAGACCCATTTCTTAACTGTGGGATCATGCCAGTATCCGCCGGTAGCGATGTGTTTGACCGTGTCCTGGTGTGAAAAGATCCTGCAAGTATCTCTACTTGGCGCCTGTCGGTTGCTGTGGATGCACGATAAACGGAATACATGATTGAATGACTCGTATCGCTCAGTTGAAAAAACAATCGCAGGGCCGAAATGCCGAATGTACGCAGGAAGATGGACGAGGAAATGAAACTTTGGTTTGCTTATCAGGATGCTCGGTGCACATTGTGTCATGACATTCAAGAAATCTTCGATGGTTCGAGACAGTATTGCCTATCTCGCAAGGGTATCAGACACGCCTATCAAATAGAACGTGCATCGAACTCACAAGATATGCTTCCGTATCTGTAATTTTCGTATGCCAGACAAGCACGACAAGTTCACCAATCACTGTCCAGGCATTGAGGACCGGCGGAGGAACAAGGTCGTGAATGATGAATGGCATAACTTGCACCAAACTTTTGAAATGCTTACCGATTAGACTATCTTTATAGTGGCAGATATAGTCTGCGTTCAGGCAGGGAGCATTGAGGCCGTCTTTGTCAATGGACTCGAGCTGACACTGGAAGATGTGGAGAAACTTTGCTTTCTTGAGAAGAAACACTGTCTGCCCCCAAAAATACTTGACGACGCCCAGAAGTATTGTATGAAGGATTTCCGTAGGAGTGTCCATATGAATATCCAACCCTGTAGGAATTTCAAGCTAAGCAAGAGACGTATGGTAACCAAAAAAAAACTCACCATCCGTTCCCAGTAGGGGATTGATAATGTCATCGAGTTGTCCGCCTTTCAAGAGTTCTTCGAATTCTTTTCGAAGGGCGACTTCGACTTCATTTTTGGGCAGAGCTTGTGATCCCGCAGTACGTTTTCGAAGCTTCTTTCCGAGTTCGACCAACGCACTGAGAATCGAGGCTGAACTCGAATCTCGCACACCAGTCAATGAAACAGAGTTCTGGATTTTGGTCATGGCGCCTGATTTGAAGGCAGTTTCAAACTGTTGTCGAATCTCTTGAAGTGTCTTCTCGGGGGTTCATAGATTGCCTGACTGCAAGCACTAGTAAGTCACATGGAAGATATGAGAAAGATGTTCATACCGTAAAAATGGTGTTGTAGCCAGCTTCAGATTCCTTGTACTCTTTTGTTCCACCAACCTTGCATGTCCTGCAGAAATAGTTGCAATTGAGGCCCGCGTGGCTACATTCTTCAGCCTGCATCGGATTATCTCCAGCGAGAAATAGCACATATGGAATGAGCATAACCTCCTCGTTGTACTTGCAATCCCACACGATGACGCCAGATTGTGCTGCATCACTACATGCATTTAGCGATACTAGAATACAAATGTCAAGTAGAACGACGTACGAAATAGATTCTCTCATGGCCCGCATCAATTCCATAGGCGGAGCATGAGGAGAGGATGAAACAAATTGCACAAAGAATTCCTTTTCGAGCATCTCACGAGGTAAATTCGCGTTGGACATGTATATAGCGTGATGCTTGTTCCACTGCTTCGAGATATTACCTGAAACATCGTCCATAAAAATGATTAAGGGAACGGAATACACCATTCGACCTCTCGACTTTTCTCGCAGCGGATTGGGTGAAAGCGACGCGTACTTGATGGAAGATGCTGCACCACATTTTAGTTCCATAGTCACTAACAAAAGCATAACCGAACGTACCCATCAGCCCACAATCAAGCTTGCCGCAGGTTGCGGCAATGTCTCCAAACAAGTGTGTAAACATAGACGTAGGGATGATCTCCTCCTCGTCACTTACAATGAACCCAGCCTGACAAACATTTGAGGACAAGCACACGTTACATAGATGACTGTGTACCTCTGTCCATTGAGCAGCTCGACCCAATGCATATAGCACTTTATCGCAGGATTCGGTGGTATCAGCGGGGGTGTCACCAGCAGCTAGAAAGAATCGGTTTGGAATAAAATAACCTCCCGAAGACTCCTGCAACAATTCATCCGTGAAGTACACGGTCCTGTTCACCTGAACCGCTGGTGGCGACGGGAGATCGAGCAACATTTTCCTCCCATTGAATACTTGCGACATGGCCTTTCCGCCATCCTCCGGATAGTCCTGCATCGCAAGGCGGGTGAGAGGATTAGCATAGTCCTATGAATTATATCAACATTGCATCAGCGCAAAGATCCAACCCATGAACCTTCGCAATTGCTTTGGCAATATTATTGATGTAGAATGTGTTGCCGGAGTGAGACGTAACCTTTTCAGTCGGATCGCCAACGAGATACTGCAGGTGACTTTGGCATTTCTTCATCGCGCCAAGCGAAGGAAGATTCTGGACACCGAGTTCCTTGGCCCAGCTCAAGACCGCCTTCTTTTGAACTTCAGAGAATGGAAGGCGTGGGGAGCTAAACAAAAGAGATGTGATGAAATGCTTGATACTGTTAGATGTATTAAATAAGTGCGTGCAATGAAGAAAGCTTACCACTTTCGATGGCCAAGGATACAAGGGATGATCTGGAGAGACGACTAAGTTTTTGATTGCTGGTTCAAGAAGCGGGTCGTCTGAAAATACTGCTGAGTATCAGATTGTAGAGCGCAGGAAAGATGGTTAACTTACCAGGAATTTCAATACCGAAGTCAGATGCACTGTCGTCGACAAGTTCACATGTTTTGTTTGTGGGAATGATGGGCGTCGAGATGGCAATGTGTCCCGAGGCAACAGACGCCTGAAGCTCAGCAAACAGGTCCAGGAATTCACCATCAAGCTGGAGTTGTCGACTGCTGACGATCTGATTCCAGAGATCCGCTAACGGATACTCAGAATCTGTCTCAGGCACCACAGACGGTCTATCAGCTTGCATGTTGATGGATGTATTATCCATGCAATTGAAATCGATGCTGAAGTCATCGTGACCAGCAGGGGAGAGTGAAGGATCAGGGCTAACAGGCGCTGCAGCAGAGACACGTGGCTTTCTGGTCTCAGAAAGCCTTTTCTTGATGTTTTTGGCACGGCGAATGTGCATATCTTGCTTTGAGTGCTTTTCAGCATGGCGGCGTGACATGACACGATAGGCGCCTTGTTTTTGAGGACATGCGGTGCAAAAGACACGATCTGTACCGTCATCGCAGAATCGTAAAACTGTAGATACCACGTAGCATTTAAATAGATAAGCAAGGAGTTGATAAAAAAATACACGTACTATAGCCGTCGATGATGTCATCAAGCATGCTGGGCAATTTGTCGAGGACAGTGTTGTGCAGCACGCTGGTGGTGGATGTGAGCAATCACGTGATAGTGCACATCCGAAATTTCGACAAGTCCAATCTCTCACGCCTTCACTATTATGATTCAAGCTGATCGTCGTTGCTTCATCGACGTCGGTATGAATTCCACATTATCACTCACCAAAGTTTCCACTATCTACCCTGGCATTCATTATACAGACAGCCATGCCTCGCTCCAACCAATGTGCCTCACTGTCTGCTTTCCCGGGACATTTCCGAGACAGATTTTGGAAAGGAGCAATATTGTATGTATCTTCATCAACTTTCCTCGAGGCTTCCTCACAAGTCGACGCTAGCCTGTCCGCATATCAGTATCTATTGATGAGGAATACGGAACATTTACCACACCAGTCATAGAGGTTGCATCGCTAGACTTGCGCCATCGTGGTGGCTTGCTACACTGTTCAGGAGGCTCGGATGATGTGAGTGTACATGACATTTGTTCAACTGTCGGCCTACTTACATCATGCCAAAGTCAAATTTGTCCTTAGATATGTCTAACGTTGGCGAACCCACTATATCATTCCTCCCACTCCCGCCTTCATTCGACTATGTCAATCGAGCAGATTGGGAAACAGTCGCCCAGCGAATTCAAGAATGGGTCACCACAGAAGTAGCCACAGAATCATCGCTATGGACGTGGGGACGCGACGCTTTCTGGCTGGCTTTCGTTGCTGCCTATCCGTCTTTCCCGATGGGCAAGTGGCCGATGTGGGATCTTCGTATTCCACTGGAGGGATCGTTCATCGAAGAGTGGCTACAGCATTCAAACGACTATGGCGCTGATGAGGAGGTTCTGGCCCAGGACGATGCAGTGAGTGATATCTGGAACGAATTTTGTAGACACGCAGCGCTCTTCTATCCCTTTCCACTCATTTCCTTGGCTTGATATCGTAGCGTTTTTGTTGTCTGATTTGTTTTAAGCCTGCCATGGTGTCTGTCATCACATGTTAGTATGTATAGGCCAATGATACCCGTCAGTATTACTGTACATATCAAACTCTTTGTTGTATTTGAAGTATGGACGCCAATGTCAAAGGTTTTGACTTGAACAGTTTGGATGACGCCTGTGTCGAAAACCACTCGACAGATACATTTTTCGAAGCTATGGCGTGTGGTCTCTGGATGTGGCAGTCAGAGGTAAAGATAGCAGGCATATTGATGGGATATCTACAAGCTATCTCATTTCCAAACCTGTCACGCATAACTCACCCCAAGCTACTCCATATGTAGCGCGTGTGATATTTGGATGAACTCTGTGTCGTGTACGTGCAATATATGACTGATTTTCACCAGACATCAGAATCATTTCCCCACTAAACAACAAATTTGCAACCTTTATGGCACAAATTCATTATTTATCCACAAAACCCCAATTATAGCCAGAGTTCTGGGAACAAACCGGGTCTTCAACATAATTTTCGCACAATATTGGTCATTGATAGACCGGCAACTGGTGGTGTACGCCACTCGACTTGTTCGTGGTATTGGTAAGCCAGGCTGGTCACGAGCCTACACTTGCACGCCAAGATACATTCAAACGTATGTCAATTTTTATTGTTTTGTTGATAGGAAAAAATACCAGGTTATCGTACTACTACTTAGTTCTGCCGACTCCAACCACTGTAGTACTGCCGGCAAATGCCGCTCGGGAATTGCCACTGCATTCTGCCAACAACACTATGTCGGAAAAATCTAAACACCAGGATGGTTTACAAATTCGACCCATCGACGCTAGAGACTGTCGGAACTCCCTTTGAAGAGCACACCAAAATTGTCACCAGCCTAACACTCTCACTGGATGGAGCTCTCCTCGCTAGTGCGTTCTTCGACAACATCATCAAACTCTGAGTTTTCGAGTCCCATTGGCTCCTAGCTTCCTTTGATGTCCAGAATTTTCTTGGACTTTCCCTGTCATCCGACTTGCGTCAACTGGCGTGTACGACAAACACTGAAGATGACTGCAAGATTTGCATCTGCAACACTCTACCTGACGTCCTTGCTCAGACCAGTGTACGCATTTCCTTCAAACGTCCACTGTAAGTGTGCTGACATTCCCTCACAGACCACTAGACAAAAGTTAACCCTCAATGACCTGCTGCATGTGCGCATCTCATTCTTTGATTCATTACACCACTCACCCATTGCTATTATTGCAGTCTCGTGCAACTTGTCGTCTTCCTCGCGCGCACCACAGACCACCAATAGCTGCCATACCTATGATGCAGAGACCTCCGCCTACAAGAGACCCGAACCAGCCTTTGCTTCAGCAAATTTCATGAACACTTCACGGCCTGCTCGGAAGGATCTACCTCATGATTCCCTAGATGCATGTTTTTTCTTTTGTTTCTTTCGCATCTTATTCAACGCTCGTGATGTAATTCCCTACTACATCGCCATTACCTTCCAATCACTCTCGTGCTCACAGCCCTCTATCGACTCCCTTGCCCTTTTTTCAATCCTATTTGGTCGTCGTGAGACAAGGGGAATCAGAAGGCCCAACGACAAACTGTCAAAGTTGTCGATGTTCAGCTCGGACAAGCTACCTATGTTTGTCTCTACAACGTTGTTACGATCGTGAGAGCTGACCGCGTCGTTTTTATTTTCTAGGCCGATGATATTGGTGTGGACGACGGAACACGGCCGTGCGTTCTCTTCTTTTGTCTCAGTTGGTTTCAGCAAAGGGAGAAGAGGTAGGAAGCATGGCTAGTCTATGATGACGAACCCGAGGACGATGAAGAGGAAGACCATGCTCTTGATCCAGTCACTGTGTCTCCTCCTGGGTACGGTCAAGCTATTCTTTCATACAATTCATGCACTGATGCAGTATTTTAGAATCCAGCACGAGACGTGGAATTGGAAACTTTGCTAGTCACAGCCAGGGGCAGAACTATCTCCCCTTACGGTAGCTAATCACTTGGAGGCGCGATCATCGTCAATGTGACCTCCGTCGAGCATTCAAATATTCATCTGTTGACTTTCGCATTTTACTTGCAGCTTTTATAGCCATCTTGTATAGAATGACTTGTTTGGGGAGAATAAACGCAGTCGCATCCTCACTCCAAGTGCATTGACGGATTTCAAGTTTGAAATTTGAAAAGGGAGGCTTGATATATCTACAACTGTTATCGATGATCGATGGACATACGCTCGTTTCCCGCCCAGACCAGCATTCCAGATTCGTCCGATCACTTATGGGCGCAAACCCGAGCTTCTGGATCATGTTCATAACTCTCCAGTAATCCAGCAGGAGTTGTCGACAACAGTGAAACAAGTGGATACGCGGCTTCTTTTCCAGAGGCGTGGGTATCGGTATCATCCGGACAAGCAGCGTACCCCCTTTCCGATGGTTCATCTTGGCCAGAATCACTGACAGGACATCATACACCCTGTGTCGCACCAATCCAAGTTGGGCTACTTTGTGATTGATGTACAAGGGAAGTTCCCTGTCACTTTGATATCCGGGGAAGCTGAATTCCTCGGGCCTCGCACACCAATGCACCCTAAATCTTGGATAAAGGTATTCGAGAGCTGCGCGTTTCTGTTGTCAAGAAGTAGGCTTCTGTTTCTAGGAGTGGCAATGGAATACGCCGTACGTGTTTCAGCTCCTCGTTTCTGAATCCTTTTGCGTTCAGAATCCCGTACCTTTGTCCTTTTACCCGACTCACGCCGATTAGTTTACACGACAAACGCAGAAGATGGTTACAATGTCTACATATGCAACGCTCCACCCGACGTCTTTAAGCCTAGACCGGTGTACACATTTCCTACAAACAATGTTCTACCGTTCGGGTACTTACAATTTCTTATAGAAAATGCACGCAAAAAGTCACTGGGCATCAGCGATCTAAATGTGCGCATCTCAGACCTCCGCCAGGATGACACAACGAATAGCAGCCGTGGTGGTGCTCACGGTCGTATTTACCAGTAGCCCGGCGTTCATATCCAAGTATTATCTTTTACCCAGTGATGATCTCGAACTTCTATGCAGCACAATTCTACTTCGAGTAGCTTCGCTGGCATTAACCCAGTGTTTAAGTTTTGATATCTTCGCTCTTCCTTTATCTCATGACTGGCCATGTGGTGTGTGTTACCAATGTGCTGTATATTTACCGAGCTCATGCTATTCCAATGGGTACCCGTCTTTGTTCATGTTCCTACATTTAACCTCCACGTGAGTACCACCGCTGTCACTATCGGCTATACAGCGTCACGCGGGTATCCAGTTATCGATATCTACGATTACTTGTAAGAGACTGGGCGATCACGATGGAATTATCAATGACAGACTGGCATCGGATGTACATTCATGCATGAAATCATAAGCTTACTCTGCAGGAAAGACGTTGGTCAGTACTATGAGATCCAGGAAGCAGAGTTGCACACCGACTAGGACAACTTTATCCCATAAGTTGGCCTCTTTTACCTTGTAGGGGCAGCAAGAAATAAATATCTACGCATCTCTGTGAACGCCATGGCAGAATACGAGGCTCTTCGGGGAGGGGGATGGGATGGGTGCGTACTCGAGATTGGTAAAAATGAATCACCGTGGTTTTCTCATGGGGATTCATTTTACCAACACGCGTGCACTAGCATCGACAATGCAAATGCTACGGGACATACCTGAGATCTGATTTGATCTGTTACATCGCGTGTTTCGCAGACGATGTCGCAGGTCAACTTGGTGCACGTCGTATCTGTGCATGCGTATCAACCTTTGTATTGTAAGCACGAGGGAAATACTCACTGGGTGTCTTTGACCAGGTCATTGTGGGATGTAGCAAGATGTACTGGAGGCAACGAAATCGATAGCGTGGGATTAGTATTGTGATCTATACATAACACGCATCATGGGGTCTAGATCCTGGGACCTGGGCCTGAGTACCAAGCAAAGATAACCCCAACCTGCCCGTGGCCCACTTCACCATGCTCTCGTTTCACTCGCTTATCAACCCAGTCAGAACAACATCGACAATTCAATAAGCAAAGTTCATATGTATTTCGCTTCTCCTCGATGATAATGCATACAATTTCATAGTACAATCATACATCGAGCCAGATCAAACACCAAGGCTGGAATAATATACAGCGAGGCAGAGCCCAGCAGTTGCCCGGTAGATCAACGTTGACGTTCAATCAACACTTGCACTCTCCGGCCTTGCATTGGCACCTGAAGTTGTGAATCAGAACGAGACTAGTATTACACAGAGTGCGACTTACGAGGCGCCGCATGAGCAGGTGGTCGAGCCACAGTTGTTGTTGGAAACAGGGACTTCAGTGACCTGCAAACCAAAATAAGATAACGAAATGCGATACAATCAGAGATTGACTTACGGTGAACATGATTGTAGTGGATGGGTCTCAAGGTAGCTTAGGGATTGGAGGTTTGTCAGTGCGCTCTTATATAGATTCCTTGTGTATGGTCTTGTTGAGCCCAAATCAAGTGATCATCCCGCTCACTTGGCTTCCCTCTTTCGGTTCTACCATCCATTAAATCGCGCAAGTACCTTATTGGTCCAGCCGCCATCGACATGTACCTCCATCAAAAGCCTCATGACTGCGCAGTGCAATCACATGGAATTGGAAACAAAAATAGTTCATTGCGGCTAAGCTCCTGTACCGCAGACCTTAAAGAGGAAATGAGTTCCTCACGTCAGCGTCCAAGGCTCATCCCCATGTCATCACATGTCCGTCACCCTCAAACAAATGTTGGTCCTCAGCGCAGCCAACCGCACCACTATATCTGGCACACGAGCAGGTGCACTCGAAGCCTTGCAGCAGAACACCTGGGTGCACCTTGCTTGCCATGGCAAGCAGGACCCTACGCCGCGAAACATCTTCCGCAGGTCGAGTTCGCGTTTTTAACGGCTTGTCATACTGCTGTAGGCGATACCGTTCTATCTCTTCCGACCATCCAAGAATTTTCCATCCTGCCCCGCACTGGACTCTTCGGCTCACCTTCACCTGCCAGACGCGTCTCCTTCGCTTTTTGGAATGCTTAAGCAATGTTGAAGTACATGAGGAGGATGTCGAGGGCCTTGCCGCATGATCAACAAAGCCCGCAATCTCTACTCCGCCTATCCAGCGGTCTGAGACTGTATCAGACATTCACAACTCATTCATGTACTACACCATGCCATCATTCAATTTCGACGTTCAACCTCCCATTCTTGACTCACGCCAACTGGCTTACACGCGTGCACAATTGTCCATGTCTGCGCTCATGAAGCCTGAAAAAGCATGATACCTATATATGCTACAAGACGGTTACACCATATTACGAAAGTCAATATCCCATGGTCCATGGTGCTTTCGATACGACGAGGGGTGGGCCACTAGTTGTTCTCGAAGATGAGAAGCAGGAGCAAACAGAAGCTTGCATCTAACGTTCCGGTAACATCGCCTATAACCATCTCTCGCTCCTCGACTTCCCTATTCTGTACACTGCTTTCCTTCGTTGGTACAGTAGAGATATCCAGGACATCGGTTGAAACATTGTCAATGTCAAGACCTATAGCAAATGAATCGAATAAATACCGCGACGAAAATATCGCCGAAATCTATATCTCCTTGACATCTATTTTGTGACACTAGATAACTACTTGAGCACCGCAACGAGACTTGGAATAGAAACAAAAAAAAACAAATTTCCCGTGCTCCCTGCAAGCACTAGACAACCGTTCGCGTCAACTTCACCGAGCATTACACACTACTGCCAGTCGATATATGCACACGCCCTTGGAAAACGATTGAGGTCATGCCGGTTGCTGCGTCGGAGTCAGCCACGAGTTTGGCATGATATTCTCGAACGCCAAGGATCAGCCGTGGTCCTAACACGAACATCTGCACGACCTCCAAAATCTGAAACAAGCCATACAAAGTCTGATCTTCCAGGAGATATTGGCTCTGTAGAAATGATAGATCGTGGTCACATGTAGAGGTAAGTGAAAGATTGACATACCGTTGATAATGTTGGAGAGAATTCAATAATGAACTCTAAGCAAGAGACAGCAACAAAGCTATCATGTCCGACCCTTCAGTGGAAAAAAGGACAATAATAACGATATGAACTTACCTCGCAAAGTAAACCACGTGAGTTTTCATCAACACCGTAAAACAGTCGCCGATAATCCCTCCTGCCGCATGTAATCGCAGTTCACGGAAGTGTTTTACCGCAATCCAGACTGCGAGACATAGTGTGAGGACCTCCCACACAATGGAGAGTATCCAAGTAGCAGAATATAGAACTAGGGTATCTCCTGTATAGTCAGTCGTGCACTGGTAGGTGCCGGAAAGAATGAGTTCCTCTGGTGTCCATCAAACGAGCCCTATGCACGTTCGTTTTCATCCATAATTAAGCGTACCTCCTGAAGTATGCATCGTTGACATTAAGGCTGTCACACCATCAAAAGCGTTGATCGCCAGGAAGGTGACAACAAGAAATATCAGGATCTCTCTGGATTGTTGATACATAGCATGCAACCGAGTGATGATGATGACTTCCGGCATGTTTCAGTCAAGTGAATATTTCTGAGGTCTCACAAGCGCCAAGCTCACCCCACAGCATTGCATATACCAACACATCCATCCAATTCTGTACGATGTATATAATGAAGCCTGACAAACCCAGTCAGTGACCAGCCTCGGATAACACACACTCCAAAGACTTACATCTGTGGCAGTATAGTGTGGTAGTTATTAGCGAACCAAGAAGTTGGTAGTAAAGAACCAAACCCACTGCTACAGGGCACCACGGTTAATTGAAGGGGAATAGCAGGCATCTGTGCAGAAGACTCACTGTATCTGTCAGCCAGATGGTCGGAACATTAACTGCATGCCGCTGGTTAGAAGAAGCGAAGAAAGTGAATATACTAAGGCGACATACGCAGGATAGACATGCTGATTACGAGACATAGATGATTAGCACAACATCGATTGTTTAGCATTCCGAACCTACGCAGCATATAAGATTCCAAGATAGCGCGCCTAGAATACTTTCAAGTTAGCACATCACGATAGCGGCGACACACAAGCTACATACACTGAGATACAGAACTGTCATTAGGGACCAGTGTTGCCTCTGTGAATAAGTGTATCTTCATGTGAGTTCCCTCCGCCATGAGACTCTACTCACCCAGATCAATTCGACCTATAAAGGGATTCTTAGCGAAATGGCTGCTCCGGTCATGGCATCGACATACCTCTTGCCCAAATGTGAGTGCTGAAAATAATTGTAAGATATCAGCAATCCTTTAATATTATCGTGCTCACACCAATCATACGTCACCCCAACAAAGGCGGCAACTGCGATACCGGAGCCAAGGTTAGATTGAGACATCGGAGTCAGCGCTCAGCGTCAACATCCGATTGCTCCCTACGAACCTGGAAAATAGCTGGCAAAACGATATGCATTGATGGCGGGCCACCAAGTAGGATCATTTGAGATTGTTGACATATTGGTAGAGAATGGGAGGTGAACTTGGTAAACGTATAGCGATGACATTCGCGCGATATGTACGCCTTGCTCGCTATAGTTTGGTAACCGAAATATCAACAAGATCAAGGTAAATATTTGTGCATAGATCAAGTTGACAGTTCTTGTATTAGAAAATTGATGAACTTGTTCCCTGGAAGCCCCGTCTGTGGCTAGGTTGGGCTGTGCTCAGAGGGTTACATAACTCTTCGCAAGCAGACGAGTACGAGATTCGGAGGTACAACAACTTGTTAGCATGGGACAACGCGAAGAAAGGAACGGTACAAGCTTGAGCTCAATAGGTGTGGACGTGGACGCGATGAGACTATGGCCATATTGTTAGAGAATGGGTGCGGGTGAGAGGTGAACTTGGTAAACGCATAGCGATGACATTCGCGCTATATGTACGGGGCCGTGCTCGCTATAGTTTGGTAACCGAAATATCAATAAGATCAAGGTAAATATTTGTGCACTCCACATAGATCAAGTTGCAGTTACGGACCCGGTTCTTATGCAGAAAATTGATGAACTTTGTTTCCCTGGAAGCTCTGTGGCTAGGTTGGGCTGTGGCTAGAGCATTACATAACTCTTCGCAAGCAGACGAGTATGAGATTCGGAGGTACAATAACTTGTAAACGTGGGACCACACGAAGAAAGGAATGGTACAAGCCAATTGGTTGTTTTGAGGTGTTGACGTGGACGCGACGAGATTCCATTTTATGTAAGCAGTGTTGGCACCAAATGTGAACACATTTGTAACACGAATATCACTGATTTCTAGGAACAAAAGGCCTATTATGATCTATATATAACACGCAGGGTCTAGATACTGGGACCTGCCTGAATATCAAGCAAAGATAACCCCAACCTGCCCGTGGCCCACTTCACAATGCTTTCGTTTCACTCGCTTATCAACCCAGTCACAACAAAATCGACAATTCGATAAGCAAAGTTCGTATGTATTTCGCTTCTTCTCCTCGATGATAATGCATACATTTTCATAGTACAATCATACATCGAGCCAGATCAAACACCAAGGCTGGAATAATATACAGCGAGGCCAAGCCCAGCAGTTGCCCGGTAGATCAACGTTCGATCAACACTTGCACTCTCCGGCCTTGCATTGGCACCTGTACACCAAGTCGTGAATCAGAGCGAGACTAGTATTACACAGAGTGGGACTTACGAGTCGCCGCAATTGCAGCTGGACGAGCCACAGCTGTTGTTGGAAACAGGGACTTCAGTGACCTGCAAACCAAGATAAGATAACAAAATGCGACACAAGAAGACATGCACTTACGGTGAACATGATTGTGGTGGATGGGTTTCAAGGTAGCTTAGGGTTTGGGAGTTTGTCAGTGCGCTCTTATATAGATTCCTTGTGTATTGTCTTGTTGAGCCCAAATCAAGTGATCATCCCGCTCACTTGGCTTCCCTCTTTTTCGGTTCTACCATCCATTAAATCGCGCAAGTACCTTATTGGTCCAGCCGCCATCGTCATGTACCTCCATCAAAAGCCTCATGACTGCGCAGTGCAATCACATGGAATTGGAAACAAAAATAGTTCATGGCGGCTAAGCTCCTGTACCGCAGACCTTATAGAGGAAATGAGTTCCTCACGTCAGCTGTATATTTATCAGCGTCCAAGGCTCATCCCCATGTCATCGTATATCCGCCACCCTCAAGCAAATGTTGGTCCCCAGCGCAGCCAACAGCACAAAGCATCCCTGTGACGGCCAACCGCACCACTATACCTGGCACACGAGCAGGTGCACTCGAAGCCTTGCACCAGAACACCTGGGTGCACCTTGCTTGGCATGGCAAGCAGGACCCTCATGAGAGACAAACATCTGACGCTGCTCGATATCATGGGGAAACATCTTCCGCAGGCCGAGTTCGCGTTCTTAACGGCTTGTCATACTGCGTAGGCGATACCGTTCTATCTCTTCCGACCATCCAAGAATTTTCCATCCTGCCCCGCACTGGACTCTTCGGCCCACCTTCACCTGCCAGACGCGCCTCCTCCGCTTTTTGGACCGAAGCAATGTCGAAGTACGTGAGGAAGTCGAGGGCCTTGCCGCATGATCAACAAAGCCCGCAGTCACCACTCCGCCTATCCAGCGGTCTGAGACTGTATCAGACATTTACAACTCATTCATGTACTACACCATGCCATCATTCGACAACCTCCCATTCTTGACTCACGCCAACTGGCTTTGTAACACGCGTGCACTATTGTCCATGTCTGCACTCATGAAGCCTGAAAAGCATCATACCTATATATGCTACTTACAAGACGGCTCCACCATATTACGAAAGTCAATATCCCATGGGCCATAGTGCTTTCGATACGACGAGGGGTGGGCCACTAGTTGTTCTCGAAGATGAGAAGCAGGAGCAAACAGAAGCTTGCATCTAACGTTCCGGTAACATCGCCTATAACCATCTCTCGCTCCTCGACTTCCCCGTTCTGTACACTGCTTTCCTTCGTTGGTACAGTAAAAATACCCAGGACATCGATTGAAACATTGTCAATGTCAAGACCTATAGCAAATGAATCGAATAAATACCGCGACGAAAATATCGCCTAAACCTATGTCTCCTTGACATCTATTTTGTGACACTAATAACTACTTGAGCACCGTAACGAGACTTGGAATAGAAACAAAAAAAAACAAATTTCCCGTGCTCCCTGCAAGCACTAGACAACCGTTCGCGTCAACTTCACCGAGCATTACACACTACTACCAGTCGATATATGCACACGCTCTTGGAAAACGATTGAGGTCATGCCGGTTGCTGCGTCGGAGTCAGCCACGAGTTTGGCATTATATTCTCGAATGCCAAGGATCAGCCGTGGTCCTAGCACGAACATCTGTACGACCTGCAAGATCTCAAACAAGCCAGACAAAGTCTGGTCTTCTAGAAGATATTGGCTCTGTAGAAATGATAGATCGTGGTCACATGTAGAGGTAAGTGAATGATTGACATACCGTTGATAATGTTGGAGAGAATTCAATGATGAGCTCGAAGCAAGAGACAGCAACAAAGCTATCATGTCCGACCGTTCAGTGGAAAAAGGACAATAATCACGATATGAACTTACCTCGCAAAGTAAACCACGTGAGTTTTCACCAACACCGTAAAACAATCCCCGATAACCCCTCCTGCCGCATGTAATCGCAGTTCACGGAAGTGTTTTACCGCAATCCAGACTGCGAGACATAGTGTGAGGACCTCCCACACAATGAAGAGTATCCAAGCAGCAGAATTCAGAACTAGGGCATCTCTTGTGTAGCTAATCCTGCATTGGTAGGTGCCGGGGAGAATGAGTTCCTCTGGTGTCCATCAATGAGCCCTATGCACATTCGTTTTCATCTATAATTAAGCGTACCTCCTGAAGTATGTATGGTCATCAGAACGGCGTTTGCTCCATCCAAAGTGTTGATCGCCAGGAAGGTGACAGCGAGAAATATCAGGATCTTTCTGGATTTTTGATACATGGCATGCAACCGAGTGATGATGATGACTTGCAGCATGTTTCAGTCAAGTTATTCATTCCTGAGGTCTCGCAAGCGCCAAGCTCACCCCACAGCAGTGCAGATACCAACACAGCCATCCAATTCTGTACGATGTATATAATGAAGCCTGACAAATCCGGTCAGTGACCAGCCTCGGATAACACTAACACACACTCCAAAGACTTACATCTGTGGCAGTATAGTATGGCGGTTATTAGCGAACCAAGAAGTTGGTAGCAAAGAACCAAACCCACTGCTACAGGGCACCACGGTTAATTGAAGGGGAATAGCAGGCATCTGTGCAGAAGACTCACTGTATCTGTCAGCGAGATGGTCGGAACGCTCTCTGCATGCCGCTGGTTAGAAGAAGCGAAGAAAGTGAATATACTAAGGCGACATACGCAGGATAGACATGCTGATTACGAGACATAGATGATTAGCACAACGTCGATTGTTTAGCCTTCCGAACATACGTAGCATATAAAAGTCCAAGATAGCGCGCCTAGAATACTTTCAAGTCAGCACATCATGATACCTGCGACACTCAAGCTACATGCACTGAGGTACAGAACTGTCATCAGGGACCAGTGTTGCCTCTGTAAATAAGAGTATCTTCATGTGAGTTCCCTCCGCCATGAGACTCTACTCACCCAGATCAATTCGATCTATGAAGGGATTCTTAGCGAGATGGCTGCTCCGGTCATGGCATCGACATACCTCTTGTCCAAATGTGAGTGCTGAAAATGCTTGTAAGATATCAACAATCCTTTAATATTATCGTGCTCACACCAATCATACGTCACCCCAACAAAGGCGGCAACTGCGATACCGGAGCCAAGGTTAGATTGAGACATCAGAGTCAGCGCTCAGCGTCAACATCTGAGTGCTCTCTACGAACCTCCAAAATAGCTGGAAAAACGATATACATCGATGAGCGGCCACCACGCGGGATCATTTGATACTATGGTCATTGTTGGGGAATGGGTGTGGGTGAAAGGTGAACTTGGTCAACGTATAGCGGTGACATTCACGCTATATAATGTACGCCATGCTCACTATAATTTGGTAACCGAAATATCAACAAGATCAAGGTAAATATTTGTGCATAGATCAAGTTGGCGGTTCTTGTATTAGAGAATTGATGAACTTGTTCCCTGGAAGCTCCGTTTGTGGCCCAACCTAGCCACTGTGGCTAGGTTGGGCTGTGCTTAGAGGGTTACATAACTCTTCGCAAGCAGACGAGTACGAGATTTGAGGGTACAATAACTTGTTAACATGGGACAACGCAAAGGAACGGTACAAGCTTAAGCTCAGTAGGTGTGGACGTGGACGCGACGATAGTAGATAGATTCCATCTTTGGCAGAAGCAGTGTTGGCACCAAATATGAACACATTTTGTAACATGAATATCACTGATTTCTGGCCATGCTGTACATGGCGATGAATCAGTATTTGATTGATTTGAGATCTGGTCGACGTCCCCTGCGCAGTGCGACGACGATCACATGGAATTGGAAACAAAAATAGTTCATTGCGGCTAAGCTCCTGTAGGACAGACCTTAAAGAGGAAATGAGTTCCTCACGTCAGCTGTATATTACCAGCGTCCAAGGCTCATCCCTATGCCATCACATATCCGCCACCCTCAACCCAATGTTGGTCCCCAGCGCAGCCAACAGCACAAAGCAAAGAATAGTCGGTCCGTACTTGTCATAATAAAGCCCTTCCGCAGATCGGGCACGCAGACGAAGCGCTCGGTACACGAAGATGATCGCTGAATAGGCGATCGCGAGCAGCGCAGCCAGAGTGAATAGCGCAGCACTAATCAGGCCCCGCGGATCATCTGCAGGTACGAAGTTCAATAACGTCGTAGCGATAGTGCCGATCAGCACCGCAAAGCTCAACCATTTCTGCCACGATAAACATCAGCAGACGAACTCCTTCATCTAATGCAAAAAAGTCGTACCAAGAACGTGCGCTCGTTTGCGAAATACACCTTGGGCTCGATACGAACAGGCACTGCAATCCGCTTGCCAGATGGCGCACGCCAGTCTCTCACTAATAAACGGTCCTCCTCTCGCAGATTTTCCTCGTCCAGGCCTAAAGCCTCCTGCACCTCACCGTCCTGTACACGTGGCGGCACATTCTTATTCGCATGTAAACGCTCACGCAGACGCTCATCGAACGCAGAAGACGGCGCAAGGGGGTCAATCGACACATTCCTCTCCGCCCTCGGAGGCTGTGGCAACTTCAACAATGGCGTGCGTTCGTCGTATACCACTTCAGGAGTGCTGCTGCTCCCCCTGGACTGAGATGCAGGTTCACGTTCCTTGAGCGACTTTTCACGAAACGCGATAGCAGCCGCAACGTCCTCATGCGGCAGCCCCGTGCGCCGAAACTCGTCTCTAGCAGGCGCCAAGTCCATCTCTTCATCTTCTTCCCCTTCAGAGACAGGCTCAACATAGGAGTGTACCGGCAAAACGGGCGAGATGGGCGAGAGAATACCGGACTGAAAATCAGGAGTACTCTTTGTCGGACGCTCGACTGTGAGGTATCCAGTATTGGGCTTAAGGATATCCGTGTCCACTGTGAATGATGTGAGGCAAGAAAATAAGATGGAAGCAGACTCTTCAGCTTACTTTGAGGCAGCCAGAACGGCACGAGATCTACGCGATTAGGCAGTAGGGTAGCGCAGCCATGGATGAATTTGCTAGCGGCAGTCCGTGAGTGACATGGAACCACTTTTTTGCGGGTGAGAATTATACCTGAACTTGGGAACAGCTTCGACAAGATGTGACTGGACCAGATCCGTCACCCACTTGGGAGGTTCTTGTCCAAACTGAGTCTGAAGTTTGACTTCTAAAACCCCATACCTTGACGAACGTGAACATGACGAACGTGAGCATGATGAACGTGAGCATGTTACGAAATGGCTCAATAAGCGAAACCCACTTGAAAAGCTCTTTATCCGCCGCTAACACCTGGTCAAAAGGATGGTCGATCCCAATGTCGGTTCGCCGCCAGTTATCGCCAGTACGCGTCTGTCCGTCCCAGTTGTCTTCGCGGACCATCGTGAGTTCCGTATCAAGTGATATCCGTACACGAGGATCTCCTGGGAGCTGGAACGCAGTTCGGTTGTAAAACGTCCTCATGACTAGTATATTTGTCAGTAAAGAAGTCAGACATCGAACGTGCGTACATACCCGGGTGGAGCTGCTTCGTAAGAATACGATACTGAACTTCGCTTGCAAGCTGAATCATGGAATCGACGTCGGCTTGTGTCTTCTTGCCTTTCTCAACTAGAGCCTGGAGCTCCGCGTCCATGGTATATTCTCCGCGCAGAAAAGCGTTCACGAGATTTTCTTTGATTGGGAAACGCGCCTTGACGGACTTTTCACCTGTCCAGTCCTCTCTGTGCGTCTTACGCTCTACGAAAATCTGAAAAATGACGTTCAGTGGGCTTCACAAATAAAGTCAAGCACACTGACGGTTTTCACATCTGTGTCGCCGTACCACCGGAGACGGATAGCTTCGGCACCCTCTGTCTTCTCCAGTCGACCGAGGTAAAGTTCAAGATCCTCATTGTCGAAGTATATTGAAGTGATAGCTGCAAAAAGCGTCGACAATACGTCCTCTGATATGATTCAGAATCAAAAACGTACCAGCGTCCTTCTGTTCGAATTCCTTTTCGGCATTGAAGACTATAAAGAGAGATCAATCGAAAAAAGTACCAAAATGCACTCCCACTAACCGAGAACGGGTAGATGTCGTAAAATGGCCAGTTTCAGTGGAACGAGGTTATCTGGATGCACCTAAAATTGACTAGTTAGTAAACATAAACCTGATAAGAAACATATTTATTACCCAATACTTTGTCGTCTGACGTACAAAGGCACTTTGGTTCCCGCCTGCGCTTGAATCGCCCTGTACAGGATGTCCTCGAGTGCGGACCAGGTCGTAGAGCTTGGATAACTTGACGATCAAGATGTCCCAATTGTATTTATAGAAGGGCCTTTCCTCAAGATAGTGTTGAATAAACGTAGGTTTCAGCGGAAAGTTTGTTATTTTCTGACGGTGATAAATCAAGGATGACACATCAGGAAATTGAGAAAACGCACATCGTGTTTCTATGGAGATGACTGGTGAATTGGTATAAGGCGAGAGGTATGAATGGACGTACCTTTAAAATTTTAAGAAAACCAGTGATATTCAACTTAGTGTACAACGCCAAGTCGTGAACATCTGCTACGAGGGTAGCGACTTCTTCTTGAAGGCCGTGAAAGAGGTCTTCGAGCGAAGCATCAGATTGGTTATCGTCCATATCATCATCGTCATCGGAGCCTTCGTCGGGTCCATAGTCCGAAGGGCGTGCTTGATGCGATTCTGGGTCAGAGGAATGGGAAGGGAGTGCCTCGGAAGAAGATGGAGAAGATTCTTGAGCGACGAGTTTTTGAACGTCCTTTTCAGCATCCCGTATACGGCGAGATAACTCAGCGGTCTGGACAGTATCAGCTGAAGCAGAAGAATAAACTGAACTTTGATTATTTGCCTTTTGTTTCTGGAAATCATAAACTTTATCGAGCTCCTGTTTCAGCATGGCGGTGAAATCACGTTCATCTTTGTCGTCCCAGATGTGAGAGGCGGTACGAGACTATCCAGATAGAGCGGATGAGTATGGGTCAAGCAATTTAAGAAAGGATTTACCTTGAGTTCACGTTTCAACAAATTGTAGTCGATGTAGAAGGGTCTCCATTCATCATAAAGGTTAGTCTGTCAGAACAAGATCGTCTAGTTCGCTTCACCTAATTTACCATACGCAAAAATGACGCACCGTGATCTTCCTTCCAAACTTCATGATGTGCCTGTCAACGACTAGCTAGGAATAAGTGGAAGTCGTTTAGAAAAGAGCGTTCTACAAGTCTGCGGCAGTAGTTCACGAACACGGAACAAGGAGAAGAAGATTGGGCGTTAACGCGTTAATTTAATAATTAAGGAGAAGTGGAACTTGCTGAGTCTTAGTCAGCGTCATAATCCACTTCTCGGTCCGACTCGGGAGAACGAGTCTCGAGTCCCACGTAGAGATGACATGGAAGCACGAGATACACGCCGGACATAACGTTTTAAACTTTCTAAAAAGAAGTGCATCACGCATGTCAATCACATGGTGATGAACTCGACTTCGCATTATGAGACCGTGTACAGAAAAGAGCGTAACCGGCTTCTACAACTGGAACGTAGCAAAAATAAATCTTTGTCGACGCAAGAAGTATCTACCGTTTGCTGTTGAAAGCACCTAGTAAGTGGTGGGAGATACTTCAGAATATCTCATTTGAAATGAGTACCACGACGAGAGAAAAACGAATTCTCCTGCTCGCGGAATGCTCCACATCTTTTGATCCAATTGAGCACGTCTCGTGCTACACACTATTGCTAGTTTGCACATGTACGCGCTCCTGGAAAGCAATTGAACTCAAGCCTATCGCTGCAGAGGACTCAGCCTCGACTCGAGCGTAATGCTCTCGAATGCAAAGGATTAGGCGTGGTCCCAGCACAAACAATTGTATGAGCGAAAAAATACTGGCAACGCCAGCATAAATCGCAGGTCCTAGGGAATTTGGGTTCTATAAAAACGATAAGCAGTGGTCCATATATAGAGGTAACGGAAAGTTCGGCATACCGACATTGAGACTACAGGAGACAAATAACCAAGCTCGAAGCTCGAAGCAGCAACAAAACTAGTACGCGTGAAATTTCAATCAAAGAAAAAGAGAACACATTCGCATTATCAGCTCACCTTGCAAAGTAAGCCACATGGGATTTCATTAATACCGCTAAACCGTCCTCGACGATATCTCTTCCCGAATGTCGTCGCAGTTCACGAAAGTGTTTTACAGCAATCCAAGCTGTAAGACACACTGCGACGACCTCCCATGCGGTAATGAGTATCCAAGTCACGGTATACAGAAGTGTACTATCTCCCCCCTCGAAGACGACATCACACCGATAGGTGTAAGAAAGAATGAGCTCCTCTTGCAATCGTCAATGAGCCTCGTGCAGCGATATTTGATACATGAATGAGCTCACCCCCTGACAAATGGCTCGTTGCTATTATGTCGAAAGCGCAGTAGAAAATGACGATAGCTAGGAAGGCAACAATGAGAAATGTCATGACCTTTCTGGATCCCTGATATACAGCACGTAACCGAACAATCATGATGACTTGCATGATCTTTCAGTCAAGTTGACACGACTAAGACATTGGAGTTGCATAGCTCACCGCCTATTATTACAGTTGCGAGGAAGTTTATCCAATTTTGTACGATGGACACGATAAGACCTGACGAATCCAGTCGGTGATCAGCCTCAGAGGATTATGTACTCGATACAAACTCACAGCTGTGGTGGTTATTGTATTGGACTAGCAGGCCAATCAAAGATCTCACTCACCCCTACACGGAAGCGCAGTTTAGTGAATGGGAACGGCAGGAATATGTGCAGAATACTCACTGTACCCGTCATCGGAATTGTCGGAGCATTATCTGTATGTCACCGGTCAGAAGAAACAAACATCGTGTAAGCGATGAGCCATACACATTATGTTGGTGCTGAGTGTGAGAGACGGTTTGGTTAGCACAATACAAGTCGCTTGGCTTTCCAGACATACACAACAAATACAATTCCAAAATAGCGCACCTAGGACATAATTAGGTTAGCACAACTTGTCGACCGCATTATAATGCAGGTTACACACACTAAGATACAGAAGGGTCATCAGCGACCATCGTTGCCTCTATGAATCAATCATATATGTGAATTAGTTTGTTGGATTAGGATTCTGCTCACCCAGACCAGTTCGATCTATCATACTATTCTGAGCAACATGACTGCGCCGGTAATAGCATCAACCCACCTCTTGTCCAAAACCCAGCGCTGGCAACACCGTCAGAACATTAGTGATTCTATAGCATGATGCTGCTCACCCCAATCATATATCACCCCAGCAGAAGAAGCAACTGCGACACCACAGGCGAGGTTAGATCGACACATCAACATCATCATACAGCTGGCTCTCCACAAACCTGCAAAATAACTATAGATGAGAGCTACGTTGATCATTTGAGACTCGACTCAGATCATACTACTGTTCGAGGATGGAAGCGAGGGAATGGCAGACTTGGTGGTTTCGTGCTGGATACACCCAGCGCATTTATATGTGGTCGAAATGGGCATCATTTGATTCGATGATGTCGGCAGTCGCGAATATTTAAAGACTAGTGGCTAAAAATTGATTGTTTCAAGTGTTAATATACACCCCGATGCTATTTTTGAGACGAAGTTCTTATTGTGAAGGTTCCATCAGTAAACCACGTAGTTCATTAATCTGGGCATCGCGGCCAGGCCTGCGTGTATCGAACGAGCGTCTCGATAATCTTGCTGGCCCAGGTATCAGTCTCGATGAGTCTCTCAACGGGGTTAGATTCTGGGTATGGTGCCAGAAAAGCGACACATTAGAGAGGAACACACGGAGCAAACAGATAACTCGTTTGTCAACAAACCCTCTTCAAGCATACCTCTCGACATCCAATCTTCTTGCTCCTCCCGGTCCGCAGCATCTGTTACCTCGTACGCAATTTGTCGCTCTCTGCCCTAGTTATCTATTACAAGAAATGGCAGGCGTACTATTGCCAATAGGATTCGATGGTGTCGTGTGGCTGATGTGATGCGCAAGATGCATCAATTTTCACAGCCCTACTTAATGCATTATGTAAAGTTCACATCCATACGTAGGACCAATGTTCCCTTTCTGAATATAACTTGGGGTGCGTTTCACTAGTAGCCTCTCCCTTTGTCGGTCCTAATGTACCCCTCGTTATGATTAATTGTTGTTGGCTACTCTGCAGAGAGCGGAAGATCAGAAGCCTCATTGTGATACTTATTTTAATATCTAAGTTGTTGGGTATTCCTGAAGTACGTTTGAGGTCGATAGGTCTGACAAATGGATACGTATCTTGTTGATTGCACTTGGCTGCCTGAATGGATAGGTTTGTAGGCTACTATGAGTCGGGTAGTCTTAATATGACACCTTGCAAAGAGTCGTGCGTTACCGGCGCAACGAACGTCTATCTTCCATCAGGACTTTCCCTTTCCTCAGCCTCGACTTAGTATGTAAATTCGGAAAATGAAAAAAGAGACTTATCTGAACCATGGTTCCCGGGGATTTGTCATTCATGTGTATTCAAGTGCATTCCGCTTTCAAGAACATGTTCTTGGCAGGAGTTTTTCCCATTCGGTTTTGTTCGCTTATATTTATCGTACCAGAATTGGCTTGGGGATTATAGGATTGATCGTTACGACGTTGCTTAGATATGTGCATGCAAACAACTCACGGGTCTGACCGGTGCTGCGCTACGCACCAACGTTCGGCCGAGGGTGACGAAGTGATATTGTGGGGGAGATACGTTAGCCTTGAACGGTGCGCGTAGCCGTTCATTCGGTTTGGTTTTGGGGTTGAAGTTCACGATGCCAGCACGCTGATGTAACTGGATGGAGTGGTGGTGACTCCAGGTAGCTCCTGATAACTCCATGGATGCATAGAATTTGATATGGAGAAGAAGTGCGGTATTCGTGCGATCTGATGGATCGTGCCACCACGCTGCTGCTCTGCTCAGGAAGGAAAATCAAGGAAAATGAGAGAAAGAATGCGAAAAACAAAAGACACGCCATTGCAAACGAGACCACACACAGGAAAGCTATAAAAAGTCTTCGCATTGTCAATGAACAGGCAACATAAGCTACCCTGATAAACCCCCAAAGACATCGAACGCACCAATCTATCCAGCAGCACAATATCATGTACACCGTGAGCCTCGCTTGTTCCACTGCATTATCGATATCTTGACCTTCGTTCACAGGTCACTGAAGTCACTGTTTCTCAGCACTGCGGCTCGAACAGCTGCGGAGGCGGCAGCTCGTGAGTCGCGCTGCGATTGTACTCCTGTACGACTCTTGGGTCTGATTCAGAACATGCAGGTGCCAGTGCAAGCCAGGAGAGTGCAAGTGCTGAGCACGAGTACTAAGCGAGTGAAGTTCTCGCATGAACTACTAGTATCGACCTCGGCATTTGATCAAGAGAATAGTCGTGTTATTAGAATGGTTGTAACTCGTACGAAGTTGTGGTCATGAAGGAGTTAAAGTTTGAACTTGGAAGTTAATCTTGTGGCTACCAATGTGCAGGGTGCGGAGAAGTGTCTGTGCAGATACGGTGACACCACGACGTGCCCGTAATTCACGCTCTAGCTCGTCCAGTACATGGTGGGATTTCGACGAAGGCTAGCAGTAAGAAAGGCAATTTCATTAATACAGAGGTTGCGACGCTTACCGCGATGCCCTTTGTTTGCATTTTGAGATGCAATGCTGGCAGTCCGAGCCAGACGGATAGTTTTGTATACAAATGTCTTGTTGACACCGAGCAGATGACAGATACTTGCAACGGAATATCTGCATTGGCGAGAAACAGGTATGCGAGCTTTTGAAACGACTGTTAATTTATCAGGCATCACACACTACTGTCAGTCGATATATGTACGGGCTCCTAGAAAGTGATTGAGGTCATACCAGTAGCTATGTCGGAATCGGGCCACGAGCTTAGCGTTATATTCTCGAACAGGCATGGTCCCAGGGGCCAGCATGACAAACATCTGCACGACCGAGAAAATCTGAAATAAGCAATAAAGTCTGAATTTTGATCCTATAGAAATGAGGGATCGTGGTTGCATGCAGAGGGTCGTGGTTGCGAGTCAAGCTCAAGTGCGGTACTTTGATTACAAAGATACTCCCACATGCAAGAGGACTTTTCTCATTTACGCTCATCACTCACTGCAGGTGCCATTAAGAGGACCTCGACTCCACAGATGATCGAGACAGACGGGCTGGTGGCAGGGGCAGTAAGTGTTTTGTTCGGAGTCGAGAAGGTTGCGTGTGCAAAGGTACGTCATCATGAGTCGCACGAGCAAATACAAACTTGCATCTAACGTTCCGGCGATATCGCCTATATACATCTCTCGCTCCTCGACTTTCCCGTTCTGGGCACTGTTGGTACAGTAAAAAATACAGGACATCGGTTGAACGACGAAAACATAACCTACATTTGACATCTATTTTGTGACACAAATAACTACTTGAGCACCGCAACGAGGCTTGGAATAGAAACAAAAAAACAAATTGCCCGTGCTCCCTGCAAGCACTAGACAACGGTTCGCGTTAACTTCACCGCGTATTACAGAGTGCTGCTAGTCGATATATGCACACGCTCTTGGAAAGCGATTGAGGTCATGCCGGTTGCTGCGTCGGAGTCAGCCACGAGTTTAGCATTATATTCTCGAAGGCCAAGGATCAGCCGTGGTCCCAGCACGAACATCACGATCTCCAAAATCTGAAACAAGCCAAACAAAGTCTGATCTTCTAGAAGATATCGGTTCTATGGAGATGATAGGTCCTGGTCCCATGTAGAGGTAGTGCAAGATTGACATACCGTGAATGATGTTGGAGAGAATATAATAAGGAGGTCGAAGCAAGAGACAGCAACAAAACTATCGTGTCCTACCCTTTAGTGGAAAAAGGGAACAATAATCACAATATGAACTTACCTCGCAAAGTAAAGCAAATGAGTTTTCATCAACACCCTAAAACAGTCCCCGATAATCCCTCCTGCCGGACGTGATCGCAGCTCACGGAAGTGTTTTACCGCAATCCTGATTGCGAGACATAGTGCGAGGACCTCCCACACAATGTAGAGTATCCAAGTAGCAGAATCCAGAACTAGGGCATCTCCTGTGTAGCTAATCCTGCACTGGTAGGTGCCGGAGAGAATAAGTTCCTCTGGTATTTATCAATGAGCTCCATGCACGTTCGTTTTCATCCATAATTAAGCATACCTCCTGAAGTATGTGTCATTGACACTACGGCTGTCGCTCCAGCAAAAATGTTCATCGCCAGGAAGGTGACAATGAGAAATATCAGGATCTTTCTGTCTCGTTGATACATGGCATGCAACCGAGTGATGATGATGGCTTGTAGCATGTTTCAGTCGTTCCAATATCACCGAGGTCTCGCAAGTGCAAAGCTCACCCCACAGCAGAGCAAATACCACAGCAACCGTCCAATCCCATATAGTGTACAACATCCAGCCTGGCAAATACGATCAGCGACCAGTCTCAGGTAGCACATATTCCAAACAGACTCACATCTTTGGTAGTATAGCGTGGCAGCGATTAGTGGACTGAGAAGTCAGTAAAGGACCACACCCACTGCTACAGAACACCATGGTTAATTTGAGGGGGATGGTAGGCATTTATACAGTAGACTCACTGTATCTGTCAGCGAGATGGTCGGGACATTGTCTGAATGCCGTTGGTCAGAAGAAGAGATGACAGTAAATTTACCAAGGAGACACACCAGCCATGGACAGACTGATTATAAGAGATAGACGATTAGCACAACACCAAATGTTTAGCCTTCCGAACATACGCAGCAGATAGGATCCCAAGGTAGCGCACCTAGGATACTTTCAAGTCAGCACAAAATGGCAACTACGACAGACAAGCTATGTGACATACACTGAGATATAGCACTGTGACGAGCGACCACCGTTGTCTCTGTAAATAAGTGTACTTTCATGTATGTTCCTGTGGCATGAGACTGTACTCACCCAGACCAATTCGACCTACAAACGGATTGTTAGCAAGACGGGTTCCGGTGATAGCATTGGCATACCTCTCGTCCAAATGTTAGTGCTGAAAAATACTTGTGAGACATCGATAGTCCCTTAATGTTATTATGCTCACCCCAATCATATGTTATTCCAACGAAGGCGGCAACTGCAGAACCGTAGCCAAGTTCAGATTAAAACATCAGCCTCAACATCCGACTGCTCCTCACGAACCTGCAAAATAGCTGGCAAAACTGTGGAGGAACGATACACGCGGGAGGTTTTACGACACGCTAGAACAAAGGTACGAGTCTCAGTATTCGTTTCGAATCTGTATTAACAATTGTTTGTACCTAGAACAAAGGTACGACTAGATGTACGTCAGCGCTTGCGCTCGAACGTTACAGTGGGACTTGTACTTACGTCTCAGTATTCGTTTCGAATCTGAGACGTTTCGACGAAAACAGCGTCCTCTTATACGGTGAGTCTGCCAGCAATAGCTTTGATGAAAAATATATACTTAAAGAACGAAAAGATTGCCGACGTTGACACGTCGTCGACGTTCTCCGTTTGGAGACGCTCGCACTCGATGTGCTCTATTCTTCGGCCGTATCGTCCTTTCCTTTCTCAGCTCTCTCTCTCTCGGCCTTACTTCCCTCGGACACATCGGCTCTCAACACTCCCCCTCGAGCGTTATCCAAACACATCAATGTCCTCAACCTCTGGAGTCGGGGACGTGCCAATGGCTTCGTGAACGCGTCCGCGACATTGTCGTCACTGGGGCAGTAGATTATCTTGAAGGTACCGTCCTTCACGTGGCCGCGTACGAAGTGGTATCGCAGGTCTATGTGCTTGGTGCGCGATTGGAATTTTCCCGTCGAGACTAACGCTATAGCAGCTTGGTTGTCGCAGAAGATGGGTGTGGGGAGGTCTTGGACGTCGTAGAGCTCGCGGATGAGGAGTTGCAGGTAAAGTACTTCCCTTGCCACGCTGGTCAACGCTATGTACTCAGCTTCAGCTGTTGACAGGGCTATGATAGGCTGTTTGCGCGCGCTCCACGAAACGGGGCCTCCATGGAGCAGTACGATGTACCCGCTCATGGAGTGCCTATGTGGCTGCGATGCCCAATCGGCATCGACAAACGCCTCAATTCCTCCCTCGCTGGATCCCAACGTCAGCTCATAGTCTGCGGTGCCTTTCAGGTACCGCAGGGCGCGTTTGGTGGCCTCCCAATGGGGTCTCCCCGGATTCCTCATAAATTGCGACAGTGTTGCCACCGCAAAAGCGATATCTGGCCGGGTACTCGTAGCTGCGTACATTAACGAACCGATCGCGCGTTGATATGGTATGTCTCGCATAGCTTGGAGTTCGGCGTGTGTTGCAGGGGACTGATCTATGGAAAGGACAGTACCTGGTTCCATGGGCGTGTGCAGGACCTTCGCGTCCTCCAGGTGGAACCTTTCGAGGATCGTCTCGACGTATGCCTTCTGTGAAAGTGTCAAGGTGCGTGCTACGCGGTCCCTCGTCACCTTCAGCCCCAATAACCAGCTCAACTCCCCTAGGTCGCTAATCTCGAAGTGCGCGCGCAGCTCGGACTTAAACCGATGGATATGGGATATATGGTTGGCGGTGACGGCCATGTCGTCGACAGAGACGGTGATGACGACGTGTTCGCGCGAGGTGCGTTTGTAGAAAACGGCTTGATCTACTTTTGACCTGCTGAAGCCCATTTCATTGAAGGCTCCAGCTAGCTCCTGCGCCCACTCATATCCTGCTTGTTTGAGTCCAGGTAAGCTTCTTTTCAGCTTCAGTACCTTCCCTTCCTGACCATCCTTCAAGTATCCAGGGGGCGCTCGCATATATATGTCCTCCTGCAGACTCGCATATAGGTACGCACTTTTAATATCGACTTGGTGTATTTCCCAGTCGTGCTGAGCAGCCATCGTTAGGACTGCACGTATTGTGCTCATATTGGCCGTGGGGGCGAAGGTTTCGAAGAAATCGACCCCGTACTTCTGGCGCTGCCCATTTGCAACTAGGCGCGCGCGAAGCTTCAGCTTCTCGCCGTCCGGCCCGCGCTTTGTGGCCAGGACGTAATGGCATGGGATAAGGTTTACGCCTCGAGGTGCGTCTACGATTTCCCACGTACCTAGCTTCTCGAGTTGACTGACTTCGTAATTGATGGCTTCTTGCCACTCTGCAGCGTCTGGGCCCTTCAAGGCTTGTTGGAGGGTCGGTTCTGGTTGGACGGCGGCCAATGCTAGGTGAATATGCGCCTCTTCATCCAAGAGGTCGAGTTCTGACGCTTCCAACAGGCTTTCCATGGTTAGGGCTGCCGTTTGGCCCTCATTCAGCGCCGCATAGTACCCTGGGGGTGGTCTTACCCTCGTCGACCTCGCTTCAGGAGTAGATGGTTGAGGTTGCTGAGGAGTAGATGGTTGAGGTTGCTTAGGAGTAGAAGGTTGAGGTTGCTGAGGAGTAGATGGTTGGGGTTGCTTAGGAGTAGAAGGTTGAGGTTGCTGTGGCATGGTGATGGGCTGGACGCTACTAGGTGAGTTATTATTACCGTTGCCGCTGTTATGTTCGTTGACTACAGCAGACTCCCCCTCGTCCGGCATACCATCGGCTGCCAGGATCGGCGTGAAGGTCACATTCCTCTCCACCGAGACACGCCGTCTGCCGGGCCAATACACCCGGTATCCTTTACTTTCAGCGTCTACCCCCACAAAAACTGCCTCCTCCGCCCTCGCCTCCAGCTTACCAGCCTCCAGCATATGGACGAAGACCCTGGCCCCAAATTCATGGGCCTGCGACAAGTCCGGCTTGGACTTGCGCACCAACTCGTAGGGCGTGCTACCTGGGATCGCCCTTGAAGGTAGGCGATTCTTGAGCCAAGTGGCGTAACTAACGGCCTCGGCCCACAGGTACTTTGGCATATCTCTGCCTAGGAGCATTGCTCTCGCATGCTCGACGAGTGTCCGGTTGAGTCGTTCGGCGACACCATTCTGTTGGGGTGAGTCGTGCACTGTTAGCTGCCGCTCTATACCTTGCTGACGCAAGTATTGATCGAACTCGGCGCTCAGATACTCTCCTCCTCTGTCCGAACGGATTTTGCGCACGCGCACACCTGGTGATTGACGGGCCACCCATGCCTCATAGGACTTGAACGCGGTAAGTGCGTCACTCTTTTGTTTGAGGAACTCGAGTCGCGTCTGCCGGCTAAAGTCGTCCGTGAAACTGACATAATATTTACAGCCTCCCAAACTCGTCGTCTGCGCCGGTCCCCAGAGGTCCGTATGGACTAGTTCTCCGTATGTAAGTGCGCGCATCTTCGTTTCTCTTGGGAAGGACTGCTGAGCTGACTTAGCTTTCACGCAGACTTCACAGAACTGGATGGCGGGCGCCGGATCTATGTCTATGCCCAGGATTAGGCCCTTCTTGACTGCGTCAAGAAGGGCCGCATGTGATACGTGCCCTAGGGCACGATGGACATCATTGATGGTAAGCTTTGTCCTGGCGACGTTGGCACGATGCTTACGGTCGGACGTTACAGCGTAAAGTCCCTGGACTTGGGGTATTTCTGCGATCGTCCTTCGTTCGGGGGGAGCAGACAGTATCCTGCACATTCCTCCTTCGAACAGCACGGCCAAACCGGCGGAGGCGATCTTATTGGTGGAGATAAGGGTAAATGCCATGGAGGGGGCATATAGGACGTCTTTTAGCGTCACGGTCGTTCGTTTCGAGCCCAACGGTAAGTCCATCCTCACGTCTCCTCGTCCTGTCGCATTGACAGTAGCTCCATTCGCAGTGTATATCTTCTGCGGGGCGATCTCGACGAAGGATACAAATTTTGCCCTATCCGGGCAGAAATGAGAGGTCGCGCCGGAGTCTACTATTGCTCCTCGGCGCTCTGGAGGTACGTCCATCGATTTTGCTATGACTGCGAGGTCTGACGTAGCGAAAGCGTAGTTGTCCTTTGGCTCCGGCTCTTTGGCTACATTGGCACTTTGTTTTTGGGTGCGTCCTCCTTGTCTCTGCCGTTGATTCGGCCCCTGACCTTCTTTTCCTCCACCTTTTCGCCAACAGTCACTCTTCCAGTGGCCCTTACGATCGCAGTTCGTACAGACTGCGTCGGGGTTGGATTTTGGAGCCGAGCTCTGCGAGCTCGTGCTCCTCCCTGCATTTGTTCTCGCGGAGAGCGCACTGTTGGTCCCGCGTTTGTTGGGACGTCGTTCGGTGAGTAACCGGTGCTCGTATTCCTCTGTGATGATGGTGATGAGTTCGTAGGGCGAGAGGGGAGTTTTCGTTATCTTGGCCGCTGCGTTCATCGACGACAGTAGCGGCCGGTAGGATTCAGGTAAGGACCCTAGGATGATGGCATGAAAGTCCGTATCAATGACGGCTACCCCCATTCCAGCTAACGACTCCCTCAGGCGCAAAAGCTCTGAAAAATGAGCCTTGACGTCACCACCTTCTTCGCACCTCGTCTCCTGGAGCCTCCGTCTCAGATCTATCTGGACGAGTTCGGTTTTGCCTTCATGTATGTGGCATATTTCCTTCCAGATTTCGGACGCGGATGCTAACTTTTGGACACGTAACAGCAGCCGATCTGTGATCGTGCAAAATATTTGCTGTTTTACGAGTGAGTTCTTTTGTTGATACTCATCGGTCTTTGCGTCGAGCTCATCGATTTCTTTCTGCGTAGGTGTTGTACCATCCGGCTTCGTAACGGCCCCCGTAGAGCTCTTTACGAAAGGCGTAGGCTCTTTAGCTCGTCCATCGGTATATCTCGTAAGTCCTCGTGCACCTATAGCCGTTAACGTCCTTTCCTTGTAGGTTATCCAGTTCGAGCCATCTTCGGCGAGCTTCGGGATGTTAAAAAGGTTTGAATTGGTGCTGGGAGTCGACAAGTCCATGGAGGAGACAGGGCTCATAACCTGTGGAGGAACGATACACGCGGGAGGTTTTACGACACGCTAGAACAAAGGTACGAGTCTCAGTATTCGTTTCGAATCTGTATTAACAATTGTTTGTACCTAGAACAAAGGTACGACTAGATGTACGTCAGCGCTTGCGCTCGAACGTTACAGTGGGACTTGTACTTACGTCTCAGTATTCGTTTCGAATCTGAGACGTTTCGACGAAAACAGCGTCCTCTTATACGGTGAGTCTGCCAGCAATAGCTTTGATGAAAAATATATACTTAAAGAACGAAAAGATTGCCGACGTTGACACGTCGTCGACGTTCTCCGTTTGGAGACGCTCGCACTCGATGTGCTCTATTCTTCGGCCGTATCGTCCTTTCCTTTCTCAGCTCTCTCTCTCTCGGCCTTACTTCCCTCGGACACATCGGCTCTCAACAAAAACGATGTACACTGATGGACGGCCACCAAGTGGGATCATTTGAGACTATGGTCATATTGCTAGAGAATGGGTGAGAGGTGAACTTGGTAAATGCATAGCGGTGACATCGGCGCTATATCATATACGCTGGCGGCGCGCGCCGTACTACTACTCACTATAGTTTGGGAACCGAAATTTCTGGACCTATCTTGGTCCAGGTCTGTGTCCTTTTTTCCGCCAAAAATCCACGATCATGCTGGCCCACTCGCCCGTTTACTCACGCCACTTCTCAGTTGACGTCACGTCTTCTCCTTTTCTCTCTCTATCAGGTTATTTGTCTTAATCGAAAATTCGTCTCAGCTTGTCTCAACCGTTCGGTCTCTCTGGAGAAGTCAGATCCGATTCTACAACCCCAACCCTGCGATTCCACAAGCTGTAGAGATATGTCATCTTCCATGAATTATCCGAAGAAGGTAATGCGTCGCGTGAGATCTCATACAATAACCATGAGATTGTTATGGAAAATGTTGGGTATAAGAAAGGGGCGGCCAGCCGGCAGTCCATGAAGCTTCATGCATTAGCATATGCTTTGGATCTTTCTGGCCTCACGCACCGGTGCCAAATTTATCTCCGACCAAAAACCTGGCTTCGTGTCGTTTCTGTTTCAGCATCGATGTCTTAATATTGGTAGATTTCACCATTCAGAAAAAGGCGGTGAGTGCGAATAGCTCCGTACTGTCAAGGAAAAGACGCTCCATGGTATTACTGAGGAGTTAGAGGTTGTAGGGCGCACTGTTCTCCACCTGAGATAACTTGTAAACGGAAGAAGGTTTACCCGCTCAGGGGTTCATGACGAAGAGATGGATGCAGACGTCCCCGATACTTCGTCCTCCTCTATTATAGCACCTCCTCTATTCTCTGCCGTCCCAGAAATTGACAATCATTCGCACACACTTGAGGACGAAAACGGGGACGCAGACATCGTTGCTGCGAGCAAGGGTAAGAAAAAGCACAAAGTTGTCTTCTCGGGTGAAGGGGAAGACAACGATTTCATTGAGGAAGAGGAACCGAAACTTACATCGAAGAAGAAGGCACTATCGAAACCCACCTCCGCTGCAACATCGAAATCGAAATCTAAGGCAAAAGAAAAGCGGTTCTCTCGGAAGTGGACATGAGGACGACGATAATGACAACGACCCTCCTCGTTCGAGGTCCCATAACCAACCAATGTAGCATCAAGCAGCGGATGCTCGACTCTTGCACTATTGCTGGTGCTGGTGCTTGCATATCCGTTCGTGGTCTGTCGCTGTCACCGTTTGGAACCACGTCCGACACAAGCCGTCACGGTTTGATATTTATTTTGCTATTCCCAGACGTTAGCACGGTGGATTTCTTCAAATTCCTCTGACTCCAAGAGGCACTGGGTCTCAGCTAAAGAATCATCTTCATAGCACAATGTCTATTAGCGTACATGTACCTAGTGTTTCAGTGACAATCCGAGACAGTTCATATTCATATCCGTATTTCCGCCTCGTTGAACAAAAGTGAAAGGCAAACTTCTCTACCAGCATTAACTCATCAAGTATGCCTCGCATCATCAATCTACGCATACACGACCGTGCTCCGCGCACCTTGGAATCATCCTGATGTGATCTTCCGTAAGCCAGTTGGCGTAAGTCAGATGAAAAGACAGGGGTGGGACGTTGAATGAGGCGAGAAGATGAATCGAGGGTGAATTACACACTACTGCCAGTCGATATATGCACACGCTCCTGGAAAGCGATTGAAGTCATGCCGGTTGCTGCGTCAGAGTCGGCCACGAGTACAGCATGATATTCTCGAATGCCAAGGATCAGCCGTGGTCCTAGCACGAACATCACGACCTCCAAAATCTGAAACAAGGCATAAAAAGTCCGATCTTCTAGGAGATGTCGGTTCTATAGAAATAATAGATCATGGTCACATGTAGAGGTGAGTGCAAGATTGACATACTGTTGATGATGTTAGATAGCAATCAAGGATGAAGGCGAAACACGAAACAGCGACAACGCTATCAAATCGGACCCTTCAGTGGAAAAAGGGAACAATAATTACAATATGAACTTACCTCGCAAAATAAATCACGTGGGTTTTCATCAACACCGTAAAACAGTCCCCGATAATCCCTCCTGCCGAGTGTTGTCGCAGTTCACGGAAGTGTTTTACCGTAATCCTGACTGCGAGACATAGTGCGAGGATCTCCCACACAATGTAGAGTATCCAAGTAACAGAATCCATAATTAGGGCATCACCTGTATAGCTAATCCCGCACATATAGGTGCCAGAGAGAACAAGTTCCTCTGGTGTCAATAAATGAGCTCTATGCACGTTCGTTTTCATCCATAATTGAGCGTACCTCCTGAACTATGGATCGTTGACATTACGGCTGTCGCTCCAGCAAAAATGTTGATCGCCAGGGAGGCAACAAGAAGAAATATCAGGATTTTTCTGTTTCGTTGATACATGGCATGCAACCGAGTGATTATAATGGCTTGCAGCAATGTTTCAGTCGTTCCAATATCACTGAGGTCTCGCAAGTGCAAAGCTCACCCCACAGCAGAGCAAATACCACAGCAACCGTCCAAATCCATATAGTGACCATCATCCAACCTGATAAATACGATCAGCGACCAGTCTCAGGTACTACACACACTCCAAATAGACTCACATCTATGATAGTAGAGCGTGGCAGACATTAGTGGACTGAGAAGTCAGCAAAGAGCCGCACCCACTGCTACAGAACACCACGGTTAATTTGAGGGGAATGGCAGGTATTCATACAGAAGACTCACTGTATCTGTCAGCGAGATGCTCGGAGCATTGTCTGAATGCCGTTGGTCAGAAGAAGAGAAGACAGTGAATGCACTAAGGAGACACACCGACCACGGACAGACTGATTATAAGAGATAGACGATTAGCACAACACCAGATGTTTAGCCTTCCGAACATACGCAATAAATAGGATTCCAAGGTAGCGCACCTAGTACACTTCCAAGTCAGCACAAAATGGCAACTACGACAAATAAGCTACATACACTGAGATACAACACTGTCATGAGCGACCACCGTTGTCTCTGTAATTAAGCGTACTTTCATGTGTGTTCCCTCTGCCATGAGACTGTACTCACCCAGACTAATTCGACCTACAAAAGGATTATTAGCAAGACGGGTTCCGGTGATAGTATCGACATACCTCTCGTCCAAATGTTAGTGCTGAAAAATACTTGTGAGACATCAACAGTCCTTTAATGACATCATGCTCACCACAATCATATGTTATTACAACGAAGGCGGCAACTGCAAAACCACAGCCAAGTTCAAATTGAGACATCAGCTTCAACATCCGACTGCTCTCCCGTGTCTCCACGAACCTGAAAAATAGCTGGCAAAACGATGTACATCGATGGACGGCCACCACGTGGGATCATTGGAGACCATGGTCATATTATTAGAGAATGGGTGTGGGTGAAACGTGAAATGTATAGCGGTAACTTGAACATTCGCGCTATATGTAGTGGTCATGCTTACTATAGTTTGGTAACCGACTCGGAAATATTAATAAGATAGTGCACTCCGCATGCTAGATGTTGCAGTTGCCGGTTGAACGTTGAATTCTTGTATTAACCTTATATAGAAATTTGATAAACTTGTCTCCTGTGGGCCCGGCGGCCCGGTAGTGATGTTCCGGCCCAGCTTTGGCCTGGCTTGGGGGGGCTTTCCGAAATCGCAGGCCGGCAAGCCGTGACTTTGGCCTGGCTAGACCCGGCCCAATGAGGGCCGACTTGGGCTGGCTCACGGCTTGAAGCTGGGCCATGCACATCACTACCTGTGACTAGGTTGGGCTGTGCCTAAAGTATTTCATAACTCTTCGCAAGCAGACGAGGACGAGATTCAGATGCGACGACTCGGATGTCATTGAATAGATTCCATTTTTGGCAGAAGCAGTGTTAAATGTGAACACATTTTGTAACTGATTTCTGGCCATAGTGCTGTGGACTGGCGATGAATCCGATCTGAGAAGTAATGGTATATGTAGCGCTGGTGATGCTATATCATGGTAAAGTCCCACTTTCGAATTCGTGATCGGGAGTTCATTGACATTAGTGACACGATCACGTTATAAACATCTCTCGTTCCTCAACATTCCTGTTCTGTATACTGCTTTCCTTCGTTGGTACAGTAGAGATATCCAGGACATTGGTTGAAACATTGTCAATCTTAGGCCCTATAGCAAATGATTCGAATAAATACTACGAAAATATTGCTTAAACTTATGTCTCCTTGACATCTATTTTGTGACACCAAATAACTACTTGAGCACCGTAATGAGGCTTGGAATAGAGACAAAAAAATAAATTGCCCGTGCTCCCTGCAAGCACTAGACAACGGCTCGCGTCAACTTCACTGAGCATTACACACTACTGCTAGTCGATATATGCACACGCTCCTGGAAAACGATTGAGGTCATGCCGATTGCTGCGTCGGAGTCAGCCACGAGTTTAGCATTATATTCTCGAACGCCAAGGATCAGCCATGGTCCTAGCATGAAAATCTGCACGACCTCCAAAATCTGAAACAAGCCAAAAAAAGTCTCATCTTCTAGAACAACTTGATTCTGTAGAAATGATAGACCGTGGTCAGATGTAGAGGTAAGTGAAAGATTGACATACCGTTGATAATATTGGAGAAAATTCAATGATGAGGGCGAAACATGAAACAGCAACAAAGCTATCATGTCCGACCATTCAGTGGAAAAAGGACAATAATCACAATATGAACTTACCTCACAAAATAGAGCACATGAGTTTTTATCAACACCGTAAAACAGTCCCCGATAATCCCTCCTGCTGCATGTAATCGCAGTTCACGGAAGTGTTTTACTGCAATCTGGACTGCGAGACATAGTGTGAGGACCTCCCAAACAATGCAGAGTATCCAAGTAATAGAATTCAGAACTAGGGCATCTCCGGTATAGCTAATTCTGCACCGGTAGGTGCCGGAGAGAATGAGTTCCTCTGGTGTCCATCAATGAGCCCTATGCACGTTCGTTTTCATCCATAATTAAGCGTACCTCCTGAAGTATGTATCGTTGTCATTACAACTGTCACTCCAGCAAAAGTGTTGATCGCCAGGAAGGTGACAACAAGAAATATCAGGATCTTTCTATCTCGTTGATATATGGCATGCAATCGAGTGATGATGATGACTTGCAGCATGTTTCAGTCATTCCAATACCACTGAAGTCTCGCAAGTGCAAAGCTCACCCCACAGCATCGCAAATACCACAACAACCGTCCAATCCCATATAGTGTACATCATCCAACCTGATAAATCCGATCAGTGACCAGTCTCAGGTAGCACACACTCCAAACACACTCACATCTTTGGTAGTATAGCGTGACAGCCATTAGTGGACTGAGAAGTCAGTAAAGGACCACACCCACTGCTACAGAACACCACGGTTAATTTGAGGGCAATGACAGGCATTTATACAGAAGACTCACTGTATCTGTCAGTGAGATAGTCGGAACATTGTCTGAATACCGACGTACCATTGGTCAGAAGAAGAGATGACAGTGAAAGTACTAAGGAGACATACCCAAGATGGACACGCTGATTATAAGAGATAGACGATTAGCACAACACCAAATGTTTAGCCTTCCGAACATACGCAGCAGATAGGATCCCAAGGTAGCGCACCTAGTATACTTTCAAGTCAGCACAAAATGACAACTATGACAAACAAGCTACATACACTGAGATACAGCACTGTCATGAGCGACCAGCGTTGTCTCTGTAAATATGTGTACTTTCATGTGTGTCCCCTCTGCCATGAGACTCTACTCACCCAGATGAGTTCGACCTATAAAAGGATTCTTAGCAAGATCATCAGTGAATCGGTGAACAAATTAAAATATCATATTTAACTATCCATTGCTAGCAATCACAACAATTACCATAAATATGGCCACGGGTCTTACATGTAAATATTTAACTTTACGTAGGAACGACGTGTTTTTATCGGGGCTAAGCAAGTTGTCGTATGCTTAATGTAGTGTCTTATACCTAGATTATCCTGTAAATGAGAGATGGTGCCAAAGCCAATGAAGTGAACTCCAGATCCATCAGTGACAGGGTGAGCGCAAAAGTTGTATCACACAAGAATCAGTAAAATAATTAGCAGTGAACATGTAATTCCTACATGACAGACACATGCCTAAGCTGACTGAAATATTCATTATTTACTTTACGCGGAGTCTTGTAACTAGTTCAGAACCAGTCCGTCATGGAAGTACTTCGTCTGCACCGCCTTTGCGACGCCGGTTGCAAGAGTATAGTCAACAATATGCACCACAGATTCCAGATAATCACGCATGTGACGTCCGGTTTTTAACGTTACAGGATAAGTCAATATTCACAAGCCAGTGGTCTAGACTGCTGTACCGAAAGAAATATTACCATATTCCTGGATTGAACCAGATATTGCGGTGCTGCTCGGTCTTCCACTGAAAATAACACAAGTTTATTGTCCTTCGTCAAATCGGGAGTTCTACAAGCTCTGGCGCAAGAGGTACATCTGGTAAGCGGCGGCATTATGATAGATATTAGCATATCAAAATCCATGTCAGCTGATAAGACATTCACCGACGAAAGTACGTGACTGTATCAAATACATATCTTCTGATATCTCTGAACAACGTTAGGGCATATGTTAGAAGTGTAACATCACATCTTTTTTGGATACTTTGCCACTCACTACTATGTCGGCGGCAGTTCTAAACACAACCAAAAAATTGTTCTATTAGGAAACATGGCAGCAATCAACATGAAGGCGTGTGATTCCGAGATTGCCTTCGCTGAGCGGGTTCGTTTATTTCGATCAGCCTCAGCAAGCACATATAATGGCACTAACAATCACTGTTCTGTGTCATATCAGCGCTCTGGATACAGCAAATCGAGTATGGCCGAATAATTTGCCGCTGGCACACTGAAGAGTAGGATGATGTAACTGCGGGACGATGGTGAGGTATGTCCAGTGTTTCATTCAGCAACTAATCGATCTTTATCTGCGACCCGCTCATATATACTTCAATATGTCACTGTCTGCGTAAGTTACCCTGTCTGAACAACGACAGAGCATATGACACCCAGCAAGTGCTAAATCCGACGCCTGAGATTGTCCAAAGATACCTCTAGCAGTTCATTCAGTCAGTTATCTTCAGTCCTTGCGCTTTTGTCCCAAGATCAGATCACACCCAGGGGAGTGGATTTATTCATGAACTTTGCTATCCGCTCACATATGCTTTCATATACCAGTGTCCGCCACAGTTATATCACCTACCCGGTGCGCCTTTCACGTTTGGGATCCTCGATTGATCTCTTCATTCGGAGACTGCGGGTGAACAACTTTCCATAGGGTGATCCACATACGGGCGACATCATGTAGGTTGTCACAGTGTCGATTATAATGATTCACATTCCGAGTGTGCATAAATTTTGACACGATTTGAAGATGTAACATATGTTGCAGTAGACGGTATGCCGAGCAATATGTCCTGTCCTCATTGCATATTATCACTGCGTAAAAAGATCACCAATATTCATATATACCAGTAAATTACATTAAAATAGCTATGGTGAATCTAGATTTGAATGATAGAAGATACAAAGATTGTTCTAGTCCGAGTCATACGCGGCATCCTCAATCGCCTTTCTCTGCTCCGCTAGTGCAGTGACAGACATCTTGGACACGACTTCCGGCGTCAGGTCCTCACGATGGTTCCTTCCGAATATCTTCCTAGACGGTAGGGTTAGAGATCAGACACGCGAGGCATACTAATTCCTCACCTGGTCCACCACTCGAGAAGGTGGGCCACCCTACGTTGTGCGACTGGGCCAGGCACGTCCTCGAAAAAGTCCATGGTATTGTTCCAGAACATTTTGTAGTCAAAGTCACCATCTACAGTGCGCCAGGATGAGACACTGGATAAAGCAAAACAAACCTGCGACAGATCATATGTTCAGATATCTGAGTCGATGGCGAGTCATCAATTGTACTCACCTGACAGACAATATACGCGATAGAGCGTGGAGTAACTTTCCTCATATTAATTATCGAGGCCACGCACATTTTGACCTTGGCCTGGTTTAATGCGCGCCTGGCACGCCTGTTATTCTCGAGTATGTCGGCCCCATCGCCATCTCCATCAGCTTCTCTTGCAGAAGATGGAGATGTGAATGTGGCTTTGAAAGCCTAGTACCGTCAAAACTTTGAGAGATTTCCATTAACACAAGCTACTAACCTGAACCAGAATCTTGGACTTGAATAGACCTTTCTCGAGGTTGCTACTGTCGGGCGAGTAATTCTCGTATAGGAAGAGTGGCCAGGAATTTTCGGATACGATGTACTCAGACGTTCGGTCGCGAATACCGGCCTTCACGCTTCTCAAAAGTCAATATCGTATACTAGCCAACAGATATTGGTGCTCACCGGGCATCACTCCAGTCCCATTCAGCAGGACAAAGTAGTTTCCCACAAGTGTCATGCATGAAGCCGCGTGAGTGCTTGTCATCGGCCTTGAGTAGACAGGACGGATGGAAGTCTTGGTTGACCCAGCCAGCGACGAGGTCCTTAAGAGTGGACGTATCATCACCGCAGGCCGCATCGGCTCCTTTTTTAAGCTATTATATTATTAGGATACAGCACAATGCATTGGATTTGAGTGCACGTACCTTTTTCAACATATCTTCGGAGTCATTGATGTCGAGTTCTCCAAGCTTTTCGTGTAGCCAAGGCACAGCCTGCGTGAGTGTGATACAGCCACGTTGCAAGCGATCTTGCCTGAGTAATAGAATAAGCGTGGTACAAAAGTAAGAAGACGACGTACTCTGTGGTGTTGTCCTCCGGTTGCTCCTCGTACCTGCGATCGTTTTCGGCAATTAAATCTTCCAAGCTGGTATAAAGAATAACCATGCGGCGGATTGCTCTGCCTTGAGAAACGTAGTAAGTTGTCTTTCTGTGGATGTCAATGAGCCAGAGGAATGGAGCGAGCAATGTAATATGGGACGAACCTTTGCTTGGTTCCTTTTTCTTGGTGCATCATTTGGAGCTCCTCTTCCAACGCAGCGATGCGACGCTTAGCCCTTGCCTCCGCAGAAGTAGGAACTGCCCCAGAGAGGTCTGGAAGTGCAAGGGCGGGTGTATGGTTAGGCTCTGGCTCAGACACGGTAGAATTGAGGGCAAGGTAAAGTGTGAAGTGAAGTAAGAAAATAAAGAGCGAGTGAGAGAAGACGACGAGCGAAAATAAAGAGCGACGGTAAAGAGAACGGTAAAGTCAGAAAACCCACCTGAACCGTTATATATATCATGCTTCGCTAAGCGATCGAACTATCCCAAATGAGGATTGTCCCAATGAGGATTGTGACCACGAGGATTGTCCCGAGTTGGCGGAAAAAGTCGGATGCACTTGAGGTCCTCTTCGGTCATATCTTTCCCAAGGACACCTAAACTTGCTTGAGAACTAACAATTCTCCTGTCGTGCGTTGCATAGCTGCAGCTGCTTCTGCGTCGGTTTCAGGAGTAATCTATATCTCTGCAAAATGATTTGAGTGTTATTGCAGAGGGTAGCAATGACAAACGACTCACGTCTTCTTCACGGCAAGGGGCAACAGTGACAGGACGTCTGGAGATGGTCACAGGAAATGAGCTGAAATTCAAGTGTCAGGGCTGGAGCTGAATTGATGGGGTATTTGCAGATCGAGTGCTGGAGCGCAGGGAGCCGAAGAAGTTGCGCAGACGAGGCGAAGAGGACGTGTCTTCTGAGCGACGAGGTGTACGATTTGTATCATCACCCCAGAAGTCATTGCCCTGATTCAGTGTCAGGCTAGTAAAAACTCAGGAAGAATCGAGCTGGACTCACATATCTCGCCAAGCCTCTATTGTTGCTTTGCTGTCTAGGCGCAATAGAGATCTGCCAGTGATGAGAGAAATGAGCGAAGGATCAAGTTATTCGCAATCAAATAGCGCACATCTCTGGCTGGAACTGCACGACCCTGGCAAATAAGTTAGATTAGGTATGAAAGAAAAGAAAAGAAACTCGCCTTGAGCTTCGTTTTGGATGCTGTATCATCCTGGCCAATGCACAAACCTATTTAAAAAAGATACAGACACAAGTAATGTAGACACGCACGCCAAGGCTACGAGCGCGCTCGAGTGCTGCATCCAGGCTCCACACATAGATTTTTGCATCTGGTCCAGGGATAGCACGGGCAAAGTATCCATCGGAGGACATGGCAACAACTGCTGGGATTGCTTGTAGACTGTGTCGGTATGTACTGCGATTTTGGCAAAGAATTCGTGGAAAAATCGTAAGAGTTGGGGTCACCATAGCTCAGAGTCTGTTGAAGGAGTGCCGATCCTAGTCATGACACTTCAATGGTTGATGCGTGTGGCACCAGTGACTCAAACACACCTTTAAAAGTAGCAAGCTCGGACATCCGAGTCTCCAGCCGTCGCAAGAGCACAACGAAACATGAAATACGTCGCAACGCATCTGAGGCTTGACGAGTACGTTGAAGCCTGATGGCACTCCTTGGCCAATTCTAGAGCTGTGCCAGTTTGAGGCTTTGCGTGCTGTGTTTGGTGAGCTTGTGGATACGAGTCGCCAGCAAGAATGGCGTTGGCATAGTCATTAGCATCGAAGCCGGGGATAGTGAACAATGAGTATTCTAACGTGGTTTTGGGTTAAGTGACACGAGATGTAAGAGGAAGGTACTTACCCATCATCGAGACATGGATAAAGACGAGCACGCACTGGTCCGGAACTTCTAACAATGCACTGACACATTGACGGGCTGTCCAGGTGCAAGTGGGCAGCATATGGCTGAATTTGTGGCAATTGCTGAGGTTGATTCTGAGGCTGGTGCTGAGGTTGATGCTGCAGCTATGGCTGCGGCTGGTGCTGAGGTTGTGAGGCTGCAGCGCCAGCTTTCTTGTAGATAGCGGCAAGTGATGAGGAAAGGTGTGATGCCTCAGCAACCTTCAGTGCAGGGAAGTTAGTACGCATTAGTGGGGGGAAACGAGGTGCGAAGTAGCATGGACAGTAGAGTGGCTGCTGAAGCGAGAGTGACTGCCTGAGCGAGGACGAATGCCACGGGTGGATGATGGAGGAGGAGGGAGTGGGCCTTAGTAGGATTCGAGAAAAATGCGTGTCTGACAGAATAGAGTAAGGTGCCATAGGACTGAATTACTGGGCGGCACAGGGTTCAGAGCAACTCTGGACGCCCTGGCCAAGGTTTGCTAATGCAATGGTTACTGACCAGGGTTCAGAGCAACTCTGGACGCCCTGGCCATCCCCATGCACAAACCGAATTCATAAGACACCTTACCTTAAGTTAGGCTTCAGAAGCTTCAGACTCGGAGGGATCTGTTGAAATTCACACAGACGCAAAATGTCCAACAGGTGGTGCACGTGACATTCGTCAGAACTTTAAATGAAAAATTGGTCATGGCAAGGAGCGACCGTTCTACCCCTTGCCATGACGAAGCTGCCATAAATTAAGACGAGGTTAAAATTTAAAAGGCATGCTGAGATCAGGGGATCAGCTTCGCCTGTGCGCCCTACAATTGAGAGTATCGTCATGGTACACCTTGGGTGGGTGAATCTCGGGATTGGTTAGAACAACAATGCGAGGGGGCGTCGAGATTACTATACATACTTCTCGCTACTTGTATATAGTAAGCACAGAATGTCTGTTCCCGCAGAAACCTATATGGAACGCTAGCGCTGGTGGAGTAGCAAAACATAGTACCTGTACTGTGTACTAGCTAGAGGTCATTTTGAGAACGACACCATGAAAGGAGCACGCAGAAGCCATTGAGGCGCGAAAGGAGAATGTGAAGATCGAAATGAAAAGGAAGTGAAGAATAAGCACACAGATAACTCCTGACCTACAGATGTGCGTGATAAAATTGTAAGGTGCTACTTAAAGTACCGGCAAACAGGGGATATCAACGCTGCCTTTTCTGAGAGCGAGTGTTGGCTGCTGGTGCGTCCGGGTCCTCGTGAAACCTAGCGCGGCTGGTGCGCTTCGGTTTTTTGGGACGCGGTGCATTAACATACCACCTCTGATAGCGATTATAGGCAGTTTTGGTCATACCCCCCACAAGTTTGTCAACAAAATCCCCTCCATCTAATTGGAACCTGATACTGGGATCTTGGAGGGGGGCAACGTCCATGTTAGGAAGCATAGTTTGAGAAAGATCGACGAGGCTCTGCCTGACGGCTTGGGCGCCCAAGCGAATCATTGCCATCACTACATGTATATCATCGTCAGCTGGAAAGAGAGACTTATAAAAGATAAGTTACATGCAAATTCGGAGAAGAAGGAACATTACCCCATCAGCCACTAAATTGGGATCCACGCTATCGATATCAATGTTTTGTGCTCCTCGGAGCCACACCTTCAAATGCACAGACCTCAGCGAGGCCCACATGTGCCCTCCCACAACTATTGGTCGTCCGAGGGTCGGATTTCCTTCATCAGTCGAAAGATGGAAGTCGGTCCAATTGAGTTTGGGTCCGTTGAGTAATACATTGTATGCAGTCGAGTCCTGAGCAGGACTCGAATACGGATGCAGCTCTTGCACTATCGCCACAACGATCATCGAAAGTCCTGGGTTTTCTTGCACAAATGTCCTCAACTTTGTGTACAGAGGGGACAGGTGCTGTGAAAACGCGGTTTCGCCAATGCAAGGAATGAGGAGGGTAGCTTGCCGGTCTCGTACATTCTGAATGGATATCCTCAAGTCAGGAATGGATGCATCTTGTGTGATGTTGGTCAAAAAATTGACGTTGATCAGCCCTCTCTTCGGGTAGGGGATATCGCGAAAGAAATCGTAGAATGCACTTTGGAATGCGGCCATTGGTGCTTCATGGAGCCCCGAGGGCATCTCTAGGAATATAGTGCGTTGGGAGTGGATATACGTCAATCTGTCATGCAGACAATGGTCATCATGAGCATCCGAGTCTGCAGTCCGACTCGAGCACGAACCGAGGCTTCAACCCGAAATCTTCACAAAACTGTTCTATTGTTGTGTATTCTGCCGGTCCAACACCAAAAATCTCCTGAAAAAAGCAACGATCAAATGAGTCTCAGGCCCATCACTTTGAGAATGGGCACTCACCGTTAACTCTGATTCAGACTTCCTCTCAAGGAACTGAGAGACCTTTCTAAACACACGTCGAACTTGAAGGCAAAGGGTCGGTATAGGATTATGTGATGAGTATAGTTCAAAGATTTACCTGAGGTCGAAAGTTTGAGATTCTTCTGGCCTGCCCAGCCAGTAAAACTATCGAGCAAGCTCGCACCACCCGGTCGATTAGATGCACTTCCAGTAGAACTTGGAGGACCGGGGAACACAATCGGATCGTTTGACTTTGCGCTGGGTGGAGTGTGTGATGTTTTCACCTCAGCCGCTGGATACTTGGCTTCATCTGAGGCTGAACTGCGTCTGTTTTTGGGCTCAATAGATTTTTTCTTGGGCCTTGATTGGATACCAGCAGTATCGGGGAGAACTTGAAGATACATAGAGAAAACTACACTAGTTATTGACATGATGGTGAATGTCGAAAAGACTTTCGAACAATTTCAAAAAACTACGACAATCATGGATACTATGTTGTACCGCAGTGGCTCTTCAGCTTAGCTAATGAGTGGTCTTAATCGAGTCAGTTTCAAGTCAGCGTCATCTTACACGACAAGATAGCTGTATCTCGTTGAAGTACTGTATAGATACGATAGACAAGAATGTGAGAGACGTGAAAGAGGGCGCGCAGGAACAAGGACAAGAACAAGAACAATTTGGAGGACCAGAACAGCCTGAGGATCGAAGAACTTGAAGGAGAGAACAGGCAGATTCAGCAGCGAAGTCATGCACATAACATAAGCTGCTCACCTGGTTAGTCTTTCTGGCCCTCCTAGCTCTAACACTGACGAAGGGGTGTGTGGTATAGAGTGAAGTCTTGAGCTACCCTGAAGTCGCTGGGTTAATGTTATGTCAGCGATGCGGCTATCGCTGACTTGACCATACTTGGATTTGTCCCAATACGGATAAGCAGGAAAAAATACAAGGTTCGTGAATTGTAGCATGTGTACCGGAAGCTGAACTAGTATAGATTTGCCTATACCCATTGTATAATCTCCTCCAAGAGTTTGTTGTACTGCAAGTCCTCCGAGTCATCGCAGTGTGATTCTTCAGTAAATTCAAGACTACCCAGCACCGACTCCAAAACTTCGCTTTCAACCATTGTCCTTTTTCCACGCGTTGCGGCCCTTGACTCGAAACTGGTGGATGGAGGCAGTCCAGCGTCAGATGATGGAATGGGCACGCTGGCATGCGACTCTGAGCCTGGCGGACTCGGATTGACGGCTATGGGCGCAGGCCCACCGGCAGCGCTCGTAGTGGGATGCGATTGGTCTTCCTCTGGGCTGGAAGGTGGCATGTACCCAAAAAACCCTCCGGACAACTGAAGAAATTGATTGTTCTTGACATATCCACGATTCCTGTCTGCTGGCGGCCTTGTGCCACCATATAGATTGTCCATCGCAGGGCTGAAGACATTGAATGTTGCCTGAGGTACCGCTGTATGGTCTGCCAGTATGTAGATCTTAGTACAAAATAATATAAATGAGAACGTATAACATACCATCTGTTGCCATCTGCTGGGTTGACCGCCTAGCCTATGGGTTCTGAACGAGCAACATTTGACTCGTGTGCAGCCTGAGAGCATCAAAAATGAAATATAATTGTTAGTCACAGTCATGTACCTAACAGAACCTCGAGGCTTGAGCGCCCAATGCTCAGGAGCCTTCAGCTTGACTCGACTAGCGGCCAGACTCGACTTGCTAGGCAGGCTAGTACATTACAATCGGGAAGACAAATTCCTGTGTCTTTGAGTGCTCTCCAATGTGTCCCCACAGATCACATACCTTTTCGAGAGGACCTGAGCATGGTCTCTGCCGGTGAAGTCTTCACGATACGATACTTATGAATTAATCATACGTACTTAGGCTGCAGTATGACATTGATCATCAGGCTCTTTACTAACACGCAACCCCATTAGTGATCACGCGATAGTCACATGTTCAAGCTGTTTACATATTCCTTAGAGCACTCGATATTCAATTGTTCACATATTACATCTGGATATAATCCACGGATAGAACATACATCCGCTCCTCCTGATTGGTCCAGAAAGGCGCGTTTGGAAGACACCTTGCCACAAAGGGACCTGTATGAATCGCGCAGTGCACGAAATGGCGGGACTTCAGGAGAGATAGGCTCGCGACATGGATGGTTTCATGTTGATTTTCCCCAAATGTGAAGACTTGGATCGAACCCCCGTCTATCCCGCGCGTGATCATGTATGCACGGTTCGAAATTAACGAAAAGTCACTGATATGGGTGGGCAAGTCGTCGCCGTCGCGATCCTGCAGAGCCAGCGTTGGCTATAAGCTACTAGGTGTTCATAGACAGGCACTTACGACAAGTATTTGACCTGTCTTCCAATTCCAGATTTGTGATGCAAGGATTGTCGAGCTCCATCCAAAACATCATCCCGATCACATCATCCACGATTTGTATGAATGCGCTGGTCATTATGGACGGGGTGAGGGTGCGAAGAATAGGAGATGATGCTTCGGGATGCTTGACATTGGAAGGGATAGTGTGTATATGGACCGCTGTGTAATTAGAATTGTTCACACTACATCCAAAAATCAGTCATCTGTGTGACACAAAGCGAAACACGACAAAGACGCACGGGTCATCGTCAAAGTGGACAAAAGCGATGAGATCTTGCGATGGATCGATGGCGAAGTCTCTCGTTGAGATGCCTATGTCGTTCCGAACCAGCGTGTGTCCAGGAGCTGACGAGGATGGTATCCAGGAAGAAATGAATCTTCGTGAACCGGATTGGTTGTGATCAATGCCTCACAAGCTCGTATGTGCAGCAGGAACCAGGCATGGGTACCCGAACTTCTTTCTTCCACTCGAACAAGGTCCACGCTCGACGAATGGTCAGCAGTTGTTCCAGACGCTCTGAAACAGTGACGGTGCTCGGAGGGCCATCAAGCATGCAATCAAGAGCAAGCTCAATATCAACCTGTGTGGGGTGAATGGTGTGAATGGCTTGCTAGAAACAATGGTCATATTCAGTATGTGTCCCACGTCAAATCAAGAAAGGATTTACCTTCCTGTTGAAACCAAGCCTCTGGCCATCTTTGCATTCGTCTTTTAGATAATTCAAGTCTTTGTAGTTGACACAGACCTGTGATGCTCGACTTTAGGGGAATCATTGTCAAACATAGCAGTAGAATCCACGGACCATATCTATGGCATCCAATCCGAAAGCCTTGGCAGCAGTTGCAATCTGGGAAGGTACATAGAGAAGCTCACACCTTGAAGGTGTCCGCACCACCAAAGTATCAGCACAATCTGTATCCAAATAAGTTTTCCACTTGTGTTCGAGCACAGTAATCTAACGTACTTCCAATGTTCAAGTATTCATCCCAGTCCTAGCCGCATCGTTGGCTTAGAGACAAAACAGAAAGAAAGACAGGACGTACAGCGAGAAATCACGTCAAAATCCGTGGCAAATGCCGCACCAGGATCAGCAGCAAGGGTAACAGCTAGTGTTGTAGGTCCGGCTTTAAGCTTTAGCCGTGGTCCGAACTATGAATAACTGAACTTAACACGTGATTTTGGCTTACATAAGTTATGGTCTGGCTCGGCTCAACGAGCCACGGTTAACTCAGTTTAAGGGCTTAGAGCCAGCTCAAATATATATATATATATGTCTAACATATGTAAAAATAAATTAGAAATTAGAATAATGGACTAGATAGCTGAAAAGGAAAGTACACGCGCTCTACAATCAACGCGTAACTCACAGTCTAGCATGGGTCCCCAAGATAATGTATGTGATCCTATTAGTATTTGATCAAAAACTGAAAAAAAACGTCAGTTGTATGGTAGCGCTGCTCGTGCATGAAGATTATGAGAGCAAAGCATCATGCGGAGGGCTGAGGCTGAAAGAAGAGGACGGGAAAGACGACATGACAGAAGACGAGAAAGAGGACGGGACAGAGGGTGGGAAAGAGGACGGGACAGAGGATGAGAAGGAGGACGGGATGGAGGGCGAGAAGGACAACGAGAAAGAGGACAAGAAAGAGGATGGGACGGAGGACAGGAAAGAGGACAGGATGGAGGATGGGGTCAAAGATCTTGGAGATCGAAGTGGCGTTCTTGGCTGCTGAGGATTTTGGGTCGCAATGGGAGGCAGGAATAGCAGCTGAAGTTTGTAGGTGTCCCTGATGGTGTGCTTGTAAGAAATTGAAACCTACTGTTTTTTGTTGCCATGGATTGCCAGAGCTGGCCAGCCATCTTGAGTCTTGACGAGGATATTTGGTGATGTTGTCCACAACACATTTCATCCCGACAAATATGAGTGCCTTAGCATTCTCAGAGCTGATCTGATTAAGATGTTTGATCAGCTTGGCACGCTTCTCGAAGTCACTGCAGACTTCAACAACCTTGTGTATCTGGGGCTCGAAACCCATGTCCAGCGTGTGATCACCCTCATCCATGACTAAATACGTGACACGACGAATATTAGTCATTGGGAGATGCCATGTACTGCTGAAGGGCAACATGAACAAGGTAAATGGGCTGCTCAAGCTCAACAGATCAGCGCACTCACAGTCTGTCAAGGGATTGGCGATGTGTTTGGTCAGCGAGGCTCGAGATTGCCAGAGGATCAGCGCACTGACATTCTGTAAAGGGATCAGTGACGTGTTCAGTCAGCGAGGCTCGAGCTCGTCAGAGTATGAATACACTCACCCGCTGTCAAGGGATCAGTGACATGTTTGGTCAGCGAGGCTCAGCTCGACAGAGGATCGACACACTCACCTTCTTTGAAGGGATCAGCGACATGTTTGGTCAGCAATGCTCAAGCTCAACAGAGGATTAACATGCTCACAGACTGTCAAGGGATCAGCGATGTGTTCAGTCAGTGAGGCTCGAGCTTTGTAGGGGCGCCGTACTTAGTTCTGACGAGATGAGGAGAAGAACAAACTTGAAGACTATGAAAGAGAGAAAGGTTAGGAATGAGATGAGTTTCGAGTTTGGTCGAGGTTGGTTGAACTTATTCTGTTGAGAGTGAGGTTTGTTGGGGATGGTGTTAGTGAAGATGATATCCGAAGAGAGAGGTTAGTAAACCACGAAAGCTTCGCTTTCGTGGTTTGGTGAGGAGGGTCTGGCTCCGCCAGACTGCGTGTGTGCGCGGGGTCTGGGAAGAGCGTTCTGAGTCTGGTGGTTCGAGTTTAATGAGGCTCGAGTTGGATAGAGGATCAACACACACACCAACTGTTAAGGGGTCAGCAATGTGTTTGGTCAGCGAGGCTTGAGCTCGACAAAGGATCAACACGCTCACCTCCTGTCAAGGGATTAGCAATGTGTTTGGTCAGCAAGGTTCGAGGATAAACATAATCACATCCTGTCAAGGGATGAGCGATGTGTTTATGCTGCAAAGTGCAAATGGTGAGGAATGACATCGATCAGCAAGGTTAGAGCTCGAGGGAGGATCAACAATGAAAGGTGGAATGACAGTCAGCCATTGAATACAAGACGTGCTCGAGAGGGAAAACGGGGTAATGATTGAAAATAGTCTATAATAAACACAACACCATAACAATTGTCAGAGTAAGAATCAAGTATGAAGAATGAACGAACATCACGGGGAATAGATGGTAGCAGTGTCAGTAATGTTGTCACACTCATACTCTGCAATACACTGTGGATAGTAAATCCAATGAAATTCATTAGGTAAAATCAGGTGATAATGTAATGAAATTCATAGTACAAGGTGCTGAAATCGAGGTGCTGAAAGTTCTGATTTTTACTCTGAAATTTCAGTGACATTTGTGCTGAATTTTTACTCTGAAATAATGTGCTCGAAAATGACAAAAATAAATGTTACTAATTACTGTGACACATCACACTAATCACACAACATATTGTGTCATGATATAAGCCATTTAGAATTTGCCAGTGGCCAGAATGGAACAGATGACTTTGTACGTTTAGGCCCAACATACATAGCATCACTACCACTAAGCCATGACATCCTTGATAGGTCTAGCTACAATTTCTAATATATACCACCCTTCTCCTACCAGTGACAAGGCATCCTTCAAACTCTCGTTCATTATTTCCTATTCCTTGCCCCCACCTGCCACTCCCTCTTATTTAGCTCTGTACCATTACTGTAGCCTGAGCATATTTTGGTGTTAAATATTGTAATTATTTGAATTTATAAAGATGCTTATCTTGATTCATGCTGCACAAGAGTCAGCGCACAACTGAATTCATAAGCAGGTTTCCTGCCCTCCCAGCGGCTCCGCCTGCTTGTGTCTCTCCCCGCACTAATGCTCAGATCTCAGACCAGCCCAACACAATCAGGTTGTGCCTCCGACTCTTCATAAGCCAGACAAAGCTGGAGAATTGGATTCATTGGAAAATAGCGCTGAAAGCAGTGCTGAATTGGATTCATTGGAAAACGGTGCTGAAATTTGGTGCTGAATTGGATTCAGCACTCCAATGAAATTAACTACCTGCCATTTCAGTAGAAGTTCCAATGAAAATTTCAGCATCAGTACTTTTTCCAATGATTTTCATTGGAATCACTATCCACAGTGGATAGCTTTGAGAATAGCAGCATGCACATGACTGTCACCTGTAACGCTGTTGGTGTCAGGTAGCGGCACATACTACAGTGACATATCTCCGTATAATACGAGGGAACGGACGTGCATAATATCCCGTATGATACGGGCCAGCGGACCATGGGCCCATGATAAAAATATTCTCGACTATGACGGATGGGCCGGGAGGCAAATTATTCCCGATGGAGGCGGGTGGGCCCATGCAGGGAATATATAGAGTAGATGAGTGGGCCGATGTAAATGAATATTAGGTAGACGGGTGGGCCGAGGTAGCTGGATATTATGCAGATGGGTGTATTAAGGTAGATGTGTATGAGATAGATGGGTAGGTACTTGTTATCACATTCACGGGTGGGCCCAGACACATATTAAATTAGACGGGTGGGCCGAGGGTATTATAAAATATTGTATTATACGGGTGGGCCCAGACACATATTAATTAGACCGGTGGGCCGAGGGTGTTGTATGGGATGTTGTATTAGACGGGTGGGCCGAGGGTGGTATAAAATATAGATGGGTGGGCCCATGTGTATCATAATTGTAGACATGATGGAGCTGAGGTAGTTGTACATCAACCAAATCAGAGGAGGTAATAAATCAAAGTTACCAAGTTCCCGGAGCATCAGGTGATCTCCTGACATGGCAGTGCGAAGCTTGTGTTGCCCAACGAGACGCCAAGTTCCGGCCACCAGAATTTGAGTCAACTGTACCGAGTTCCGAGTTCCGGGACCCGGAACTCACCACATAAGTTGGTTAATACTTTTTGATGGTGCACAGGTTGTCTTGCAGAATGTGGAATCCGGGGTGCGAAGCTTGTGTTGCCCTACGAGAAGCGAAGTTCCGACCACCAGAATTGGAGTCAACTGTACCGAGTTCTGAGTTCCGAGTTCCGAGTTCCGGGACCCGGAACTCAACACATAATTTAGTTAATACTTTCCATGTTAAATGGCCAACCGAAGTTCAGATGTTTCTGAAGAGAGCAGCAGGTGCTCTCTTGACATGGCCTCTGATGGTGCTTAGGTTGTCTTGCAGAATATGGAATCCGCGGTGCGAAGCTTGTGTTGCCCTACGAGAAGCCAAGTTCCGACCGCCAAAATGTGAGTCAACCGTACTCAGAGGAGGTAATAAATCAAAGTTACCGAGTTCCCGGAGCAGCAGGTGATCTCCTGACATGGCTGTGCGAAGCTTGTGTTGCCCTACGAGACTCCAAATTCTGACCACCCAAATATGGGTCGACCGTACCGACCTCCAAGTTCCGGGACCCGGGAGTCGACAAATGAATATCTGATGACCAGCGAGTCAACCTTACTCAGAGGAGGTAATAAATCACAGTTACCGAGTTCCCGGAGCAGCAGGTGATCTCCTGATATGGCAGTACGAAGCTTGTGTTGCCCTATGAGACGCCAAATTCCGACCACTCAAATATGGGTCAACCGTACCGACTTCCGAGTACCGGGACCCGGGAGTCGACAAATGAATATCTGATGACCAGCACACTTCCAATCAGGTAGTATTTCATTGAGCAATGGATAATAATACATCTTTGACAGCGGCCAAAATTATCCATGGCTCCCTTATCTGATCCTCTCTATCTCCACCCCCTATAACACCAAAGTCCGGACATCCAGCATTCAGCGTCTGATTTCCCAAGATTAACATCCAGCATGAACGGTTCTTCCCCTTCCCCTCCTGATAGCATAAACATCTGGCGCACTTGGGCCCTGACTGTGACTTATGAAGCAGGGGAATATACTGAACAGAAATTCAAGGCAGAGAAGACTGGAGGAGGCCCAGTCATACCTTCCCCCAACCTAGACACTGATCTGGTGATGGCGTGCGATCGCTTGGCTGATGTACTCATAAAGGCATCTAAAAATCCCAGTGGGTCTTCCTGCAGATTCGGAAAATTCTATTTATCATTCAAATTCCTGCATGACAGTTCAGATGCAGATGGATATTGCAAGATATAGCAAATTGATCTCCCCGAAGGACACCGGGCATAATGAACATAAAGAGGCGAGGTTGCTTGAGAGGTGTCCTCCTGGCCATGAAGGCAAAAGGTTGGTCGATGAACCTGCAATAATTCTTGATGCATCCGGTGCCATCATTGCATGGTATCTCCCAGACGCCCTGACAGACACCACCCAGGTGTGTAATATACATTGTTACTCGATGGATATCGAATATTAATGGAACCTACAGAAGGAAATCAGGGAGGCCACCTATTTGCTCTCTCCAAGCCTCGAAAAAAGTGTAAGGGCTGATGGCAATTGGCGAACTAATCAAAGGTTGTTCAACCGGGGCTCGGAAGATGTTGGAGCAACTCCCGGATGCATCAATCTATCTCCGGCATGGTTTCAACAGGGACACGAGGTAGGATCTGATGAGATGGTGATTCCGGCAGTCATACTTACCAATCCCAAAGAATGTGTCAGATCCGGAGGTATCTGCATCATTGAAGGGACCTTCCTGCGAGAATATCCTCAAAGCCATTGCAAGGCCAGCAGCCATCGCGTCCGCGGCACTCAGAGTCATGCATCCTGAGCAGTACTGGGCAGGGTTGAGAACCTTGTCAAACCTTGGAAATATAGCAGTAAGCAAGGATCTGCCACAGATGCCGGAGGCCCTGCAGTACTGGGCATCCGTGTTTAACACCCTCTCCATCATTTCCAATCGGGAAACCCCCCATCATCGAGACCACATGTCCATTGCTGAATGCTTCGACATTCTCACCACCGTGGGGGACTATTCTAATGCTCGGATGACAATGCCAAACCTTCAGCTGGAGTTCAAGTACAATTCCGGCTGTATGATTGCGTTTTCCGGAAAGATTGTGAGACATGGAGTGTATGATGTGGAAGGGGATCGGATTGCTTGGGCATGGTATATGAGGGATGCTGTTCATATTTATGCTGGTGTTCCATCATGTGGATGGGCTAGTGTGGATGGTGCATACAGTGTGTGAAAGATCAAATAAAGAGCAAGCATTGTGACCTATATACATTCCAACAAATGAATACCATGTACCAATTGTGATCCGGACCTCAATACTCAATTTTGAGCATTTCCCAAGTGATATGTGGGACTAAATAATTTGGATGCAAGCCTCGGTATTCGATAATTGGAACTCGGGACTTGACATATGGGAGTCCGGAGTGCCGGGGTACTTAGTCCCGACACCCGGACCTCAGCAAGTGATATTTGAGACTGGGGGAAGATGTATAAATACGCTCGAATTAACATTTGTTATTTCCATACACATTTAACAAAACCCTGAACCCCGACATTGTGGACTCCGGACTCGACACTGTTCTGAATACCGAGTTCCGGACGCCCAGGTCCCGAGTCCCGAATTTCGGAGGTCGGGGCTCGGAGACCCGGAGCTCGGCAACTGTGTTGGGTGTCAGGGTATCCAGACCATTGGAGATAGCATGTGTGAGTATTTTGCGTTTCATGGTTTATGTTGGGTGAATATGGAATTGGGGATCAGGGACTCGGTATTCAGAACAGTGTCAAGTCCCAGGTCACGAGCTCCGAGTCCCGAGTGCCGAACCCTGAGTCCCGAGTCCCGAATGTCGGAAGTCGGGGTTCGGCGACCCGGAGCTCGGCAACTGCTGGGTGTGGGTTTCGGGACTCGGGACTCGGAGCTCATGACCTGGGACTCAACACTGTTCTGAATACCGAGTCCCTGACACCTGATTCCATAATCACGAAACATAAACCATGAAACTTAAAATACTGACAAATGCTATCTCCAATGCTCCGAGTACCCTGACACCCAACACAGTTGCCGAGCTCCGGGTCGCCGAACCCCGACTTCCGAAATTCGGGACTCGGGACTCGGGGTTCGGCACTCGGGACTCGGAGCTCGTGACCTGGGACTTGACACTGTTCTGAATACCGAGTCCCTGATCCCCAATTCCATATTCACCCAACATAAACCATGAAACGCAAAATACTCACACATGCTATCTCCAATGGTCTGGATACCCTGACACCCAACACAGTTGCCGAGCTCCGGGTCTCCGACCTCCGACCTCCGAAATTCGGGACTCGGGACCTGGGCGTCCGGGACTCGAATGTGAGATTTTTGAATGCATAGAATATGTTACATCTTGTATACAATGAAGACTGAATGGGACTACACTCCTTTGCCTTTCCTCAATTTCTCTAACATGTCAGTGTACATCTTCACCTCTCCCATCTTAGCTTCGATGCCCTGATCTTGCTCCTCCAGCAATGCTTCCATGCGTTCTTTGATGAATCTCAGTCCCATGAGTGGTGGAGTCGAAGTGTTTTTCAACTTCTCTGGAAGTACCAAAGCATCATCCTCAACATTAAGCTGAAACAGATAAGTCATCAATCAAGGTAATTCAGCTGACATCTTACCGCCCAATACTGGTAGTGAGAGACGCAGGAAGCCATTATTTCATCCCACTGCCATGGTTGATCAGGGATTGTGGTGTTTCCCATCCACCATGGACATGTATATGCGAACACAATCCGGGACGGATGTCCTGCAATTGGCTCATCATGAAATGAAAGGAGGTGGAATGAAAAGACGTCGTCTGGAACAGTGTTCCAGGTCAGCATGGGATACAACTTAAGGATATAAGCGACAGGGACCGGAAGAACCGACACGATATTCTGTGAAGCGGAGTACTGCAGGAGTGGTGTGACAAATGTCTGCTCAAATTCTTAGCATTGACCAACAAAGTCATCAGGGCAGTGGTGACATACATTCATCTCCCATTGCAGCCCGGCTTTAAAATACTTGATCCGGTCAGCAGATAGACCATTGTTGGCAGCTTCCGTCCGATATTGAGAGATGATTGCACGGACGCGCGATCCAGCCATTGCCAATGTGCAGGAAATAGTTGCAAGGCTCAGCTTCAGAGGTCGGTAATGGCTTCCGGGATTCAGAGTGCCAGAAGTGGATGCATGAGATGCAGACATGGCTAATACAGGACTATGGCGCTGGCAATACAAGTGAAAGATGGTCAAGATGTGAAGATAAGAATCACTGATGGATGGATACGAAATTCAAACTCCGACATGGGCTGACCCGGACAATTCCCAGGCGTCAATTATGTATGTGGAAAAAGGGACTTCATGAGAAAACAATGTTCATTCATCTCCAGCCTCTATCAACACGTTTTGTAGGTCTTGAAAAGCTGCCTGCGCATCCTGTGCCAGCAATGAATACATGTGGGATTGCCTTCCGGCGTAGCATCCGTGACCCGGAAGTCGTTTCTCCAATGATTCCTGCATGTGCTCGCCCCATATGGTTGTTTTCCACAAAAAGAACTTACATGTCCAATCCATCTCCAATGTGACCAATAGCATTTCTTCCCTCCATCGATCCCGTAGTGCCTTTGCCCTCAGCCAATGGACTCGGTAAACTTGGCATGGGTCCAGTCAGGTAACCGCAGGATATGACATGCAAGCGGGAACTCACATTCTTCATTCCACGATTGATCAGGACCCCCGAGGTCGACTTCAACAGACCAAAACCAAGCCAAAGATTCATTTCGTTGACCTCGGGCATTTGGGTCGCCCACTGCAGTGCTGATTTTGAGTTGCTCGCGAAGCAGGGGTTTGTATTTCTGAAGCTGGTCTTGCCCCGGCTCAAGTTTCATCATTTGCTTCCTTGTCTTTGTATATATGCTAGCATGGAGGGAGACTGCCTGCTGCACCGACGTCACCTGGGACCAAGCTCGAGTTTTCAGGGCCTGGGAATTGGCCTGCCTAACGGTTGTTCGGAACAGGATGGCCTTGTTGCAAAGGTAAATGCGGAGATTGTGAAGGGCATCATTGGCCTGCCCTTCACGAAGCGACATCTCCAGGGGAATCAGATCCTCTGCCATGCATCGTCTGCATCTGTCAACCCCCAGGTTTGATGGCAATGGGATTACAGTTAGCTCGGGAGAGTTTGTCCATGTGTGAGATGTCTCTGTGAAATACGCCGGGTCATCATCGAGATCATCTAGAATGTCTACGTCCAAGTCTTCAGGTTCATCATCTGCATCAAATCCCTCCCCGAGATGTGTTAGAGCAGACCGAGCAAATCCATCTATCTGGCCTTGGAGCCGATCTCTTTGACGGGCGATGTCTAATCTCTGTGTCTCGGTGGATCTTCTTCCGATCCTTTGGACCTCGATGAGCAATGCAATCTGAGCCTCTTCAATTGCTAACCCTGTTGATATCCATGTCGCCACAGATCTGCGAGAGGGTGCTGCATTGCGGGCATTACCCTCCTCTAACAATCTAAGCTCGATCTCCTTTTTGCTAGGTGCTGAGTGCAATATTAATTCAGTCCTCGACGGAGACAATGGAACTCAACGTACCCTTTTTGATATTGATCTCATATTCATCCATGGCTGAAGGATCATTCAATCTGCTTGACTGAGCTATCCTCTCCCTGGCTAACCACACTGGGGGCAGGAACCAATTTGCCCATGGGTCAAATGTTGAACCTAGCGTGATCTCAGACAGATTCAGGTCACCTTTGGTTTTGGCAGATAATGTTAACAAAAATTAAATTTTGGCTTGTGTTTTTCTTACTTTATCTCAATTTGAGTTATCCTGTCATATATACATTATAATCATCTTGTCTACACATTTTTATCAGACATAACATTTATCCTGGCATATGGTTTTGTTGTCATTTTGGCATAGGATCACATAATGATCACATTTTCAACAAGTCTCAAACTTATGTTTTGAGTAAATTTTGACTGAGGTTAATTCTTTTTTATTCTTTTTTCATTGGAATCAAGCTAGGAAATTTTTGTCTATGAATGCAAGCAATATATTACTTTGATTCTGATCACATTTTGGAGTTTTTTTAATTTATAACACCCTATGTTCTACTTATTTCTACACTTTTGTTCCTCTGATATATAATAGAAAATACAAAGTCAATTGATAGAAAAAAGTTTGACCAAATGTTAAGATAATATATCCTTTGCTCTGTAAACAAAATCAATAACAAAATAAAATCTGACTTTTTTTTGTTAACAAATCAAATTTTGACCAAAGTCGACATCAACAGTCAGTAGTCAACAGTTCACAGGTTGATCAATTATCATATGTTTACCTGTTAACTGTCGACTGCTGACTAGTAATATTGACTTTGGTCAAAAGTTGATTTGCAAACAAAAAAAAATCAGATTTTATTTTGTTGCCAATTTTGTTTACAGAGCAAAGGATATATTATTTTAACATCTGATCAAACTTTTGCGCATCAATCAACTTTGTTTTCTACATACTGAACCCACTATGCCCTAACTAAAATCTCACTGACTTTGGTAGTCTCATACTCAACCTGTACCCATACCCATGACCCACAGATCAGTGATGACATTTGCTAGCAAGGCTCTAGACTCACTCTCTATTTAAGGATGCACAATTTCAATGGTGCTTGGCAAATGATGATCGACACGCTCACTCTCTCCGAACAGTGGGCAATGTCTTGGATCAGCATGGCTCTTGCTCAAACAAGGATCAAGACACTCACTTGCTGTGAACGGTGAGCAATGACTTGGATCAGCATGGCTCGAGCTCAAAGGAGGACCGATACACTCACAAACTGGGATGACAAGGTGCTTTGTCTGTGGGACTTGAAGGCAGGTGTTGTGTTGAAGAAGATGGAGGAGCATAGCAGGCAGGTGTAAGTATTAGTAATAGGCAGTTGGGGAGTAACTAAGTTATGTGTTTCTGTGAAGTGCGGAAATATAAGCCATAGGGCAGTGAAAAGAGGAAAAGGAGAGGGCACATGGTTTCAGTATAACAACTCATGAATTGAGATGCCGTGAGATGTGAGACTGTGCAAGTGATAAGGATCAGTGAAGAAACATGAGAGGAAAACTTACTAAGGAGGATGGAGCTTGCAAGCAGTAATATTGCAGTCAGAGGGACACCAGCATGCTGGGGTAAAGAAACATTATTTGTTGAAATCAACCGTGGGAGCCCTGTGATTAGTAATTAAATCATCGGTGGTTTGATTTTCAATTTCTCGTAAGCACCTACTTAATGTTGTTGCTGAGTGGCTGAGGCTGAGTTGAGCACTAAGGCCCTCTGGCCTACAGCAGACATGTCCGAATTCTCCCTCGGACTCCTACCTGTTTAAACATGCCAGCCCCCATCAATATCCCAATTCTTGCCTGCTAGCTTTGAATTTCAAGTCCTTGCCTTTGTCCATGTTCTCACCAGTATCTGCTCTGTAGTACCTGTCAGGTCCTGCCTGCACCCTTGGGAAATGCAAGCATATGTACGTGTTCTCTGTGGTTCTGGATTGCGTGAACTCTACATTTTTGATACACTATAAACTGGCTACATATCTCATGGCAGGTTCAACTAGAAGAGAGCCCTGTAGATACATATATTTTTTGGCACATCTACTGGCTGTTATGCATCCATATGTGACTATTTACTAGCTTGTAGACAACTTCACAAATTTTTTGAAAATTTGACAAAAGCTTGCCGCAATTCCCGGAAATATTGTCACATTCTCAAAATTCCTGTGGGAGGTTTTTCCTGATGGTCAAAAAGATCCATGGTTTCTGAATTCTATCAACATATTTCTTGCTGCCCACCAAGATCCTTGCCTCTTAAGTTCTAAGCCATCTTAAACCCACAGAAGTCCATGACTGAAGCAAGTGAAGAAAATGTAGTTATGACACAGCATCAAGTGAAAATAGGTGATGGGTCTAAAATTTCCAGAAAGTCTCAGTCTTCGACTTTTCACCCCGATTCGCCCCATTCGTGTTTGTGCCAAATTCATGACTACTATGACACTTTGTCCTACCTCCATCCCGCCAGTCATTAGCGCTTAGCACCATCAACCTCAGTGAAAACCCACTATGGCGTGGTACGATGAGAATGAGCATGATATGTTTTTTTCTCTCACCTATGCAAAATGACTCCAACGCTCCTACTACAGCGGCCAATCTAGATGATGGAGATGTGGATGATCTAGATGACAAAGAAGAGGAAGAAAGGAACATGAAGGAGGCTTCTGAAGTTCTGCAGGATGTACTGCACATCGCTGCAGACTCATCAGTTGGTTGGACCAGGTAGGGTGGACTTATTGATTACTGCTTCTATACATAATTCAGGGCTTACGATGTATACATGATTTGATTGTGCTTACTCTTTTCTCTATAGTACAAAAAATGCGCTGAGAAATGACCTAGAAATAAGCGAGAATGTTGAGCTCGCTGTGCACAACAGCGAGCTCAAAGGGTAGACATTGCTGGCGCCAGGTATGGATATTGTTAGCCAGCGGCATCTGTATTTATAGTCACAGCTACCATTACTATGCACAACTGAGGAGAAATCTTACAAGTCCTTGCACCTAAATATTGAATGATTAGCCCTACTCAATAACAATTTTATTTGACCATTTTATTTCATGACAGTTTGTGCTAATGGTTCCAAAATAAAATGCAAATAAAATGAACAAGCGACATGTTCGGCACACACATAGCGGTGCTTGAAATCTGCTAAGCGAGGCGCAGGTGTTTGGACTGTGCTCACTGGCACATGTGTCGTTGAAACACGTTCACACCACCATGGCAGATAGTTCCCCGCACGCCATAATGTCTTTTGAAGCACTTGCTGTCATCCTACTGGCCGATGCAGATGGTCAGTAACTTCTCTTCTTCTGTGAGTCCACAAGGTTCAGCTTTCTCAGCTTTCTTCTCAGGGACCTTGAGTGATGACTCATTCACATCAGTCTCCCCAAGCTTTGCAATCTCTGTGTCCGAGTTTCCTCCCTCTCGTCGATTCAAAGGACCTGACTTCCCTCCCTTTCCTTGCCCTCGGCTGCCCTTTTCACCACCTTGCTGCACTCCAATCTGCAGTATAGGTGGGCCATCTGTCCCTTGCTCACTGGCATTTCCAGTTGCAGGCCCACATGATGGTCGTGATGGTGTTTCATTCTTTGTGTGGGAGCGTGGTGCTCTTTTCCTTCCTGCTGTCATGGATGGCGGCATGATTAAATTTTCTTTGGCAGCTGGGGTAGTTGGTGCTCTGGAGGCACCATGACTGAGGTGTGTGTTTTCTTGTTGTGTTTGGGTGAAGGGGGATGAGATGAGGTTGTGCTGATTGTAAAATTCGGAGAGTGGAGGTGGGAAGGGTGCAAGTCCAAGAGGTAAGTCTTCATGGGCCATATGCTGCTGATTCACGCTGTTGACAGCAAACTGATGTGTATTGTGGTCATTCGTGATCGAGAACAGATCAGCCTGGTCCAGTCTCTGAGGCTGGAGAATGGTTGATGGCCACTCTGGCATCATGGGAAGGTCCCATATCTGCCCCATCGACTGATCGTACATGGGCAGCATATTTTCTGGGGTGTTGTGGTGACCGTATGTGCTTTCTTGCTGGTCCATGTTGGCATCAGTGTTTGTGATGTTGAGCACTCGTACTTAGTTGCACCCAGTCGGCATTTCAGCAGCTCTCTCATATCAAACTCCGTACTCGATACAGTATGCCGAGTGCAAAATAAAATGGCTACTCAATAACGTGCCTATTTTATTTGTTGACCTTACAAAATAAAATGGTCAAATAAAATCGTTATTGAGTAGGATTATTATTGAACCAAGCCCTGGCCTGCTATATCCGTTACTACTTAGAGGTGCGGAAGGCCCCATCTGTCACTACTAATTACAGCGCTTATATGGGAGTCACAGGACGAATGGCACGAACGGGGCGAATGGGGCGAAAAGTCGAAGTCCGAGATGTCCTCAAAATTTCAATGACACGACCGGCCAGATGGTGTCACAACTTATAAAACTTCCAAGATTTTCTATCTACGCGGATGTGTTGTCAGCTGTGAGGGAGGGCGGGAGAGAGAAGGATGAAGTAGAATGTAGACCGACCTGCGTTGGATTGACACCTGAACATCTAATCCCAAAAAATACCACCGCAAGAAATATCAGCAACATAGCAGATAAACTAATACACCAGCGTGATCGTGATGAACCCTTCTTATATCAGTATGGCGCTCTAGGAAATGATGATGTTTGCAGCTTACTTGAACATGTTGCGAAGCTGCCACGTTGGCCACTGCTATGAGAATTTATACAGATGTTCCGGAGAAAGTATCTCTCACTTGTGCTTGCCCTCCAGATCCAGATGTAATTGTCCAAATTGGCTTCAGATGAGGCTGTTGCGATGAAGCTCGCGTCACTTCTGCAATAGGCCTTCTCCGACGGATCAACGCCAGTTCAGACCAAATAATGACTGCAAACGAACCAATGTCTGAATGATGTCGTGCTCTAGAGGGAGCATCGAAATCAGTCGATAGTAGCAGTAACATTAATCTGAAGGCGCATACCATCATGTCTTAATACTTGAAGCACGCTATTCATGTTTCCAGAATATATCAAAACGTATCCACAGGAGCTCCCGCACAATATCGATTGGCTACCTTCGATAAACAGTGAAGGTAGTGGGACGTTGTGGATGATCGGGGTTGGGAGGTTAGCCAAGTGCCTGCCATTGTTGATATCGTAACAATCGAAGCCGTCGAAGAGATTCGACACAACCACATTCCTTCCATTGGCGGAGAAACAGGCCCCTCCCCTGATTGACTGTCAACATCGCTTTATCATTGCGATCCTGAAATAATGCACTTACACATGTGTGCGTTTAGGCCAGATAGTCCATTCTGGTTGGAGAGACTTTATCAGCCACGAGCTTGAACGACGAACAATTGAGTTTCTTCTGCTGGTGTAAAATGAGATCGCCCACACAATACCGTGTTGAAAATACACTGCAATGAGAGAACGTCCGTTATTACTAAATTTCAGGGCGCGGGGCAAGGGTAGCAAGAGTTTGTCATCATCCGCACAGGCCATAGGTGGGGGCGGAAGATTTAAACCAAACGTCCAAGGGTCTATGCAAATCTCAGCCTTTGTGTTTTTCTGCGGGATTCGGAGTTCACGTCACCTTCAGGATGGTTGAACAGAACGATATCAGTACCAACTCCTGCAGCAAGACGCCCATTGCAGGCATCATAGGCCAATGTATCTACTGGTGCATTAACCCCAGTGCGAAGAGAAAAACCTTGGGCCTGACGCTCGAGATAGACTTTAGATGCGAACCTGACTCGAATAGTATCATTATTAGCACTCACTTTTACATGAAGGTTCATGACAGTGACACTGCCCCTCGCATCACCAATGAAAACGACATCAGGTTTGTTTGGATGCCATAGAAGTGATGTTACAGCAGTAGTGACCCTCAGTCTACGCGATTCCTTTCCAAGTGGAAAATCAAAGAACCGAATATATCCGGCATCGTCACCACTAGCGAGTACGCGACCATCTTGCGAAAAGCCGATAGCATTGATAGCGAAGCGAGTATGAGGAAGATCATATAGTACGTCGTACATATTTCACAAAGGCAAGAATATTACCTGTATTTTTGCTGACCTTTCCCCGAACTCCCACGTTAGTGGAAGCTTTGTCGAACACAAACGAATTCCCATGCGTCAGCCGATGTGCAAAGCTGTGCACTTGGACAGAATCTTAACTTTATTCTCATCTGCTCTACAGTTTTCGGCAAATACTCACCATCATACTTTTGTCAGTAGCTGAGCGCTGAGTGCCGAGTCCCATTACATGGATCTCACCGCTTTTGGATATCCAAACCTGCGCGACGGCAGTTCTAAATCTGTTTTTTTTTCGTTTTCATTGGGATAAGGAATTTCTTGAAGCAATTGAATAGGTTCGTCCTTAGCTCGTTCAATGTCGTCTTCAGCCTGGTCCTTTATTTGTGAGACACCACAGACTTTAAAGCACGTCGATATATCCTCAACTTGAAATACGATGACACGTTGCAGTGCATGCCATTTTGAGAACGAGCAGGCCGGAATCAGGAGTCGGGGACTGGTGCGCAAGCACCGTTACGATTATGGTATGCGATCATGCGAGTGTATGAAGATTCGTGCGTCTGCATTCCCTATGCATTGCAAGGATTATATTCATGATATGCTATGCGTACATGTTTGTGATGCCGGTTGTACTTCAAATCTAATAGTTTTGGATCGTGAATGTTCCAGACTTCGTTCACAGCCTATACAACCCTGAAGAACGTTCGCTTATGCAACCTTCACTTGTTTTTGCGGGGTTAGCTTTAGCAACCCTAATGAAATCGAGTGAGATGGAATTGGGGTCTGCAGGTCGGGAGCGCGCGGTCTGGCTAAGGCTTGGCTTGGCTGGAAGCGTCACTGAATTCTCAATGGATAGACATAACCCTTGCGAAGGCTGCTCACCCCAGTAACCAGTTCGCATTGCTCAATTCACGTATGACGTCTTCCAATATCTTCCACTGTATGGGTACATGCTTCTTATCGTTGTCATGAGTAAGCACGTCTTGCTCGCTTTTATCCGATGTTCAATTCAAACATGTTTCCCCTCCGAGTTAATCGTCGTATCCTTCCCCCCTTTCATGGGACATGGATCTTTGATTAGAAACTCTAGACCTCAGCCTGAATCCCTGCTCTGGTCCTGGTCTCGAAGGTGTGCGTCAATAACTCACTGCTGCTGGTGCCTAGACTGAAGCCTTGTTTAGGTCCAATCACTCCGAAAAGCCTTCACATCAGAGAAAGTACATGTGCGGTGATGGTAGCCATCCCACCACTTCTCGTAAACCCAAACCCTTTACTAACTTCTTTAGCACACCAAAATCGCAGAAATCGATGGACGCAAGAGCATTGTGTTGGTGCCCGTGAGCATTAATGTTGGCATCAATCTCAAGCATCAGTGTCTTTCACAAGATTGGTGTACACTGTAGACACCCGGGCCCCGCTAACACCACATCCTATGCTCCATTTTTCTGCCGTCACGCTCGATCATGCCGGCCTGCCTTGCCGTTTACTCATGCCACCTCGTTTTGTTTCTTCTTGTCTTCTTTTCTCCCTCTCTGCGCCTTATGCTCGCTTCCAATCTTAAATTCCTCTTAGTATGTCTCATCTATTCGGCTCACCAAATAGCATCTGGAACAAAGATCGAATTTGAATCGAAACAGAGGGACAAAGTGTGGAGTAAATGGACTGAGCACGTGTCGCAAGCCCCATGATTATGACGCCATCCTCCGGCGTTTTGATCAACCTATCGCGGACAACACGCATGATCTGTTACATATCTGAAGAGAGCGCAACGTTGAATGTCCCGAAGATGAACCTATTGGTATATATTTAATGGTTGGTTATCGCATCAAGTTCTACGGATACAATCACATGATCAGGCCATCAAGCGGATCTATCAGGGAGTACATGACACGACATGCAAAAGAAGGATAAAACGAAAGCGATTATAGTCTATAGAACATTCTTTACGGGCTTATTCTTATTCGGTGCATATCAAGCATATATCGTCTAAGAAAGTTGGACCATAAAAATTAGACAAAGTAACTACAACACGAGCCAATATATGAAGTACTGGGTTGTGCGGGGGCGAAGGAGCGGGACTCAGTGACGCAGAATTGAGGCCCGGACACGTCGCTCGTACTCGGCGGATCATAGATGGCTGAGACGGCGGGGATAAGACAACAGAAGGCTATAAGCGCCTACACCTCCATCGCAGGTAAGGTCTTGGACGCTAAGACAGTAAAACACAGCTTTAGACTTTGCCTAGACTGATACAACTTGCAATTTACCTGAAACTTTAAGGCGTCCCTTGTACGTGCTTATTGTTTTTTGAGTGACCCAGCGAGGTTCTCCGGTTGCGCCGAACCAGAGGCGATGCATTGGGAGGAGAGGATGAGCCTGGTGTTCTTGAGCATCCTCCCAGCTCTCCTGAGCACTCCATATCCATATCTGACGAGTATTCGATGTGGAAAGTGACTGATGAATGTAGAGGTCCCCGCACTCAAGTGACTCGCAAGGTGGGGGAGCAAGAAGAGGCTCACAGCCGCGGGAATCAAACCAATGCATCATTTGATCGAGTCCACGAATTTTATGCTCCAGGCGACGGACTCTGTGTTGGGAGGCATTGCTCTGAGGATGGTTGAGAGTTGAATTGCTGGCTGACGTAGACGACGGTACACCAGGAATGAGCCGATATTCAGTTGGTACAACTGGAACGTGAGATTCTGGTGATTCAAGTAGCCGGGCTGGAGAGGTGAGGTTATCAGGATTTCCTCGAGGGAATGGAGAGCGTGATCTCAATGATAGGTCGCAGGCCTGTGATCCAGGGGAAGCCAGAGTTTGGGATTGTATCGGGATATCAAGATCATTTTGACCACAAGATTGGGGGGACTGACGCTGAGAGGCATCTGGAATCATCACATTGCGTAGGTCCAAGGATATGGGTTCTTCAGGGGAGCCAACGGAAAGTGAGTTAACATTTACAAGTCGTTGGCGACGAGATAGCGCCTGCTTTTCGAGACACTCCGTGAGGCTGGGTAACACTTCCTCGAAAGACTGTCGGTGAATAGGGAATGGCTGAGGAGATAAGCATACAGGCTTCCCTACTAAAATATTTGAGTTGCTTACATCTACTCCCCGTCTAAATACATCAGAGCTCAGATATACATGCGGTTCCCCAGGCTTGGGGAAAGATTGACGGTGAACTGCGACAGGCTGGTTGAAGAGTTAGCACGACTCTCTAAATATTCCACAAAAAACTAACATCGCGCTCTTGCCGAAGTACCTGCCGATATGGCGTGTTTATCGCGCGAAAAGACGGCGAGAACTTGTATGAGTGTGGTGCTTCATATGAGTAGTGGAACTGAGAGTATCGGTCTGCCGATAGAAGGAGTCCATTAGATTAATATCATTTTATAGTTGGCAGTTACATGTGTCGGACTAAGGATGTTAAAGGAACAATGAAAGTGAGAGGCTCGACGACGAGTTGAAAGCAACTTGTACAAAAGGGACAAGTCCCAAAGCGACCTTTACGATTTGCCCCAGGTCAAAAACAACTTTGTCTGACTACTTATAATATACTAGCTAGCGTGAAATATTCCCGCTGCACCGTTCTAGTGGATCCTACTGCAGGGAACATGGCATTCAAAATGCTATACCTTTCAGACGAATTCAACGATATTATATTAGATGCATTGCCAGGAGATTATGGTGAGCATGGAATCACACGGACAATGACGAAACATACTGACAGCCGGAACATAATCGTACTTCAGTTCTGACACTCTCAAGGAAGCAGAGCAGGTACCTCCAGATGCACCTGAACAAACTCCGGACTATCTCGTAATGTTGACTCATCCGAATACACCTCCCCATCGATTGGACCTCAAAGTCGGCGCGGTATGCGCTATTCAATGAAATCTGTCAGTCGAAAAAGGTTTAGTATGGAACGCGCGTGTCTGCATCACGAGTCTTTATCGCAGGTTCGTAGAAGTGCAAATTCTACCTCACCTTCAATTCAGCGGGTTCAAGCTGGACAGTCAATCGACTTGCGCACCGATTTGTTTGCGCATGGATAGCTGTACACTGCACTGTCAAGAGTGCGAGGTCGTAGAGACATTCAAGCGCTTTTCCGCCCGAAGGGGACTGGAGCGCTTCTATGGAATATGGAGCAGAATGTTGGTGTTGTTATTCCTCTTGCTTGAACGAAATATTACTAAACAGCTTTGAACCTTCTCTAGCTAAAGGTAGAAATAAGTACCCTCGTTTTATTTCTATATCTCTTCGTCCAAAAGCATACGTTGGTCATCGCCGGCCTCACTCCGCTTCCTCCAAAATACCCATGGTGCCGTTTCGAGTTCTTTTGACAGTTGGTTCGCCCAATGCGGGACTAAAACTCTCGCAGTGCGGATGAAGGTCCGGTCTAAATACACTGCGCATCGCTTCCTTCCTAACTTCGCACCCTGCCGTTGGACACGTCATCTAGTACCTCGGTCTCGCCTTGTACTTGCTACACGTCCTCGCACGCACCTCCTTCAGCCCACACACGGAGCAGTTTATCAGCACCTCAATTCATCGCATTGGTACCTCCTGATGTCCCTGAAGTGGAGTCTATTTTGGACGAACGCTCAATCATATCAATGGCTCTCTTCAGGAGTCTCATAGGGAATGACAGGGCCCTCGTTCGCCAACGGGATGATGCCATCGCCATGGCCCGCAAACTTCAAAGAGACATCCCTTCTCAGGAAACTACACAATGGCACCTGGAACAGCAGACCATGCGCATCCAATTTGTCTTTGGTACATTGCTGCCAGAGCGAAAGTTCATCTTCAACGCATTCATGATCAAATTTGACGCGCTTGTCTGGCTAGATCAAAGAAGATGGGAGAATCGTATCTCTGAGTATTGGCAGAGGTACAGGGACGCGCTGCTGGAACCCATTCTTGACCATACAAGCACACAGCTTACCTGGATCGCGCAGGGCAAATCCGTCATGAATATGCACGTGATCAATGGATATACCCACTGGGCGCCTTCCTTACCATACTCACCATTGGTTTCATCCCATGCAAGCCGCGCACGATTCAGGATATCTGCAGCCCATGGACCTGAATCCAGAGAGGATCGGCACAGGGGATGCTAAGCCGGCATTCATGAAGGACTTAGGTATTATACTGTCCACAAATTGAACAATCGGACATTTCATTATGCAACGAAGCACACTCATTAACGCTGTTACATACATACTCCTATGTAGTTGCTTACACTAGGATGCCTGTACAGCATTGTAATTGTGATCTCTCCAATGATGTGGAGTATTATGCCGTGTCCGTATGCCTCAAGTGGAACGAAAATCCAGCTGCTTCTTAATCCCCTGATCGACCTCGTAGTGGCAAATCGTCGGAATCAAAAACATTTCAGCACCATTCAACTCACAAAAGGTAAAAAGTTAGCTTCATCGTCAAGGTATCCTCTATGCGGGGATGAGAAGTCGTCAATAATGTTATTGAAGAACAGGCAGCAGGCTAAATCGACAATCGATGGGGTATCAGAAATGGTACAATACAAACAGGTTTCGAAACCATCAGGTGATGTAAATTATTGCGAAGTTTGACCAAATTATGAAGGAAGAAAGAGTAAGGGAGATCGAATACAGTAATAACCAACGCTGCAGAAAGCGAAACAATATTGACATAGCATCTGGCGTAAACTAACAGGGGGACAATATTTGCAATGGATCGTAGGCGAGGAGGCTTTGGGTATGAGTTGTTGAATCCGAGATTGTTCATGGGCCACCCCGGAGAAGTGGAGGGAGCGAACAGTTGGGTGGCAGTGGCGCAGCAATATTGACGGAGTGGCAAGCCTCCGTCACCCGCTTATGCAAGTCGTCGCATTTGCTCAATAACACTAAAAATCCCGATCAGATCAGTGATGATGATGAGAAACTTATATCACTGACTTGGGCAAGGCCACAACGTATTCAGTACGTCGACTGGTACTATGACGTCCTTAGCAACTTCCAAAGCATCAAGAAGTGACTTGTCCTCCTCCCACAGAGCAAGACATCTGGTTTCCGTATTGAGCAGGCGAAGTCTCTAAATGCATGCTGGACTTACATTGCTACTTGGCTTGCAAACCAAGTAACCTGGAACGGCTGCCTGGTGAAAAGATGGCCGTCTTGATCCCCGAGATGGTGAATTGACATTTTAACTCTGCGGATGAAGAGGCTCTGGTAGTACACTGCCATTGCCAACGTCACAATCAATCAATACATCCTGAAAATAGAGCCACTTACACCACTGCTCAGCCTGCTTACGATTGAACTGAGGGGAATTTCCAGCCTCGGCATGGCCACTAGATACGCCACCATCAGCACGTCTGACGTCATACCAAAAACAGATACTTATGCTCGTAAAATCTGGGTAATTATGATCTGTGTGCTGCAGCAAGTTATTATCATCAATGGAAAACACTAAGGGGACAAAATAGACGTACTTGTAGACGTACTCCCGACACATGTACAACAATGCCATATCGAGGTTGCAAGTGTGGGAATCCAAGGCATCCTGAATTTCAAGGGTTTCTGACCAAGCTTCAACCGCAAGGTCGGTTGTCTCTGTGTTGCTAAAAGCATTTTTCCGGAGACGAGTGGTGCAGAAAATCCAAAGGAGCATGCTGCGGCAATAGAGCGCCCATGTTGATTCTTTCGAAGACTGCGCCTTGTGCTCGTTGGACCCTCGTTGTGATATCTCACCAGGGAACAACCGGAACCGTTCAACTGTCAGCCTAACCTAAATGCATGGATAAGGAACAAACATTAGAAGGATCGGTTAGGAAAAGATCGCTCGGCTCTTTCTGAAATGCGATGCAATGTGACATGTACCTAGCCACGAGGTTAAGGGCGCTCCAACACAGCCTCCTGCAAGATTCCTTGTGCATCTCCTCAGGGGTCCATGAGGGATCCCAAGGTGGCGTGAAAGACCATGAGGACGATGACTGCTCCGTAGCGATGGATGAATTTGGAAGGGGGATACAGTCGCACTTGCGAGAAATTGCATGAGGGGTACGGACCCCGTCCTTAGACATTTGATCAAAGGGGCGGCGTCTGTGAGTGATGGGTACAGCGTTAGGGGTGAATGTCAACACGTCTGGTTCATTACTGTCCAAGAACGTCAAGCCTAATTGGCGGACAATTCCATCGAGATAGGCTAGAGAACGTCTCGCGCGTTCGGGTGTATAGAGTGGGTGAGCCGAGGACTCATACATAGCGATAATCTGGATAGAACGTAAGCGACAGTTGAGAGAAGAAACTGGAAGCGCGAACTGGTTACTGGGGTGACTGCGATGATGAATGCGACTACTAAGCAGGCATATAAGAATACAATATTAATGAATGACTTCAAAGACTAGAATAGCACCGTCAGTTGACACGAGAACAATGCTGATGTTACCCTTTTGGCTGGATATCTCAAGCTAGCTGATCGTACAAGACACTTGAGAAAACGAGCCACCTTCGCAAGCGTGGCCAACATATTTGATATGTCTTGACGAAAGAAGACTTTGGTGATTCCCTTTCCTTGCTCGAATGAATGTGACTTGCTGGTCATTTTTCTGATGGGCCCAGAGTCAGGGAATCGGTGCTGCAATACGAACTGCCGTGCTTATTCGAATCCATACTTTATGTGATCAACTTCCTCTGTAGCTGCAAAGGTAACACTTACATTTTCGCTCATTAATTCAAGACCTGTTCGCCATTCCAAGAAATTTTGTGGCTAGGTTAAGGCTTGCAGAGGCCTGAGATAAGCGACATCAAACGCTTGTCAAATGTTGGTCAAATGCAATAGAATTTAGAAAGAGGTCTTTGTGATTACATAAGACCAGTCAAACATAGCCTGAAGTACAATTCAGAGGGCGAGTGGCCTTGTTTTCTATTTTCGCGTGATGTCTCTTGAGATCTCTCTGCAGAAACCCATGCAAACTTAAACTCAGAACCAAAAATAGACTCGAGGTTTTACTGATGAATGGGAGCTGGAAATGCGAAATTCGGACAAAGTATTTATACGATAGTGTGATTCGGCGCAAAGCTGGATGTTTCACGTGTAGTGTCGAAGATGACTTGGCTCGCCGGTTGGCCTCTGTGCGGCACTACATAATAGCATGAGCCCATGAAAGTAAAAATTGAATGAAAACACTAGTAGAAACTTACAGTTGAATGTTAGGAACGTGCGTGAAGGCGTAAACCTCATCCTCACACCTGTCAAGTTCTTCCCGGTCGTATTCATCAAGACCATCATACCACTCAACACGGTAAGCATTACGAGGAAGTCGACAGACTGCCCTTTGCGGGTGACCCATAGACATGGACTCAAATCGCACTCGAGCGTTGTTGCCCCGTGAACCAGTCCCCGCAGGGCCATATCGATTGTGACGGTAGATCGCATCGAATATACGAAGCCAAGCTGTAACTTCCAGACTGCGCCAGTGCCTTCCGAGTATGCGGTATTGAGGGATATCGTTCTCGTTCGCCGTCTCGTCGCTACTCATACCATCAGGACCAAATCTTGTAAGCATCGAGACGTGAGATCGCAGGTCCGAAACTGAACGAGCAACGTCCAAACGCCTGTGATATAGCTGCCAACATGTCAGAGGTAATGACCAAACTCGAATGTCATGTCATGAATACATACTGAACGTTTGCGTTCCTTTCTCCGATCCTCTTTTTGACGCGCCTTCGAAGCCGCCTCATCGAGTCCTGCCTGCTTATAAGCGCGCTTTAAGGATCTCAAATGTGTGGAAAATGCTTTTTTAACAGCATCATATTGGTAATTGGGATGGTGGGCGACAAAATCACGCGCGAATACTTTAGTAGCAGAGATATTCCACGCAGACTTGGGCTTTCCCAAGATTTCAATAGTGAAATTCTCCACAGCACAGCAAGGACCGCGGCGAGGGTCGAAGTTCACGAGCAAAGTCTCGTGTGGAAGTATTACACCTGTAAATGGTGCGTCATCACCAACTTGCTTCATCAAAATTCGAGTGTGCTCGCGTATAAGCTCCTGCGAACTGTCAGTGTCAATAACTTGAAATCATGAAAGACATGAAAAACGCACATGGAATTTATTTGCCTTTTGTGATCTATGCTTCACAGGACCGGTCTTCTTAAACCACCGCGGAGGTGGGGTCTCTTCTGTATCGCCGTCGTTGGAAGCATCATCAAGAGCCTCGTTGCGAAATGAACTGCGACGAGACTCCACAACAGTCGTAAGATGGGCAATTTGTGTCTCTATGCGACCCAGCCCCGTGTTCACTATATCGAAATCGTCTTTAGACGCTGGAACGAACTAGTACTAAGATGTTATTTCTGAGTCAAGTAACAAAGAAACTGAGCGCACTGTACGCTCCCTGCGTGACTGAGCACGAGCTATACTCCCACTGCTACTCGGGTCGGTGTCCATCCCATTGCTTGCACCTACGTTGTTAATTCGGTCTGTGCCGTTGACTTCGCTATCACCTTGCGTTACTGATGAAAGGCCTCGTGGTGATTGGATGAGGTCAGGAGTGCGTGACGCGTTGTGAGTGTTGCTGCCACCTTTCTGGGAAGTGATGGGTGGATTTTGATCGGCTGGAGGGTTGGTGTCAGCTGTAGATGGTAGCGCATCCGATATGGATGTGCTGCCGGTTTTGTTATCTGTTTCACTGCTAGTTTCTGGAGAGCCAGCTTCGGGGGCTAGTGGCTCGGTAGCACCAGTGCGACCACCTGATGCAGGCACAATCTGAACATGAGGTGCAAATGCGACAGATGGTCCTGTTTTTCGAGCCTGCCAAAATGGTGAACCACAATCAAGAACATAGAAATACTCACTCACCAGTTGTACATCGTGTAAGGTATCAGAACGGAATGAAAAACTGTTTGATGCAGGTGATCCAATGCCAAATAGTCGAGTGGCATACACATTTCTGAATATTCGAGAGACAGAGCTGCCGGATGGAGCTGTAGATGGCTCCTATGTACACAAGATTCAACTCAGATTCTATCAAGCCAAACTTGAAGTACACTTGCATCAATAATATCGGTGCCCCTAGGTCTCTTCTTGGGAGGGGCCTTCTCCCAGTCTCGTTCCTTACCTTTTGAACTACTCTGCTAGAGTCATGTAGGTTAGAGATGTATTGGATCGGGATGCTTGGCAGCATACCTCTGATGTGGTCGTCAAAGGGCCTCTCTTCTTGGGAGGGACCTTCTCCAAGTCTCGTTCCTTACCTTTTGAACTACTCTGCTAGAGTCATGTAGGTTAGAGATGTATTGGATCGGGATGCTTGGCAGCATACCTCTGATGTGGTCGTCAAAGGGCCCTCATCTTGATTGCTAGCACGATCCTTGAGAAGGGATTAGAGTAGATATTGTATACTTTTTATATCACATACCTGGTTCATTGTGTCCAGCACACGTTCCTGTACTAGCTGTAAATCGCAGTCACGACGCATAGTCAATTGAGAGGAAGCGCACCTGTTCCTCATCCGAGTCAGTATCTCCACCCTCACGAGGTCGCTTGCCGAGAACCGATACGAGTACGGTATGATCAGTACGTGACTTAGGGGAAGTCCTATCGACCATAGGGATGTGTAGATATCGTTCGATTTCCGGGCTTATATACTCACAATAGTTATACTCGCCGCAGCAGAGCAATACCTTTCTTTGATTATGGATAATAATCAAAGATATATCCCTTCTGTGTATCCCGCACAGTTTCGAAAATTCTGGATTCATCTGAGTCTCTGTCACGACTCATGACTAGTCATCATGCCGCAATCATATCTCATGCATCATGGCGATTGCAATTGCGATTGAGCGAACCGGCTCAAATGCGCCTAGTAATTGTCAACCTTTGTCCAACATAAATAGGGGACGAACAAGTACTCCGGCGGATCACAGTTGTCCTCGTGTTCGCAGCATCGTGATAAAAATGAGAAGTCTGACGGAAATACGGAGCCCGAGTTTGAGGGGCATCGTGACAGCACCGCATAATTTCCGTCCCCTTTACAAGGAATAGAAGATGTACTCAATGCGCTAGAAGTTATTGTCCGAGGGAGTACAAAGGGCGAAGCCGCTACAAAGGGCGAAGCCGCTACAAAGGGCGAAGCCGCAATATATCTGTTCCGAAATGTAAGCTTTTGGGGCAGACAAAGAACACGAGTTCTGCTTGGATTACCACAAGAAACCATTAAGCGATTATGGTTGGAATTGGTACTGATGCCCCGATCTAGATGAATTTGGTAGTGGTGCATGCAGATATCATGGCTCGGCCATGCATTGGCAGTAACGTTAACCGGCCAAGTGAATTGCAAAGCCGAAGCGAGCCAAATTTTTTGAAATCCCGGGGGTTTGAAGGCGAGTCACGTGACGAGAGCCGAGAAGTGGTTCATGATGACCCTCAATAATTGCATGAGATCAATTATGGAATACGGGAGCTTCGGATCTACCTATAGACATGATACCCAAATGAACACAGTACAGCTCGGTTAGTATGACAGATTTTGTCCCAACACTGGGGCACGATCCGCGATGAGCCCTTTCTCTCATTCTCACGTCAGTTTGGTTCACTCGGATATAATATCAGTTTAAGATTGTGTCGTGCTCGAGAAGCAGCATCACAACTAACTCGGCAGACCTGTGAACAATGCACAAGGGAACTCTATGAAGACAGACGAATTTTGCACGCTGTCATTGATGAAACGCATGTGATGGCGAGATTTTGCGATGTCGTAAATTGACAACCTAATGGCCGTGGAGATCAGCCGCTTCAGAATGCTAAAGAGACGTCGGACGGTCGCGCTAGCAAGGAAACCGACGCTATGGTTTTGCGTGATCAAGTTACAGGAGGAAGAGAGCATCCAGAGGGGACATCATATGGGCGTACTCTACACTTAGATCGCACGTGGCAATTTCTGTGATCCTAATGGAGGAAAAATGCTTCAGACTCTGCCGGGGCTGCTCCAACTTTCAATTTACCTAAGACCTTCAGGCGTCCCTTGTACGTACGTATCGTCTTTTGAGTGACCCAACGGGGCTCTTTGTTTGCGCCCAGCCAGAGGCGATGCATCGGAAGAAGAGGATGAACCTGGTTCTCACGAGCGTCCTCCCAACCCTGCTGAACACTCCATATCCACATCTGACGAGTATTCGGCGTGGAAAGTGACTGATGAAGGTAAATGTCCCCGCATTCAAGTGGCCCACATGGTGGGGGAGTAAGTAGAGGCTCACAGCCGTGAGAATCAAACCAATGCATGACCTGATTGATACCGCGGATTTTATGTTCGACACGACGGATGCTGTACGCGACACCAGACTGAGAATGGCTGAAAGCTGGGTCGTTGATCAGTGGACAATCCAGCACCGTGAATGAGCGAAACTTCACTGTGCGCCGATGGCGAATGCGATTCTGGCGATAGATGAGCTGTAGGAGCAAGTTCATTGGACATAATGGGAAGGGATGTAGATCGTGGCGCCAAAGTCAATGCTAGGGCGCGCGGATGCATTTCAGGGGAGGTCGCAGCTCGGAAATCTAGGGCGTTATTCAGACCACAATATTTGGGAGGTTCAGACTGAGATGTATCCGGGCTCATAGAAAAAGGGAGGTTTGGAGCGTTGCCAGACACAGAAAATTCAGAGCGCATGCATGGTAGCGGAGCATGTCGAAGGCGTGGGCAATGAGGTAGCGTCTGCTCCTCGAGAAGCTGCGTGAGGGAGGATGTCATTTTGTTGAATGACTCCCGGTGAGGAAGAGAGGCCTGTTGAGATGAATACATAAACTTCCCCGCTGGAATGAGCTAGTACTGACATCTGGTTCCCGTTCCGATACATGAGAAGTGAAATATGCATGCGATTCTTCAAGCTTTGGAAAAGATTGACGGTGAACAGCTATTGGCTATCAGGGGACTTAGCAAAACGTAGCACGTATGTTATGCTCAGAAGCTCACATCGCACTCATGCCTAAGGACTTGTCGGTATGGAGCATTGATTGGGCAATGAAGCAGAACGCGGCGGGAACTGGCGTGAGTTTGGGTTTTCATGACGACGAGTTAATTGAGCTGGAGAGGTATGAAAATTTCCTTCCTTGGACTCAAATTTGACCTCAAATATAGCTTACCATGCTACAGCCGGTACGCTATGCGTTAGGCTATGACGCGATGAGTGAACAGCTGGACGAGTCTTACTAACTTTGAGGCCTGGATATAACTTTACACACAAATCAGCTTATATAATCGCACGCGATGGACCTTGGATCACTTAGCACTAAGCATTGGTAGTATCTGAGTTACACCAGTTCCAATTCAAAATCGTTTATGGATTTACCGCGAAACGGCCATTGTACGGATGCCAAAGACCGACACGAGATTGACTCAGCCAGTCTTGCAACAACTTGTAAGGATGATGACAGACCGGCGGTATGATACTCGTCTAATTGTGAACCATAGGACACCTGTAACCATTTGTGTACATTACGCATTCCAAGTATACAGATTCAAATCCTGACATGAGCGTCCAGGGTTTGTCAACTGAGTTGCAGGAAGCAAGTACCTCGCTATGTTGAGGCACGACAAGGAATCCTTGGAGAAATTGACTGAGGAGCACGAAGTGCGTCATTTGGTTTCACTGGGCACGACAGTCTCGATACGAGCATATCAGTACCCGCGAAGGGGAGCGATGACGAAGAATGATCTTGTTGGCAAGTTGGGAGGAAGGAGATCCTAGACTCGGAGGACTCGGGCGACAGTAAACTCAAATATCACGGTACCCTCGCTGCCAGCCTTGGCACAAAACTAGGTTAGTAGAAGCTACGACTGCTTGGTAAGTTAGAGACATGGGGCACTAAAACTGACACGAAAATTCACCATGGAAATTAGCATTCAGCACTCAGCAGCTAATGGTTATGGCAGGTAAGTGTGACTAGTGCAGGACCCAGATAGTAGGGATGTCACACGTAATGCATGACGATCGTGCGCAACTAGGACTCAAAAATGTCACAACCTGGGGCTTTATAACATTTAATTAATATTCATCACGTTCGATTGCACATCACCAACTCGACGTACTCAGGCCGTGACGTTGCGCCCGAATGACCTGCAAAAATCGTTTTTAAGTCCCATTTCTCGTGAACTTGTACTCACTGCCGTCGTCACTGATTATGACGATCCCGACACTGACAGATGCCGAACCTTTCTTTCAGATACTCATGTGCACGTTCACAGCATCCTGGTGGGTTCACGTATCAAATACAGCAAGTCATTTCAAAGCATATCCCCGTGTATTACAGACTTCGACATTCAACTCGGACACAGCGACATGCTCTAATTCAATCGCAACTGTGCAGGCAGGACCACCAGCAAGTGTCGGGGATTTAGATATACCGTCTCAGTGCTGTCGGATGGTTATTTGAATGGTATCTGCCGAAGCTCGGAAGCCTTCGAAAAGGGTTAGTTGGCATTGTCATATCCGAAGGGACTAAGACTGACGTGAGAAAGGGTCGACTGTTGAAATTTAAATTTGAAATGTCGTGCTCGGAGCATAGGTTAGGGCGCAGTCCGACTGCAAACAAATGAATATTTATCTTCTATTTCTGTCAGAGCCCAGGATAGTTGTGCCGTAACCGTTACCCTCCGTGTTTCGCTGCTCTTATGTCCACCACTTAAGAAGGAATCTGACCAATGACCCAGAAAATCTATCCCACATACCGATATCATCTTCCATGTCCTTTAACTCAGTCGACGAGAACAACGGTCGTGCTGCGCACCCCCACGCGGAACAGCCAATCACGGTTCTAGCTCCTGTACGCCTCATCCAATTACATGCATGCCGTCCCTGATATTCAGTTCTATTTGCTTCAGATTGTGATACCAGCTACTATTGGCGATACAACGCACCACAAGGAGGCAGGTATTGTCACTCCTTTCATAATTGCGTTGCTTGGGGATAAGCCCATGCAAAGCACGTGCGGATTTCATCAGCGTCTGAGCGTGAGTCTTCATCAACTTCGACTTTTAACCTTTTAATGTCGTTTTCCCACCAGTGTCGATATGTCGTAGAGCAGCGCCCTGAAAGAGCTGCAAAATAAGCGAATGGATGTGAAGTTCCAGAAAGCCAATAAATGATCTATATAGCTAGGGGTCTGTCAGTGTGGCCGCTTTTGAAAACACAAATGTTCCTGTCCAGCTGTTGAGGCCTGAGGGTGTATATGAAGTGGGCTGTGCTTAGACTCGTGATCAGTCCGAGACGTGTGCGATCATACAAAGAGCCACTCCACTAGATGTTGCAATTTAGTAGGCATGTACGGTTCAATCTAGTTTAACAACATCCGTGCTCTGTGCATACTCATTTCCTATTTCACTATCAATGGCAAAAGCATAAGTCTAGTGGCAGCTAATTGACCGTCGATTTTTGTGCTGATAGGCCAGCATAGACTCCTGCAATCGCATCATCACGTCTAGCATGAAAAAGGGAAGAACGGATCACAAGAAATGATGATCGGCAAGAGATCTAGGATCTCAAGATCTGGAGGCGGTTTCACCATCAGAATAGAATGTTCCCGAAAGGTCCGATTTTGAAGCTTAGTCCAAATACGAATCACAAACGACGTACTATTGGAGATTCGGGATGCGGCATTTCAAGTCGAAAACCTCTCCACATTCCGGTTACATAAGTCGTGATCTTGAATGATGAAAGAGCAGTAGTTAATTTTCTTTGTGGTATATCTGTGTTGGAATTCAATGATTATGATACAAGGGAGTCAGAAAGAAGTTCCCGGCATTTCTGATTCCGTTTGTCACGGGAATATTCTAAATCTAAATCGAGACAAGAAGTTTCCTTTGTATTTTGAATCTTTGATTATTCGAAACAGTGGTACTATCCAATCTAGATCCGTTTATTACCTCCTAATAGTCACTGTACCTGAGGCCTCAGGCCTGAGGATCTAAGCTGGCGATCAATTTCATTGCGGGTCTAAAAAGTCGTTGGTTCTGTGTCACAACTCAGCTACCTACTAAACCACCCTCGAGGCGTTGGGGCTACTCAGGCTATACGAATGCAAGAGAATCTTTACTCGGTTCACAAGACTCTAGTCGGGCACACTGACTCAATCAGCTGCTTGAAGTTTTCTCCAAAAGGTCACCTCTTAGCCAGCAGTGGAGATGACAGTCAGTTAATAATCTGGGAGACTTCAACTGGAAAAATTCGCCATCAGATCACCACCGTCAGCCCCGTTTTTTCTATGGTATGGGATCCTCGGTACAGAACGAGACTGTTTTGCGGGTGCGAGAATGGGAAAACCTTGCTCATCGATCGCTTTCAGGTAGCTCACCAAACCAGCCCAAACTTCTGTACCTCTGACATATATTACTTGCAGGGTCCGGATCACGAAGTACTGACTGGCACAGTAGCGCCAGTATATGCGTTAGATTTAGATGCGGTTACTGGTTACTTGGCTATAGGAATCGGTTCTGAAGTGCACGTCGCACAGGAAATCTCTGGCAGTGAGCACGCACACAGTGTCTTGACACATTCTAACGGTTCCGTCTGCGAATAGATACTTTCGCGACATTCACAATCCTCCCAAAACCCGCCGATTTGTCCGACACGTTGCCAGATAGCAGAGTTCGTCCAAGATCTGTGCATTTCTTGAAGAACGGCACAAGGTTGATCGTCTCCTATCTCAACCACGGCATTATGTAAGTCAAATTATGATTATGCTTGTATCGGTTGCAACTATTTTTGATGGCTCGCAGATGTTGGGATCTGAAGACCCGCGACGCCTTATGGCACATTGTCCCGCCTCTTAGTCGTCGTCAAATGTAATACACATCTCCGTTTTCCTGCATGCATAAGCTAACTCAAATATTGCGCTACTAGTGGATACGCAGCATTGTCCCATAATGCCCGCTACCTACTTGTGTCAAACATGAATATCGGCATGAACCTGGATGCCTTAGGCGAGAAGGAGCCCTTACAGTCTTTCCTCCAGCCCACAAATACAGGTATCAATTTTCCACTCGGAGTAAGCTTTTTACATCAGGGGGGAGCCGTTGTATGCGGCTCGCAGACGGGCAGCGTCAAAATCTGGGAGACACTGTCTGGAGAGCATCTTCAGACACTTGAGCATAAAGGTCTGCACGCATTATTACACCAGTCGCACTCTACTAAACATTCTGACCTATCTTTCCAGAGGTCGTCATGCAGCAAGTAGCTGTGCGTACATTAGTATCTATCTCCATATACCCGTGTTTGACCAGTCGTTGATAGGCTTTTCAAGGCAATAAATCTGCATTCATTGCTGTAGGTTCTGTTGGGACGCGCGAGGAAACCCACATAATCTTATGGCGAGCAACTGGAGGTACATGACCACCACCTCAATACTCCAAGACATTTTCTAATGGTTGAGCAGATCAAACTTCAAGTAACTCATGGTGGGATGTCATCCACAATTACATGGTCAGTCTTGTTGTTCATGAAATTCATTGTCAATGACACTCGACTTATCCAGTGGAATACCCTTGCCTGGGATTTTGACCGAGAGGCGCAGCGCGATATCAAACTTGGTGTCTTCTCTGGCCTCGTCCTCTTGTGCTTCATGTTGTATTTTTCGCAGATCAACGCAGTGCGGGTAAGTCTGATTTTTGTGGTATTCTGCTCTGGTTGCCTCATTGCACATGACAACAGATCAGCGTAGAAAGATGTATCTTGAAGACTTTAGAACTTTGCTACCGCCGCGTCAGCAGAGCCTCTAGTGTTTTAGCTCCAACATTGAGGTTAATATGGTATTGGGTCAGATCTACCTTCTGGTCACTCGTTTCATCGGGAATCTCGTGTGCCGTGATGGGTCTAACATGGTTAGCAGAGATGCTAGGAGTCGAGGATATCGTTGGGCGGCAAGATTTATGATGTCGAAATTCAAGAATTATGCGCATTGATCTAATACACTTGCTCAATTTATTTCCTTGTCACACGTTATGCATTTGTATATTTTCGCCTTCTTTTCTCTCATTCCAAGGAACTTCCAGGCCTGAGAGGTTTGTGCCACCCTTTCGCACACCTCCGCAGGGTATCTACCCTTTTTAGTGAGAAGCGTCCCTCTAAATCCTCTTCCCACACCGAGAATCGCGCGCCTTGCCATCATTTCTGTCGAGGACTTATACGCAGATATTCTATTAGATTACCTACCAGGCGAACTATGAATCTCCGCGCTGGCGTTTGTCATTAGTAATGACACCTCCTCGCCCTTTTGAAAACGTGCTTGAAGACACAGAATCGTATTCTCGATCCCTGTAATAATATATAAGAACTATAGTATAGCCTTTGTAAGGTGAGTGAGTCGAGATGAAAAAGCGAAGGAAGAAAGGTTAAAGAAGAAAGGTTGACGAAGATCGTTGCGGTACAAAAGACAACTATAGGATGTGTAAGCGAAAGCAGTCAAGGAGGCTTGCAAGTGAGAGGGTGACCGTGGAGGTTTACGAAGAGAGGCTTGCGAGTACCATATCTATACTAGCAAGATCATGGGAATCAAGGTGTGAAGGTTCTGGAAGATCGCCTGTGGGCCAAGATGGTCAAGGATTCAAAGTCGAACGAGCAAAAGGTGAGTCACATCAGATTGCGGAGAACAAGCGGAGGACACACCGGGCTTCGATCGGTACACGCAGGCTTTCAGAATGCTTTCAAATCTCATCGACAAATAAGTTACCAATGAGATGGGGGTGTTGTGAGTTGACGCCTGGAATTGCAAGGACGTAAGTGGAAAATACGTTGCCTGAAGTACTGCTTCTGGGACGATACCAACCATGCTTGTAGAAAAATTGTGAGTAAGATGATAATAACGAAGACCAACGCACATCAATGGGATATGCTCTCCTTCTCTATTCTCCTCCTTCAAGCCGTCACATGTGTAGGATAAAAATCTAGAGAGAATTGAATTGAATTTTTATATTTGGAAAGAGGTCTCGACGCAAGATCACGTGAACAAATCTGCCTTGTGCTTACTAAGCCAGCCTCTCTTCTCGCTGCCGTTTTTCGTTTACCTGTTTCGCCACATCCTTGTTTAGTGTCCTGCAGGTAGGGGTCTGGTTTTTAATCCTGAAAATCTCCCCCTCACACATGTGGGTTTCAGGTGGTGTTTGGTCTGCTGGTCGTGTATCTCACTCGAGGTTTCACGAAATTCCGATCTCCAGGTTTATGGGCCCGATACCGTATTTCTGCAGCAAGCAGCCCACCTAATGCATGGGTACTACATCTTCCTGGAACACAGAGATGTATTTCTCCACTAACTGATTGTAATGTGATTTTTTCGTCTGCCATATTCTGTTGCTCATCGGCCATCATTGTTGTAGATATCTTTCCTGTATCCTCGATTTCCACGCTGCGAGTACGCATGACCTTTATTGCTTTATCACTAAATTTTGATGAGCCTGCGATCTTCAATCTTCTGTCAACCACTCCCGCTTTGCTCCACATGCAGGTCAGCTACCCTCGTTCCTTGGCTGCCCACTTTGACCCAGACGGTCACAGAGCAAATTTCCCCATCAATACACTCAAATGACTCAATTCTGCTTGCGTTATCACTCCTGCAAATTCACGCATACTTCCACCGGTCGACGATGTACCGCCTGAAGAGTTACATACCGAGGTCATAATCGCAAATTCAACATAATATTACCCTCCGCATACAGACCGGATGATGCTACCGGTGAATGGGCAGTGCAGTTATGAACACTGATGACTTAGCCCTTGCATTCGACGTGTCTTAGATGCTTGTTTCACTCACCTAGGCCTCAGGATGAAAGATACCACAGTACTTATTTATTATTGGCGGACTCCTCGATCAACTATAGCACTGACAATATGACTTGAATGTCGTAAATTCGTAATCAAACATAGGTAACCTATGCTGCTGCGAATGGTCATAGGAGTCGTTGACGGTATAGTCTCAGGGTCAGCCAATGCACGTTTCCGAGTCTTTCATGTTCACGTTCCATTCCAGGGATCTCGCCAACTACGACAACTTCCTTCCAACACTGAAGGACCTCAAAACGCGGTAAAGAAACTCTCTAGCATACTTTTAGGGATGTTCAAGTCCGTTATGTATGTGCATTTAATGTCGCCACGACCTTACGCACTCGCAATTGACTGCAAAGCCAGCAAAAAGCCATGTGTTGTAGTCTCCGTTTGTGTCAACGCTGTTTCTACTAGTCTGGGTCATCCAGCCACAGGCGCACAGAGCTGTCTAGTACGGTTCACACTGATGCCTTATTCATTTCAGCTCCCCTCCGCCGCACTGCAACATGAGTATATTTCTGTGCTGTCCCACTTTGGTCCCACTGCAACCGGTTGTTCAGGAGCAGCTGTTCGTTATCTCATATCAATACAATTGATCCTTTTTTGCTCGCCGGGCAGTTAGAATCGACACCGTGCTACATCGTCCTCTGCACATTCCATCTGCGAGCCGTATGTGAGCATGTCGTGGCGTGGCTCTCAAGGTCATTTTCTGAGCTGTCTCCGGACATCGGCTACAACGATTGAGATAGACTGCACTTACTACTAACAGCTTACCTCCGGATAGACTCCTAGACGACCATATTCAGCATGCAATGCTAAACGAAACCCAATCGTAACCACGACTGCCCGTTATGGTGATGTGAAGGTTCGAATCGAACCAGACCTTTATTCTCGAACAGGAATAGTGTTACCGGCGGAAACTACCCGATTGTGACTTCAGGAGAGGTACCTCACTTCGCCCTTTGTACGCTTTGTATGTCTGCTTCGATGTAAGTCGACTGTCACGCTTGATCGACAAATTTATCTCATCACCATGATTTTCGTGTGGAATGTAATTGTCACGATACTTCAGGCAAACGGTGTCTAGGATCCCCTCGACTTTCCTGTTGCTCCACGATGTCTTCTGGACCCATCAGGAACGTCCCAAGACGCAGACGTGCTCAGACCCCTTTCTATCCCTTGATAGAAGCCCAGCCTAGTCCTTCGACTTCCAGACTTCGAGTTATTCCAGCACAAGCGCATCATATTATCGAGATAATGAGTGACAACGAAGCTGCAGGTCAGGCAGCATCAGTTATCGACCTCACCACAACCGATGACGAAGTCGCGAGTCAGGTGTCGGTTGATGTACATCGCGAGCCGACCATAACAGTACGTCGTTCAAAATTTCTTATTCCAGTAATTTCCTCTACAACTATAACTCATAGTTCGCGGTCGCTGCCGAAGATGTGGTTGAAATCCTCTCTGACGACGAAGCCACTCAGCAGGTCGGTAAATTCACGGATTTTCCATGTTAATTATAATAACACGAACACCAGCATGCACTGGCAGCAGCCACGACCGAGCTAGAAAACCTACGCGCTGCAATCCGGAAGGTTTGGTTTTCACAATTCGACAGCGTCATGAGCTTACACATTATCGGATCTCAAAGGTCCTCTCTGAAAGGGATTCTTCTCTGGAGTGCGCTGTTTGTAAAATAGTATTCAAAGATTTACACAGGTCAGTGCAGGTTATGACCTTATGCGATTTGATTTGAGTGTCCTTTGGCAGTCTAAAATGTGGACATAGTTTCTGTGCAGCATGCCTCAAACAGTGGTTTCAATCTTGCTGGACTAGATGGGTAGCACATAGGCGACCACCTGTTGGACTTACTTCCAGAGACATCTCGACGCTGCCACTACCATCGGCAGTCATATTGGCTGTGACGAGACGTTTCGGACGCATCCCATTCACCTGTCCAACTTGTCGGGATCTCGTTGGCAAGCACCAACCGTATAAGGTTATTGCACTCGGTCAGCTTTCAAATGCCTTATCATCACTGGGGGGTGAACAAGGTGAAGAGGATCCATCTATGGATTGGACAGGTTACTTTTCTGTATCATAGAGTAACATTCACGACTGACATGTAAAGACCATCGTACACGCGACTTCCCAATTACTTACAACGCACACCCCTGGTAATTTGATATCTAATATATAACAGCTGATTCCGCGGAAGCAATTTGTGTCAACCCCGGATCATGCATGATGCATGATGATCAGTGCGTGTTCCACTTGAGCGCTTGAGCGCCACTGCAATGAAAGTTTACAGACAATCTCCTATTATGATTCACAGTGCTAAACGTCCGTGAACGGAACGCTTCAAAGTAATATAATGTAATATTCGGTTTGGAATCTAGTTCTCGATTCCTAATCGACTAGAATATTTCATCGACACATGTCTTACCTAAATGATAACCAAAAATGGGTAAGCATACTCATCACGCGCTCACTCCGTTGCATCCTTCGTGCTCGCTGTTACATACAGCGAGCTCGATTATTTTTGTAGTTCTTTAACTTTACCATATTATATGTGATTCAATATGATTTATTGCGCGTTTTCAGACCTAATTGAGTTGAGAAAAAGTGTACATAATTGAATAAATACTGCAGAGGTAACACAAATCCGCCACTTTATGATACTGCTTGGCCTCAAGGTCTCCCGAGTGTCAAAAATGGGTCAGGAGAGTACTGACTGCAAGTACTGGCTGCACGGTGTCAGCCTTTGCTGGCTGTGGGTCACGTGGTATGTTGTGACCGTGAGATTAGTCAAATTCAGATTTATATTATCCAATCGACAGGCTTTGAGAATTCCAATAAGTCAATTTTGAAGCGAGAAATTCTCCAAACTAGGGATTAAATTCGATAATATCATCAAGCGGAGTCAAGAATTCTGAAAGGCTACTAATACGCATATGGTTGCGAAGTCACCGAGTACATGGTCGGCGACTGGATATCTGGAGCGGACGAATATTCAAGGTACTGTTCTTCGCCGAATCATGACCGCGCCTGGGTGAGACTTACCTCCAAGAGTCAAGATCGGGGAGTCAAATACAATCGGAATCGCTCAACAGACCCAATTCATTCGGATGAGCCAGCTCGAATGTGCGTGTGACTTGTGGAAGGGTCGTGTTTCGAAGTTTCAGCCACCAGTGGCTTCGTCCTTTGTACAGCCTTGCCTTAATGCCTGTGTGTGACATTGCATGATCGGGGGAACGCACAGCTATCATGTCGCTAGATCACAAAACTCGAATTTTCCTTATACTCGGTTCCTTTCCTTTATGTCAGCTGCATACTACCAGTAACTTGGCATCAAAGTGTCCCAGACACAAGGACTTTGCGATAGATGGTAACATTAGCGGCGAACTCGGAGGACGATGCAAGATTCTGCTCGCGGCTCGGCTGACCGCTACTTAAGGGATCCGATTAAAACAGAATTGTCACTGGCAAGCCCACGTACAAGTGCGTATCCTCCGTCGATATCGATGTCCTTTCACTCGGTCTCCTCTCAAAACGAGAACAGCCATCATGATGCGCTATTAGATGGCATCACGTCCTCTCATTCAGTTCCCTGTGGTCGTGATGCGCTCCAGAATGAAGTGGAACCCACCACTCATGTAAGTATCTGTACCGAATGAAGGTTCCTGTTCCAAGCATTCTGATGCTCAAGTGACAGGACCAATTTGAACCCAATGGTTCTAATTTGAGGTCTAGAAGTGGACATCCTGCACCCCCAGAAGACACCATGTCCATTCGTTCAATCTCTTCTCAATGTGGAAACCACCAAGGTGATCGCAAAGTCCACGATGAAGTAGAACGCACCAGCGCATATCCCCCGTCCTCGCATATTCACACAGCGTCCCTGAGCAGTTGCGATGCGCTCCTGAAACGCGCTGTTTTCATTCTGGAATGCACTACGTCCTTTCGCTCATTCCCTCATTTCGACTCAGAGGACCATGGTCACAGTGCATTCTGCGACAAAGCGGAAGAAGAAACTGGACGTCTAGCTCTGGTAAGCCCTATATACATACGTGATTCGACTACATCTGAAACATGAGATGAACAGTGGTTCCGGGCTGTCTTTATAAGTACTACACGAAAGATAGTCTTGACTGCTCTCCTTTTGATTGTTGGTTTCTCGGTCAAGGACAGTCGTCTTCTTCAGCTGACCGACCACCTCATTCTTGCGGTCGAATCAGGAGCGCATGTTCTCATGGGTGCGTACTTGAGACAGCGAGGTATAGAGGAACGCGAAGTGCTCCACTGCATGGGGACTGGTGGAACAATATTCTACGCGCTGGTGTTCTTGGTACTGATAATGATTCCTTTGTAACTAAATATCGGACTGGTGGAACAATATTCTTCGCGCTGGTGTTCTTGGTACCGATAATGATTCCTTTGTAACTGATTATACAAGACAACGATTTCATTTTGGCTGACTACACTGCGTAGCGAATCGCGATCATTTCAGTTTTCAGTACGTCAATGATCACATTATCGATCAAAACCCCGCATATATTTTTTGCTAGACAAAATTATATAAACCGCGATGACAGACTATGTACAGATAAGGCAGATGATTCCCGACGTTCTATGATAAAGTTACAATATATTATCTAACCGTCACAAATGAGTGTATCAATGATGCGACAAGTCCAAGCTTTATATGACATCGCATTGTACGTAGGACCGGGGAGAAGACGATTAGTCTGAGGGAGGTGGGAAGGGCTAGTAATCGTATCGAACGGGCTCCAAGCGTCATCAGATGGTCACGGCGAGGCTCATGAGAGTCGCTTACTAGTGCGTTATGCACGCATGAAAATCACACAAATGCATGGTGGTGAAGTGAGTTCGAATGCACTTGTACATTAAACAGACATGTACAAATGAGTGTGATTGATATGCAAACGAACGGAATGGTACATAGGATCGCCAGTTGGGGGGTTGGGGTTTTGGCTGTGGTCTGCATCAGCGTCTGCGCACATCAGAAAACGAAATATATCCGCCGCATCAATGAGTGAAACAAGGTACTGAATCACATTGAACGCGAGTGCAAAGACGAAGCTTCGCAAAACCTTGAGTGCGAAGATATGCGACCGGCGGGCAAAACACAACCTAAAACCCACGTGTGTGAGGTAGGAAAAATGGGAGGTTTTCAGAAGCAGAAGCACGACTCAGCTGACAAGCACAGTATTACTGATAACGACGGGTATACGAGTCCATGGACGAGCTCAAAAGTGAAACGCGTGACTCGTTGAAAGAACCAGAGATGAAGACTTAGTCAGCACTTGTTTGAGCTTGTTGTTCGCAGTCTAAGCTCAAACGGCACTGTGAGTCTGTGACGAAGAACTTGGATCGGAAACAGTTACAAACATCACATCAGCTGCAGACGCCTCTTGTTGCATACAACAGTTATCATTCTTATCAGCCCCAGATACCTAAGTTTCACCTTGCGCTTAAAGACCAAACGACAGCGACCCGTCCCTGCAAGTATTTTGTCTCAGTCTCATTCACCTTTTTCTACTGACAGGTGAAGGGCAGTCTGCAGAGGACCATAAATGGGCTATCGAGGTGAGAGCATTAGTATATTTAACACACTGAATATATATAAAACCTTCGATTGTAGAGGTCACTATGGGTGGAGGACAGCAGCACGCTAAGGATCGGAACATCTGACTTGGACGCCGAGGAGTCCAGCTCCGATCGCGACTTGTTTCGGTATTGCCCAACTCCAATCCCCCTCAAGTCAATACACCCATCGTTCCAAAGACTGTCCAGTCTGCTACGCCGACATTGAAGATCCGCTTACCGCGACTATGGCAGGGCGGGCTACAATCACCATCCGTTTCAGTCGTACTCACTTCCCACTGCCAGTCTCGCAGAAAGCCCTCCTTTGGACCAAGAGGATGAGGACGACGCTGCAGTTGGGCAATCCTTCTCTTCCCCGACCTAGATGAGCGGATAAGACAAATCATCAAAGAATACGGCGCCATCTTCCCCAAACTCAATTTTTATTCACCAAAGGTCAGCTCGTTCCATCGAAATCGATCGCCGCTCACATCGAACACAGGACGCATCATGGGTGCTGCCACCATCCTCGCCTCTCAAATGCACATCTCCATCAGACGTCTACATCCTGCTGAAATCCTCGGACTTCATATCGCACGATCTAAGTATTGACGCGATCTTTGAGGGATGCCAATGTGATCCCTCGAATCCGCCATCCTACCAACTCGAGCTTGTCCTGAGGAAATGGTATTCTATAGACCGGAGTCGCGAGTTCAGGTGTTTCGTTCGTGAAGGCCGTCTCATAGGTACGTCCCCTTTTCTAACTCTTGTTCCAGCAAGCCACGAACGACGCTCGTACAGGGATATCACAACGCGATACGAATCTCTATGACCCCATGAACGAGCCGAAAACACAAAATAAGATCTTAGAGACACTTTGGCATTTTTGGGAGGAGAAGATCGAGTCCGAATGGCATGGACAACAAGACTGTATGTGTCACATCGTTTTTGTGGTAGTCCGCGCACTCATCACACTTATAAAGACGGTTTCAACGTGTTGATGACGCGTGATCTGTCTCGGGGCCCATTCGTGTTGTCACAAAAGTTCTTGAGGATTAGATGGTTGTGGCCAGTAATCTCATGCCAACGACTGCCGACACTGCGAAATTTTCTTTACTTCGCGCTCTGACGCTCTGACAATCCATTTCAATGTTGCATCCCGGTTTTTCTTTAAAACTTTCTTTTATGCTGTTTCTACTCTCGCATCTCCCCTCGTGCTTCCAACAGATGTCCAAAGCTTGAAATCGCTCCATGCCTTATGCGGATGTTTTGACAACGGAATCAGGGTGTGAAGCTGAAAGGGAGATCTAGCACGATTCCGCAGGTTGCCTCATGGCAAGTTCTTGACTAAGATGATTTACGCGATCTCAGTTAATCAGCCCTTTGTTACCCCTCAGCTTCTGGTATATTTAAGGATCGACTCTTGACCAGATCGCGTACTTCACTCTCCAATGGCTCCTTCTCGCAGGGCAATGCTCCACCAGAGTCACGTTAACAAACACTATAACCTACGTTCGTCACCCTTGAAGTTGAATCTTTCCTTGCCCAGCTCCAAGCCATCTTCTTGTATTAACAACGACGATGGATTATTGCGCATCGAGCTCACAATCGCGCACGAGGTAAGTTTGTTTGTGAAGTCCCTGCCAGTTACTAACGTTTATTGTTTCAGGCGGTGTCTAAAGTAGGGATCTTCCTCAGTACTGACGTCAAACAGCTGCGAAAGGTTGGCGTCATTAATGAACAACCTTGCCGTTTCTGATCACTGGCTCGTTAGGAGCTTGCCAAAGCCAAGCGAGAGAAGGAAAAAGCTTTTACGGAGCGAGACAATATCGTCGTCGCGCATCAGAATGTATGCGATATGCGACCTTCACCGACTGACCAATTCAAAGACTGACTCTCACCACGCAGTTCATGCACAGTGCTGACGTCGTATTGCAATGTCCGATCTGCCAGACAGTTATCAAACAACCTTTCACGTAAGCCACCTTCCAGTTTGACCCTTAAATGTTTCTGATGGGCGTGGTTTCTATCCAATAGCCTGGAATGTCACCATACATTCTGTTATCACTGCCTAGTCAGCTCGTTTCATAATCGCATCAGGGCCCGTCTATCATACTGCATCAACGAGAGACTTCCCGAGCATTTTCAGCACCATCTAGCACCATTTACCGGCGCTGAGGTCAAGGAGTTATGCGATGGCCCATACGCTATTATCCCTGGTCGCTTTTATACCTGTCCCACTTGTCAAGCTTACGTCGAGAAACCTCCGGTCGAAATTCCTTTGCTCAGTGAAGTGGTCGGCAAAATTACTGGAGTACTTGGTCCAGATATAGACCATTATGAGTGCAGAGTACCCGCAAATCCAGCTGCGCATTGGGGAGTATTTTTCGAGCAGTGAGACATTGATCTGTAACTACTACTTCGTTGGTGGGCTTTCCTATGGATGCGTATCCTATCCTCAGCTTGACAAAGCCCAGAACTCATTCTTAGTATAAAGGTACAAATATATGTATGTAGCCAGAAAAAAAGAACGTTCAACGTGTTACACCACAAAGTGTTCAAATTTCAGACGTTGAATTGACATTTATTTGTCCTTGTGTTATCTTCTTTCTCACAGTAAGCGCACATTTGGAAGAACTACATCGAAGGTGAGCTGTCCGTATACGACGTAGGCTAAGTTTGACGTGAGCCCTTAGAAGATTTATTCCCAAAAACAGTGGCTTGTAGCTTTTGAACGCGCATCAAATTGGGCAGGGCTGGTTTAATATAATCGACTTCCGCTTCAAGTCATCATGGTTTCCATCATGATCTTTGTAGCTATCCCAAGCCTCACGCAGGCAGACTTGGCTATCTGCGAGGCTTCTTAGGCTAGTTCGGACTTGTAATTGGCAGATTGCACACTGGAAGAAAACAAGGTGGGCCTACTCCACGTGTACGTTCGATGGGTCTAATTTGACCCTTATGCTAGGCTAGAGAAGAGGCTGAAGAGATCGACGGGTAACATCGTGGTGTACCTACTATACCTACTAGACCTTATGTGGGAGAAGGTGGCTGTCCCGCGTTTCTCTATCTTTGCATGATGAGTCTGCCAATTCGCTGCTGTTCACTGAACTCCGCTAGATACTTTATCTTTCCTGGAAATAACACACTCCCCAAACCTCGGATCAAATGGCGCTCTTGATCTCCTATTGCTATTCTCCACCGATATGTCATCACTGGGCGCTATTGCGCTTGCATATTTTCTCCCTGAATCAAACTCCTTGTTGATCTTATGGACAACGGTAACTTTGGACATTGCTGTATTCAATGATTTCTGAATGACCTACAGATATCATGTTTTCCTGGTGCGTCACTCCGAAGATGTGACCTGCTAACTTCTCTGTCGAGGTCGTTGATTAAGATGAATGCCTCAGTACGACATCTAGTCGTCTCATTTTATTGCTGAAACGACCGGTTGATCTATTATTATATCAGAAATCGGAGTTTGAAGGAAGATATAAACTGCCTCATGGCAGTCACGACGTGACTTGGTAAGAGGGTAAGACTTTAAAGGGAATAATTCACGCAATCTTTGTCCATCAGGAATTCTCAGTCCTTTGTGACATTTAAATTCCTGCGAGCATTCAAGGTCTATCCAATGCCTCCCTCTCGCGGTGAAACAGACCGCCAGAGCATCCATAAATCTTATCATCTTCGTTTCTCAAAGTGGAACCCTTCAATATTCAGTTCCGAGTTATCATCAATTCGCAAGGTACACTTTGTACATTGTGAAATTGCGGAACTCACCACTAATTTTGGTTCTTTTCAGACAGCGTGCCAAGCTGGAGCCCTTAGCGTCGACATAAAGCAGTTAAGAAGGGTAAGTGCGCACCATTAATCACCATCTCGTATTTTCTCATCATGACTCAAGGAGTTAGCTGCGGTGAAGCGAGAGCAAACAAAGGCGTTCACGGAGCGAGACAACGTGACTGCTGCTCACCAAGGAGTATGCATTCAATACTTGACAAGCCATCTAAAAATAGGTTTTATTCTTTCGTAGTTGTTGCAAGCCGTCAAAGCCGCATTGCAATGCCCAGTCTGCAAAAAGGAAATTGAGAAGCCTTTCACGTAAGTCGCCATCAAGTCTGATTCTTGGATGTTACTGAGGAGCCCATTCAACAGGCTGAGTTGTCACCATACATTTTGTTATGAGTGCCTAGTCAGCTGCTTTCATCAATGTATAAGGGCACGTTTGTCCTACCGTCCCGAAGCGATACTTCCGGAAAATCTCAGGAATCATGACACACCCTTCACGGACGCCGAAATCGAAACGTTGTGCGATGGCCAAGACTCTGTTCTTCCTGGCCGCTACTATCACTGTCCGACTTGTCGGGCGTTCATAAATGACCCTCCTGCCGAAATTCCGTTGCTCCGCGACGTGACTGCGAAGATAGTTGACCTACTCACTCCCGATGTAAGACGTGCGAATCAGGGGGTACCTGCAGATCCAGCTGGACTGTGGGGAGTTTTCTTCAAGAGTTAAATGGTAGTAGAACGATGGGATTTGAAGAACCGCGTAGACTGTACTCTCATTACCTCCAAAGTCCTGTTCATTTGTAGACTTCAGTGCTACGTAGCTACCGACTTCCTTGTTTGAATTCTGCATATGTGTTCTAATATATCGAAGGGGACCTCAATTCATCCGCTGACGCCCTCATCAAAACCCTGCCAACATACAGAAACGCCGAAATGGTGAGACTTATCATGCAAGGAGTGCATTGGCATGGAGAGGGTTGGCGAGATTGTTCGTAGACTGACATACCGTGAGACCGTTGTTTAACTGGGCAGTCTGTTCTCAATTAGGAGAGTAAGTATCAATCCTTTCTCAGTCCCAACAATGGGCAGTAGAGCCGTATCTGTACCTATAACACATGGACAAGAAGGAATAGTATTGCATGTAGGTGGGGACGAAAGGGAGACATTTTTGAAAACTCTTAGAGCAAGTGCCACTTTCAATCAGTCTCAGTCCTACTACTACACTTACTAACTGAAAAGTCAGAACTGCGCCTTTAATCGTCGGAGGTTATCTCCTCTATGTGAGGTCGATCGGGAGAGTAGAAAGGTCGTATACGCAGTCAAGTAGCCGATGATCTTTCATTTTTGGTTGATCATGCTGATATACCTGCGTGGTGTGTGTAGCACGACAAAGGCTACCCCTTCGATTCTGGGCCAAGCACCACGGCGAGCCTTATCTTTGCCTTTGACATCTGACAACGGCCAGAGAAAGCATTCACGACTCGCAAATATACAATGTTTTGATGCCATTGCACTGGATCATCCTGACGCAAACCCCACGGGCGTACGCGCTTCATCTAATATTGTCAGGACGTATTTGTCGAATCCTTCAGGTGTGTTTGTCGTCATGATACATTTGGTGTTGCAAATCTCCATCTTCTTTAGTTACACTCCCTCAACTTAATCCATCGCTATCTTACCCGAGGCCCACCTCGCTTAGTCAACGTTCGTACTAATAGTATGGTCAAGAACATAGCGCTCAGAGTCACACAGATCTTCCAGACGAGGGAAGTCAGCAACCATCATTCCATGAACGACCCTTTCCGAAGGGTGCTGGTACGGGAAGAACAAGATGGTTCCGCTCATCCAGTACGCATCAACTTCTCTGTCCGAACGAGGATATTGCTGGTGTGGTGGGGGACCTCTATATCCACACGAACACTCACTCCAGCACAACATATTTGTGGGTCCTGCATCCCGTCGACGGTTGGATTCCAATCGAAGCAGGGGGCGATCACCCGACTTTGCCCAAGAGGCGCTTACGAATTCGCAAAGATGGTGACCCAAGCTGGGTCCAGATTCGATCATTAATTTCAATGGAGTCGAGAGAACGTCGCCGCTGATATTTTACAAGAAGGAACATTAAAAATGTCAATTCTCACACAGATTGTATCATCGATTCTGACGAATCGGGTACATAGAATCTAGAATCGACCAGAATCGTCGATTCACCTATCAAGGGAAGATCTGGCAGCGCCGTCAACGTAGAATCTGAGGAATCCTATCACTTGTTACCTAATACTACCAGTATCATTAGTACTACTTTTACTTGCTTTCGCCATGAGATTTCAGGCATCAATATGCATTCGCCCGTGCATGGCGGAGTGAGTATCGAGCCCTTTCCTTGGTATGAATTGAAGGCCTAGGAACAAGTGAGACAACAAGTTAAAAACATCTAGTCACGAACGTACCTCCATCAAAGTCGGGTCTACTTCTATCCCTGAAATAACATATATATAGCGATGGTGGTGGAAAAGAAGGAATATACGCACGCTCAGTTACAAGATGCCACCAGGCCACGTTCAGTGGGTCAGCTGCTCCCCAGGTGATGTTTCCTCCATATGCCTCACGAGTGCTATACTCGAACTCGAAAGTAGGGCCGAATTGAGTCTGCGAACACAGCGCAGGATAATCGTCGACGTAACTCTTCCAGCTGCAGGGTACTTGTAAGTAAGCAAAAGACTAGCTGATAACAGCAATCCGGAGAAAAAATTGACGTATAAGCATCGATCACTTCAAAAGTCTGCGTGGATGTGTAAGCTGGGTGTAGCAGACGTAAGTAATAAAACATACAGCACAGTCAACTTCGTAAACGCGGAACCCAGAATTTAGATTGGTGAGGGGTGTTACAGAGGGCCCAGTATGGAAGCCAAGTTAGATTGATCGTCACTATAGATCCGTCTACAAATAACCGGTCCTCGTGTGTGACCCCAGAAGATGTCTAATTATACCAGTCGTCAAACTGGTTCGGGCATCGTAGAGGAATAACATGCTAGCAATAACGTGGGGGAAAAGCGATCAATACTGGGTATATTAGTTCCATGCAATGATTTCGACATCCAGCGAACTTACATTTGGTAAACTAGCGCAGACGCTGCTCAGCATATTGCACGATAATGGTGAGGTTAAACTTACAGAGATTGGCTGGGTTCAGCAGCGGATTCGAACCATCCCAACTACTGACGACGTGGCCAATGATCCAGACTGAGCACTGTCAGATCGATTAGAATGTAGTATCCATCAGCGCACCTCGGTCTCCCGCGTCTTCCGCGTCCAGAAGTTCATCAGTGAGGAACCTTAGTATTACAGAAACATCTGGTTCGGAAGAGTTGATGTAATTGAAGTAGTTTGGCCTTTGCACAGTTTATATCATGGAGTTTTCGACTGTGTCTGGATATGATTGATTACGTACCTGTACCCTACAAGTTTGTGAGCGCTCATGCCAGTTAAACATTTTGCCTCACATAGTAAGTTGGTGTCCAAGCTGATTACTCTCAGGCCACCTGCACGCTTAACCATGTATGCTGCATAGTGAGCATGCGAAAACTCGATGGAAACCTCCGGAAGCCATCCCAGAGCCGATTCAACGATTCAGGGCGATTCACGATTCCACTCAATTCTCATGCGACATCAAAATCGATGTCTGAGTCGGTGCGTGAATCGACGTGGTGTTTGACTTCCACTACATAGGCTGGGAAGTAGCATGGGAATGTGAGTCATGACTCACGTGCTTTTTCGAACCTTGTCGCTGCTCCGCTGCCCTCACGTCCAGATCTCATACCCGAACACTCTTGTCGCGGGAACCAGTGACGAGGAGATGGGTACCCTTGACTGTCGCTTCGAGATGAAGCATTTATTTTTGAGTTGGCGCTTTGGAGGGTGCTTTGTGAGTGGTGGTCACCATTAAATCTTTTGTAATGTCAGGACCGATTCTGTCTACAGGGTGTCACACAAAAGTATGGCCACCATACGGGCGCACAGCTCTACATGTGGGCTGACCAATATACGCGCGAGATTATGCGTACAAACTGTTATTAATACGGCCGTACGGCTTATGGTCAAACGATGATAAGACACCACTGTTTCAGACCTTATATGTTTTGTCCTAGCCTTCCGCATGCTGATGCGCCTGGTGTACCTTTTACGACCTTCCGCATCCTGGCCTGCCCTTATTTGAGTTGGTGCACTTTAGTGCTGTGAGGTCTGGTATCGTTCAAAAACCCCTCACGCATAGAATTCTGATCAGACACATGACAAAATCTGAGCATTTGAGCCCTTCCCTGATGCCAGTACAGTTCTTCCTGGAAGTTCTCCCGGCGATTGCAGAAAGTAAAGTTTGAACTCACTTTCTTTATATAGATAAAGAAGACTCAAAATACAGTGTCGCTTTCCCTCCCCGTGCCGTTGAACACGCTGACCCATCCGATCGTCACGATCAAGTACTGCAGCCGCATTTAGTCGCTTTGTTGGTCTTTTTTTGACGTTAACGCTTTGATGATTCACCGCATCCTAGATATCTGATCAATCGCAATCGCTTAACGTTTAACCGAATGCCATGGCCAGGCCTCGTGTTCTCCTATCGGGAATAGATGTACCGACCGAATCGAGATGATCAAGAGTCAAGACGGAGATCACAGGTGCCCTTAAAGTTTAAACTCTGAAAAGGCCGCGACCACGAGGATGCAATGAGGTTCTTTGTCTCACACCTCGTCTGATTTGAGCGAAAGCGATTATCCATTATCAAGCGCATGTATTGACTCCCTCCTTCCACACCAGCTGGTCTAGCTCTTGCATAGTACTAAGTGTTCGTATTGAACGAGCGACGACACTGCTCCCGATGTTCTGATCTACCTTTGTTTTAGGTTAACGTACAGACGACTCTGTCTCTGTCGAATGAATCACACACCATCGGTGAGTTTCTAGAAAGAAAAATTTGTATTGCTTTCAACATTCGGCACAGATGGATCCAGTCAGCTTTATCGACAAGTCTCCAGCAGAGAATGCTAGACCCTCGCTCCATGATACCCCGTCGCTTCACTTCTGTCAATGTCGCCAATGTGTCCATGAACAGGGAACAGATTCTGATTTTGCTGAGTCTCACGATGTGCGTCCAGGATGTTGGTTGAATGCGACCATGTACTACAGGCACAAACGAGAAGACACGCTCCTTTGTAAACTGGACCGTGCCAACTTGGATGAGAACGGACAGCCAATTCATGATGTTTTGTTGCCGAATTTGCCTCATGGTCTTGCTTCGCCTGTAGAGCTGACCCTCACTGGCAATCATGTCACGACAACTAACACTAGACCCATCTTTCATGATCAATCAGAACATCCATCTATTACGGACCTAGATCATTTGCGTTCTAGAATCAATCACTATGTTTGCAGCCTCTCGCTCAAAGGTCCCCTCAAGTTCGCTGGGCATCCTACGATCGGTGGACCATACATGCGTCTCGATCTTCTTACCGTCAACTCTGGTCCGCAATCACTAGAGCCCCGTCACCCCATGAATCAGTCACTGCTTGCATTCCAGAACAGCCTCGCCATGTCGATGAAGGAGGTGCTTGAGATAGAAACCAATGTTGGGGAAATTGCGAAGGAAAAAGACGCCCTTATCAAGCGCATCATGAGGGAACTCGATCGTGTCGACGATTTCAAGGAGAAGGAGTGGGAAAGACAGCGTAAAGGTGACAACGATGAGGACTCTGATATTATGTACGTTAATACAGGTCGGTTTTCTACGGTTCATCGTCTACATAGTGCTAATGCATACTTTTTTCTGGCTAGATCCATATTTCAATGCGCCTCACGCTTCCTGGCCCCCACTGCTCTTAGCGGTATATCTAACTATCCTTCTTATGCACCTCGTATGCGGGCTACCTCGTCGGGCTTCGTCATTGCTACTTGTTTGCTTGCGAAGTATAATTCATCTGTCAGAGGCATGCCCGACAGAAGCACCGATATTGCTGAATATCCCAAGAGACCCACGTACTGTCATAGGGTCATTCGAACTAGAGCCTCGCACTCGATCCTACGTGTGCTGTCCAGTATGCTTTGCTTTACACGACACTTCACCGCTCCCCTTCTTTTGTATGCATCGGCCAACTCCTACGAGCCGACCGTGCAACACAAAGCTCTGGAAAACACGTGTCATCCGTGGCAACCAGATCCAGTATCCAATCCGTACTTATCTGCACCAAGACCTGAAACAGTGGATAGCTCGTTTCCTCTCACGTCCTGGTGTTGAAGACCTCATAGACTCTGCTGCACGCCCTCACGAAAAGGAGGACATGGAAGACATTTGGCATGCGTCTACGTTCTGTCAGTTTCCCGGACCAGACGGCAAAGCCTTCCTTAGCCCATCCAATCGGGAGGGGCGCTATGTGTTTAGTTTAGGAGTCGATGGCTTCAATCCGTTTCAGAACAAAGTTGCTAAACAGAACGTGACAGTAACGGGGATGTATATGGTCTGTTTGAATCTTCCTCCGGACCTGCACTATCTGCCCGAGAACATGTATCTCGTTGGTATCATTCCTGGCCCAACAAAGCCTTCCACTGATCAGATTAACCATTTTCTGAAACTCCTCGTGGACGATCTGCTACCCTTTTGGGACCCTGGTGTTACTTTCTCGCGTACAGCGAAGTATCCGGACGGTCGCGTTATCCGAATCGCACTCATACCAATCGTTTGCGACCTTCCAGCTGCGAAACAAGTCGCAGGCTTCGGCGGCATCGGTTCGAAATTCTTTTGTTCTTACTGCTTACTCCCTCTCTATGATATCGACAATCTAGATCGGAGCCAGTGGCCTGCTCGTGACGTCGAGGCTCATCGCAAACATGCCCGCTTATACCGAGATGCTCCTACACTTGAGGAAAGACAGCGTATATTCGATCAATTTGGAGTCCGTTGGACGGAACTTCTTCGCCTCCCATATTGGGATCCTATTTCGTTCACAGTCGTCGAGTCCATGCACATCCTGTATCTGCGCATCCTCAGATACCACTGTCGAGTAGCGTGGCGGATGAACATAGATTTACAAGATGGCGAAACCCCTTCAGGAGAGGGAGCCAAAAGTATTGCGAGGCCATCTGATGAATGCATGCAGAAAGGCGTAGAGGCACTTGCCACAGGAACCTTTGCTGCCCTCGACGCTTGCACCAGACCTGTCCTCTTCCATCTATGCCAGGACAGAAGTCTGAGGAGGGCAAGTACGAAGCGAGCACTTATTAAGACCCTCCTGAATTGGGTGCGTATACTAAGTTCTTTGAGCTCGTATATAATTGACCATATAATATGACAGAAAACCAATCAATCAACGGAAGACACGCCCTCAAAGCCAGCCATTCCTCCCCATCCCTCGAAGAAGACATTGCTGACAGATGTCGAGTCAGCTAGACTTCTGATCGAAGGTACAGCACTGGTCAGCGATTTATCGCTTCTTCAGTTCACAAAACCCACCTTGGTGAGCCTCTGCAATGCAAAAAAAGAACGTTGCAGCGGGAACAAGAAAGATCTTATCGGAAGGCTATTAGATTGGGTATGTCAATTGCCTTGTCGCCCTTGTCGTCTACTAATTTTGGTACTCCAGCGTTTAGTGCAGAATTTACCGTGCACACGAACGGTACCAAAAGCATCTAGTACAGGGAAAGAAGTTCAAAATAACCAGAGAACGGCAGAAGAATATGTCTCTGCATCTTCAGAAGTTGATCCTGACACACTAATGGGCTACACCCGAATTGTCTTAGTTGCGCTGTGCTCAGAGCGACATCTCAGCATTGTTGGTCAGAAGAGAATTCTTGTCCAGCGTCTCATCCGATGGGTACGTCTCATTACAACTCGAGCGCTACAGAGTGACTGACCCTGCTGGCAACTTTAGCGAGCTGAGCAAGACCAACGTGATACGAATGATTGTGGAGTCCCCACAGATTTCAAAAATATCCATAGCTCTCACAGCACAGACTCGCCGCCTCTGGGACCAGTGAGTGATGTGAACAACGATCAGCTTCATCGTGTTGTCCTCGGTCAATCTCTTGTTACCGAGATACGGAAGGACATGCTACATACTGAATTACCCACATGGGTTAGTCGGGCTCCGAAGGCTCTTGGCTCAACAGCCCAGGGTAAACTCAGTGCAGATCAATGGCGTGCAGCATGCACCATTAATATGACCATTACTCTTATACGACTCTGGGGTGGGAAAGATGGTTTGATCAAGGCTATGCTGGACAATTACATGGATCTAATCACTGCTGTCGAGCTTGGTTGCATGCTCGTAATTTCCCCTGGCCATATCACCCAATACGATTTCTACATGCAGCGCTATCTCGAGAACTTCAAGGACCTTTACAAAACCTTACGACTGGTTCCGAGCCACCACATCTCTCTCCACCTTGGCGAATTCTTGTGTTCCTTCGGTCCTGTCCATGCTTGGAGGGCTTTTGCATTTGAGCGCTATAATTATCTGCTTCAGCGTGAAAACACTAATGGCAAATTTGGTGAGTGTCTCCCCATCTCTTGAATCTTAAATTAATCAGCCGGGTGTCACAGGCGAAATCGAACTCACCATGATGAATCACACATGTCGAGTAGCCAATTTCCGCACACTGATACAGGGGGAACACATCCGTACTGTTGTTTCAGACATGGTCGACGCATACAGCAACTTCGCAGGTGAAGATAGGAGGGGCACTCGCATTCGCGATGTTCTTCAGTGGGAAAAACCTGTGACTGCACAAGGCCAAACACGCCCGACTACCAAGGAAGTTGCCCTTGAGGAAGAATTATACCTTGCCTTACTGCAGCTGATCAACACTATCGAGCAACTTCGCTATGTTGGCGACGGTGACCCCCGTTCGTCGGATCAGCTCTTTCTCAGGCGCAAGGTTTTACCATCAAATCGTATCCTCATCCGTGGGGTTTCATACCGGCCCTCGGACTTTTCCCATTGTGACAGCAACATTCTTTTTCGTAGTTCCCTAGGTTCAAAACCGGAGGCCGGTCGCATCATCAAGATATTTCTTCACCATCGATTTTCAACAAATGACAATCAGATCGAGGAGACTTTCATAGCCCTCCAGACTCTAGTTCCGTTGTCCGACACTGATGTCCCTTATGATCCTTATCGTCAGTACCCTCTCGCGGGCGGGTTTCTATGTTACAACGAGTATCATACCAAATACCGCGTCATTCGGCCTTCTGGTATTATTTGCCACTATGCAAAGACACCTATGCGCGTTCCAAGAATACGTCAGCCCTGCGTACACGTTCTGCCATTAGATCGCGTAAGTACATTAACAACAAGAGATTATAGTTCTGACATTGATTGATCGACTAGTTAATGAAGTCAACTGAGCTCCCGTCGCTGGAAGGGCACAACGAACAAGGTATTGACGCGTCCGAGGCATCGAAGTGATCGACTGCACCCCCGACGCACTAACAGTAAGTCGAGAAAAGATGCCATTTAAAATCTCATTAACTTGGGCTGTAACAGAAGTCGTGTCGGATGCATGATTCGTGAAATTTGTCAACTCAGATAAGGGCAGGATGCGAAATGGATGCAAAGGGTGCGCCAGGCGCATCAGGATGTGGAAGGCGGGGGTAAAACATTTGAGGTCTGATTGAGAAAATCACGGTCTGTTTCACTCATAGACATGATACCGGCAAAGCTTTTCTTTTTTTTATCACGGTTTCGTTAAACACCACGATGAGACTGCCTATGATGCTCAAGTTACACAGGGTAAAAAACACGAGGCCATATCCGAGTTCGAGCTTTGAATGACGACTGCGCTGATAACTGCGATTTCTGTGCAGTACCTTTTCATGATGACGGCTGAGGAAGCGACAAGTATTGTCTAAGACGAGTGAATTAATTCTGGGAATCGAGAGACTTAAAATGAGGCGTTACGATGACGATCAAGAACCGACAAATAGTAGGCAAATGAGATTTCAAAGGCTGTATATCTCAATAGCGTCTTCGACCTATTTAGCGACTGATCGAATCATGTCGAGAGGATGGTCTAGCTCTCGTCTTGACTAAATATTTCTGGAGTTGATGTGATTGATGAGTCGCGTGATCTTCTAGTCTGAAAATGCGATACGACAACCTAACAGAACGTGACTCGGGGATTTGGCTAGTCTTGGCGCTGTTGCAGACAGTGACGGATACAGAAACATTCATACTCCGCATGGACGTGCCGATGGACTTGTCGTAGTGTTGCCGCAAATTGAGCTCGAGTGGAACAAATCGACGTGTAACGAATTCGGCTCGAAGCTCCAGTCAATGAGAAGTGTCTGTAGATATGAAGCGGCTATGTTTCATGAAGCTGCAAAACTGTTCCACTGGTGAAAACACATATTTTGTGAATATAGTACTAAACTCACAGTACGATGCACGAGTTTATACGATGACCTAGATACCCGTCGCCTAATCGTTAATCACGCTTGAGGATTGCTCAGCATTTATATTGTACAGCGTTGCAGGCGCCTGTCGTCCGGCACTAAAGCAGTACTGAGGTCCGATGAAAATACGTATAATTACGAATCGAACTCACCTGAAGGTCACCTCGATTCGACAGCAACACTATGATACGCACACTTAGCTTCGTCAGTGTCACACGTCTGACGAATCGAAGCTATTTCATGTTACTGTCACACAAAATTGAGTCCTAAAATACCATTAACAATCAGTGCGATGACGTATTGGCATTTAACTCTCACAATATTAATCCTCGATCACAGATAGTTTCCGTTCTCGTTTCATCGAGGACGTCTCGTTTATCGGATTACCGGCGTCTAATGATGGGGTTGGGACCAGGGATTGTTATGGCGGATCATTGCCATTTCAAACTCCGCGTCAAAGTAGATACTTGGTAAGCAGTCGATATATCGATTGCGGATGGACTCACTGAGACTCTGCCCTCATGGCGATCTTGCGCAATAGTACACTGTCTCGCATTTCAATCCATCAGCTTATTTTTGAATCATTATTCATACACTTGATTGAGGCACACTACCTGCATGGGCTGCGAGAGTATGTCGATTTTTCAATGCTCTGAGTCCGACTCAATTTGTGCTAATAGCCTAACTCTCATCGTTTTGCCGGGCTGCCGCCGGCCGAATCTGTCGAAAAGCCCATCAAGTGCATGTCATGTAAGCCGATTATCAGTATCGTTTGATGTCCTTTGTCCTTTGTCTTCCACATCGCGATTATCAGTATCGTTTGATGTCCTTTGTCCTTTGTCTTCCACATCGCCGGTTTGCACGTGTACATTCTATCTGTTTCTCCAGCATTCCCCTTTGTCGTCCATCTTCCATATAGCGCGACATGTCGTCTCGGAATATTAGCGTCAAATCACTCATAGGCCTTCTGCAGGTTCGGTCCTCAACTCTCTATCAATCGTTCTGGCTGTGTATCTATCAGCAGCTCTACAATGTCGAGGGACGATGCACGGATTCATGGTTTACTGAGGAAGTCGCTTGTTGGAGAACTTTTTGACATCCAATTCGACCTGTTCTCCGCTCGGTCGAAGCGCACAGGTAATGTTACCAAGCCTCAAGCATTGTTTGCAAACCACGAAGCTCTCGCCTCAAGTTCAGAGTATTTTGCTAGTTGTGAGTCACATGTCTGTCACTGCTCAGTCAAGTTCAGCAGATCCTCTCAGTACTTTCCGAAAAAACGCTCAACGATCCTACTTTGATCGAACTTCAAGACCATCACACTTGCGCAGGAGGGATCTCCCTCAGTGAGTATGGCTATGCGTCTGATAGCGACCTCGATGAAGAAGGGGAGGGGGAGGGGGAGGGAGGGAAGATTGACGAAATTGTCAAAGACAGTAGGTGGTTTTACTCATCGTGGTCCAGGATTACCTTATGATGCTATTTTGTTTCTGCAGAACGAATGTTTCAAACAGCATCGAACTTGAATCTGACTACAAAGGCAGCACAACGTGTTGTCCTAAGCCGCAGAGTATTTGTAACAGATACTGCATTTAATACGTGCGGGTCTACCATCTATTGTTTGGTTCTCTCGCTTACCGGCTTCTATAGATGGAACGCTTTATTGTACTATCTGTACACTGACGAGATTCTTTTCGCACCTTCGCGATCACAGGGAACCAAGATTGCGAGACATTGCAGCCTTGATGGACCCCCGCCATGCTCACCGAAGTCTATGTATCGCCTAGCGTGCAAGGTGCGTCTTATGTGACCTGTCATGCCTTTTAAACTAATACTTTGGATCACTAGATAAAGCACGATAAATTGCAGGCCAAAGCGCTGGCTGCTATACGATTAAGTTCGACTGTGTACCAGTAGAACGACGTTGCGCCTTCAGTCTTCTCTTCGACGACAAATTGTATTTACAGTAGCAACACCCGCTACCTGTTTCGGCAATCGTTTCTCTCGCTCATTTCCATACAAACTACGCGCCCACTCATTACATTGTTGAATCTGACGCACGTTCATTATCTACTCCTCTCTGTCTTCCTCCCTTACTCTTTTTCCAAGTTGGACACCTGCCATCGCATTCGACGCACGCGACTTTGACTTCGAAACTCCCAAATCACCTCTGCTTGGCTGGGTGCCCAACGGTTCCATTTCGAGCTTTGATTCATCCAAAATACGGATAGTGTGTGCGTTGAGCTGATAGACCTTCGTTGGAATTGTAAGCCATTATTCTTCCGAGTGATCTGGACTCACCCGTCGTTCTTTCCAATTGAATGCGTGCAATGTGGCTCTGACCATGACCAAAGTCCCTCGTTTGAGTTCCCCATACCAATCCTGGGGCGGGAGAATGAGCTAAATGATTGGGACGCACGCTCATATGCTCCGCGGCTACAAAAGATGTTGAGAATACTAATAGCCCTTTGCCTGGGATGTGAGTCTGGAAAACGTGGGTGCAGTCTAAAATGAACGCAAAACCTTCAAGACGCGCGACGGCAAGGCAAGCAGCATGCATTGAGACTGCCCAAGACTATTCCTTAGTCATGATGGTTCTCCCAGCGCGTCACTCCACATCAATGGGCAGTATACGATTTCACCAGAACGATTCCTTGCAGTCGTGTTATGACGTACAAGGACATCTGCGTCGCTCTTGGGCAAGGTTCGCCGCGATCAGGTGCGCGTCCAAAACGCAAACCCTTTCTCTCCTCTCACAATCTCGTTTCCTAGTTGGCTCTGCGCTTCGAAACAATCCAAATCGCTACAAATTGTGGGTAGTAAATCCAATGAAATTCATTAGGTAAAATCAGGTGATAATGTAATGAAATTCACAGTACAAGGTGCTGAAAGTTCCGATTTTTACTCTGAAATTTCAGTGATATTGCGCTGAATTTTTACTCTGAAATAATGTGCTGAAATTCTGTTCAAGAATGACAAAAATAAATGTTATCCACCACTGCGACATTCATGCCACAAGAAACATGAGAGAATGTGTCACCTTTCACACATTTATAATTTACCAATGGCAGGAATTGAACGGATGACCTTAGCCATCATACATAGCATCACTACCACTAAGCCATGGTATCCCTGGTAGGTATAACTACGAATTCTAATATATACCACCCTTCTCCTACATTTTTCGACCTACTACCTATGACATTCATTCTTCAAACTCGTCGTTTGTTATTTCCTGTTCCTTGCCCCCACCCAGCACTCTCTCTTATTTATCTCTGTGGACTGTAAGGACCCTATGTCCTCTATGCGCCGACCACAACTTTAGATAGACGCTCGGACCCGTCTGACGTTCCACGTGACTCATTGACGCGAAGAAGCTTCACACTTCACGTCCAAGCAGCCAGGACACATCCCTGACCTTTTCCTCTCTCTTTCATCGCTTTACAGTACACTTACCAACTGGACCCTGTTTCTCGCCATTCCTTTCCAGTCTTTCTTTCACTCTACCATACGGTCTTCACGCTCCTTCAGGACTAGTCAACTCGTTCAAACATATATATATATATATGGTGCATGTACTCTCATTTTCAGTAGTAGAACCTAACACCGTGATTCCCCACTCCAAGTGTTCTCAGAATGTCTCTAAAGCAGTTGCTCCATCTAGCTCGTCTCAAGTCTATCGTCGTCAGTCGCACACTCGTCTTCATAATGGTCTATCTACTTCATCCTCGAACAATTCCCTTCTGAACTCATATAGCCGCCTTACAGGACTGTTACTGCAGCCTGAGCATATCCCAGTGTTATCATAATTGTTAGAATGTAGAAAGATGCTTATCTTGATTTGGGCCTCACAAGAGTCAGCGCACAACCAAATTCACAAGCAGGTTTCCCGCCCTCCCAACGGCTCCACCTGCTTGCGTCCCTCCCCAAGCTAACACTTGGATCAGCCTGACACAGTCAGGTTGAGCCTCCAACTCTTCCTAAGCCAGACTCGCTAGCAAGGCTCTAGACTCACTCTCTATTTAAGGATGCACAATTTCAATGGTGCTTGGCAAATGATGATCGACACGCTCACTCTCTCCGAACAGTGGGCAATGTCTTGGATCAGCATGGCTCTTGCTCAAACAAGGATCAAGACACTCACTTGCTGTGAACGGTGAGCAATGACTTGGATCAGCATGGCTCGAGCTCAAAGGAGGACCGATACACTCACAAACTGGGATGACAAGGTGCTTTGTCTGTGGGACTTGAAGGCAGGTGTTGTGTTGAAGAAGATGGAGGAGCATAGCAGGCAGGTGTAAGTATTAGTAATAGGCAGTTGGGGAGTAACTAAGTTATGTGTTTCTGTGAAGTGCGGAAATATAAGCCATAGGGCAGTGAAAAGAGGAAAAGGAGAGGGCACATGGTTTCAGTATAACAACTCATGAATTGAGATGCCGTGAGATGTGAGACTGTGCAAGTGATAAGGATCAGTGAAGAAACATGAGAGGAAAACTTACTAAGGAGGATGGAGCTTGCAAGCAGTAATATTGCAGTCAGAGGGACACCAGCATGCTGGGGTAAAGAAACATTATTTGTTGAAATCAACCGTGGGAGCCCTGTGATTAGTAATTAAATCATCGGTGGTTTGATTTTCAATTTCTCGTAAGCACCTACTTAATGTTGTTGCTGAGTGGCTGAGGCTGAGTTGAGCACTAAGGCCCTCTGGCCTACAGCAGACATGTCCGAATTCTCCCTCGGACTCCTACCTGTTTAAACATGCCAGCCCCCATCAATATCCCAATTCTTGCCTGCTAGCTTTGAATTTCAAGTCCTTGCCTTTGTCCATGTTCTCACCAGTATCTGCTCTGTAGTACCTGTCAGGTCCTGCCTGCACCCTTGGGAAATGCAAGCATATGTACGTGTTCTCTGTGGTTCTGGATTGCGTGAACTCTACATTTTTGATACACTATAAACTGGCTACATATCTCATGGCAGGTTCAACTAGAAGAGAGCCCTGTAGATACATATATTTTTTGGCACATCTACTGGCTGTTATGCATCCATATGTGACTATTTACTAGCTTGTAGACAACTTCACAAATTTTTTGAAAATTTGACAAAAGCTTGCCGCAATTCCCGGAAATATTGTCACATTCTCAAAATTCCTGTGGGAGGTTTTTCCTGATGCAAGTGAGGAAACACAATATTCACACAATCCTGCTCTTCTTTCATCTCTGCAAACACACAGCATAGGGTATGGGTACAGGTTGAGTATGAGACTATCAGAGTCAGTGGGTTTTTAGTTAGCGCATAGTGGGTTCAGTATGTAGAAAACAAAGTTGATTGATGCGCAAAAGTTTGATCAGATGTTAAAATAATATATCCTTTGCTCTGTAAACAAAATTGGCAACAAAGTAAAATCTGATTTTTTTTGTGTGCAAATCAACTTTTGACCAAAGTCAATACTACTAGTCAGCAGTCGACAGTTAACAGGTAAACATATGATAATTGATCAACCTGTAAACTGTTGACTACTGACTGTTGATGTCGACTTTGGTCAAAATTTGATTTGTTAACAAAAAAAAGTCAGATTTTATTTTGTTATTGATTTTGTTTACAGAGCAAAGGATATATTATTTTAACATTTGGTCAAACTTTTTTCCATCAATTGACTTTGTATTTTCTATTATATATCAGAGGAACAAAAGTGTAGAAATAAGTAGAACATAGGGTGTTATAAATTAAAAAAACTCCAAAATGTGATCAGAATCAAAGTAATATATTGCTTGCATTCATAGACAAAAATTTCCTAGCTTGATTCCAATGAAAAAAGAATAAAAAAGAATTAACCTCAGTCAAAATTTACTCAAAACATAAGTTTGAGACTTGTTGAAAATGTGATCATTATGTGATCCTATGCCAAAATGACAACAAAAACATATGCCAGGATAATTGTTATGTCTGATAAAAATGTGTAGACAAGATGATTATAATGCATATATGACAGGATGACTCAAATTGAGATAAAGTAAGAAAAAAATTTAATTTTTGTTAACATTATCTGCCAAAACCAAAGGTGACCTGAATCTGTCTGAGATCACGCTAGGTTCAACATTTGACCCCTGGGCAAATTGGTTCCTGCCCCCAGTGCCATTCTGTCTTCAAATGTGAGGGTGCTGCTTCATCAAGTCTGTCGAATGCCTTTCCACTTTCTAAGATACCATTCCTAGCCAGTTTGTATTTCCGGCATAGAGTCCTTTTCATGCGAATCATCTTGCAGAAATTGGAGTCATTCATCTGATAATCAAGGCATTCCTTTCGGTGGGGAGATGACATTCCCCGAGCAGCAGGGGAGATCAAATTGAGCCGTGCCCATAGCGTCTCCATGATCTCTCCATCGATCCGACCAATGCCTTCAATAAAGTTAGAAGCATATCGGACATAGCAGCTGTCCTGATGGCCATGAACGTGCCACAACCCAATTCCGGGAATGATGGTTAGTTGTGGTGCCATTTCTAGAAATCGACTTCGATCCACCCGAACCCGAAAGTGTTTGTTGTATTGACAATTAATATCATAGAAGGTGACAGCCCTGGTGATGCCTTCCATGTTGTGCCGGGAAGCCTCGCAAAGGGCGTAGTCCATGTTCATTTGTCTGCAAGTGACCCATGGTTAACTCGTGAATGGGGAATGGTGGATGTGGCTTGCCTTTCGCCTTTCTGAAAATCCACCATGGAGTGAGGGACAAAGCAACCGTGTCTGGCACAGGCAACTCCCCCGATACCGGTGGACTCCAGCTTGTGCCGAGCAGCATTAGCTTGATTTACTGCCCGGTGATTGTTGCAGCTTGATTTTTCCACTGTGTCAGCAGCCTCTGCCAGGTGCATTTTATACCTGTCCTTTCCCACCATGAATCCAAGCCCATCGGACAGCCA